ATTAATGGTTGTTCACAATCATCATGAATGGTTCACCATGTGTAGTTACCATGGAGATTACATTTCACCATGATAGACTTATAAACTGAGGAAAAGTTTCAAGACTTAATTGCATATAAATAAAACTCAGAATTCACTCATGAATGAAATGCTCAGATTTTGAGAGATGAAGAAAAAGTGAGAGAAAAAAAATTTCCTTCTTTTTTTTAAACCATCATTATTATCATTCTATTATCATTATCATCATCATCATCATCATGTTTTGATTCTGTTTCCTGTAACGAAAATGATGAGCTGATTAATCGGGAGATTATCTGAGTAACTGAACTTTTATTACCCAATGGAAAATAAATACAAATATATAATCCTCAGAATTTCACTGAATTATTATTCTTTCAAGAGGAGAGGAAAAAAATCCCTTTGAATCCTTGAACATTGAATATCAACTAAGAGATAAATAATCATCATGGTGATTAATCTGAACTGAATTCCAAGAAAAATAATTAAAAGAAAGTTCATCGACAAAGCCTCCATTTTGATGAATGACAAATCTTCAATCACTTCTAATAACCATAACTAGAATATCAATCAAACTAAAAGCCAACAATTCATCAACCTAATCGTTAATTACAACAATCAAATGTTGACAATTAACCACAACTAATCAAGTTAATCAACTTACCTGCTCGATCACCTCCACCAGCACCAATGACAGCAACACCCTTGGAGTAAACCGATCTCACTGATTGTAGTAACAATAAAAGACAACGAGGTAAACAACCTTTGATTATCACCATGATTAAGTTGATTTACACAATTAACGGACAACAATTAGCAAATTGATAGATGATGAGAGAGAGAGAGAGAGAACAATTTAAGTGTAAACAATTAACCAAAAGAGAGGAAAATCAGGGAAAAATTAATTAGAACAAAATTTGCTTCATTTTCACTTTATTTTTTATAATAAAAATGGAACGAAAAAGTTTCCCAACAATATAAAGTTTGATTATCATTAATCAACCAGTTTGATTGTTGATTAATTGATCGTTTATTATTATTTTCATCACAATTAATAATAAACAAGAGGTTTCCAGGTTGATTAGATTGATGATTATCATTGTTATTGTTGGTGATTAAAACTATTTGTTTTATTTATAACCACGAATTTAATTTAACTTTAATCACAATATGATCACAAAGGATTTTAAAAGAGATTTAAATTAAATTTAATTTTGAAACTTTTTGTTTAGTTTTGTTTCTTTGGTTTAATCAATTGAAGGCGTAATTATCTTAATCATTATTGGTTTGGAATTGATTGTTGGATCTGGATGGAGTTTATTAGTCACAACGATTCTGATATTCTGATATTCACATTAGGATCACATTTTCACATGAACAATGTAGTTATCATGAACATGAACTTTCTGAGACTGAAATGTTTACCATGAAAGAGGAGATTTTTTTACTCTCTCTCTCTCTCTCTCTCTCTCTTCTGATTCTGATTCTGAACACAACCATTCAGATTCTGGGATATAATTCAGGGGAGTCATAGTTTCCGATTGTAAGTGATCATGATCATCATGGTGATGTTTATGTTAATCAACTGATATTGAACATTATTCACATTCTTGATTATCAATTAAGGTGACATGATAAATATCAGCAGGTTAACATTGATCAACAATCATCATCATTATAAATGAAATGATTATTAATTGTTAACATATTAATACTATTATAAGGATTTGAAACGTAATTAAATCAACTGTATGTTAATTATGGTTAATCAAAGTAAAGTGGAATTTTTTTTTCTCAATGATAATCGTTGAGATTATTATTAGTCCACCAATCAGAATTATAAATGGTGAAAAATGTGATATAAATCAATGAATTTCAATTGTTTGGATCTGGTGATCAGAATTGTTTTATTTTTCTGTCAACCATGTTATTGATCATCAGAATCAATGATTCCAACCGCCTTTATCATGTTCAATATCATGTTTAACCATTTAAAACACACACATATACTTATATATGTGTATACAAATAAAAACAAAGTTAATCAGTTGATTGTTGGTTGATTTTTCATCTTCAATTGGTGATCAAGTTGATTCAGCATTTATCATGAAAAATAAGATTAACTTTGTTTTGATTGCTTATTTGATTTTCATATTAACATGGATGATGATCATCATCATCATGTAACTTAATTGCCTGGGAGGATTAGAAATAAGAATCAAGAAAAATCATCCTGAAATCAGAATACAGATTCTGATGATTCTGAGAAAAAAAATATAAAAAAAAATCGGATAAAAGTTCTTGATGATTAACTGAATATCTTCATTGATGAGTTATTAAAGTTGATAGATGATCATCAAATTAGAGGAAAGTATTACATGTAAGAGGAGGGAATCAAGTTAATACAGATAATTGGTTAAATTGTTACGATAAACATGAATATTTATTAATCAACATTGAGACTAAGGAGGAAATCTAATCTTGGACCGTTAATATTTAACGATTTAATTGGATTAACATGATAATATTATCAATGAATTAAAGGTTAACCCAATTGCCCCTGTAAAGTAAATTCATCTCTCTCCATGATAATTATCATTGATATTGATGATTATTGAATGAAAATTAATCAATATCAATTAACTGATCCTAACTGTAAACTAATTGTCATCATGAGCATGAGATAATCCGATTATCTCATATAATTCATATGCTTATTGTTTACATAATAATAACAAGCATTTGATTTATCAACAATTCATCTTGTTAATTATTGGTTATCGTTAAACAATGTGGATAAATTGTTTCAAACAATTAAGATTGTTGATCACATTGATTGTGACAGGTAAGACACAAAATACAATTAGGATTATCCTTAAGCCTTTGATTGACAGTTAAGATTATAATCAATCAGCACAATTAAATCATTGGGATCAGAATAGATCAACATTCATCATTATTGATCAATCGATTACAATTAACTAATTGTCACCTTTCTGTGAATGCCAATTCAATATTGATTATAATAACAAAAAAAGATTTCCATAAACCCTTAAATTGTTAACAATCAACTAATCATTAGAATCACCTATTAATAATTATCAATACTTTTCTCGTTGAATTAAATTTTTTAAATCACTAGGAAAAAAATTTCACTAATTAACTGAATTGCTACAAATCATTAAATTTTATTCAAGTCACCGGATTAGTTTAATCGTTAAGAGGCTTAATTGTTGATGTTTTTTTTTCAATTGATTGATTTTTTTGTATCTAAATTTAATGTTACACTTTTCATTGTTGATTTCAATCAAATTAATTGTCTATCCCATGTACAGTTAATGATTATTATTAAATCATTACTTTTATCATTTAGTTTCCTTTTAGATCAACAGTAACAATCAATGAAAAACTGTTAATGATACGTTTGTAAATCGAGAGCTAATAATAGTTAATCATCAATTGGATCACAATTAATACAACTGACCAGTCGGATATTATGATGATGACCTTCAGCTTTGAATAATTTAGTTATTATTTTGTTTTCAAAGTGAAAAAATGGTTCATTGAATATGGAAAAAGAATTGACCATTTCATGTAAGGTTGGAATAAGGAAGATAAAACTTGACCACTATGTCCACCCTCTTATCGTCCTCTCTTCAGCTCTCTTTTTTTTATCGAATTTCCTTGACCATTGTTCGATTTTTTTTTCTCTCTCTCTGTCCTTAGAACTTTTTCTTTAAAAATTTGCTATTGTTTCGTATTTGCAAGTTCCCTCGAACTCAACTGACCATATAACTCAGTTGTTATGAGGAAAAACTGACCAGCAACTTGCATGTGACTGATTGACATTTTTGAGTTTCGATTGTGTTGTTTATTGCTGTTGATCAAATTTTCCATCACCATGATCATCATGTTGAATCATCAACATTGAAATAAATTCTGACATTTTTTTTTTCTTTCTTGAAAATCCATCAATTGGTCAAGCAGATTGAAACTCTTTTGACCAATGGAACAACTTGTGATAAATAATCTTAAGCTCAACACTGGAAACGGTGTAACTTTAAAATCACTTCATCCTGTTAATCCAGTTAATCTAAGATTAAATTCATTCTCAGCTCGTGTTCAACCTCAGGATGAATTCAGTGAGAAAAGTTTATGCTACAGGGTGTACAAGTATTTCCTCTTTATCCTACTGGCCACTTATATAATCTACTTGGTCGCTGAACTGTTCAATATCCTTTCGTCGGATGATCAATCGTCACTTTCAAATGACCTTATCCCTGGACTTACTGAGGCATTGAACTCAACCGCCAATGACCCAGATAATGTTAACAATGAAAAAGATGCAAATAATAATAGCGATAACTTTGACCATCAGAATAAAGGAAATTTCAATTCAAGGGGCAGTTTTGGACGTAAATTTGACATCATTTGGTGTTTCTCAATGTTGACCATTAAAGGGTTGACCTTTATCGCCGTTTTCTGGGAAACAATTAAACTGACCTATGTGTCCATCGGGTTTACTTTCATCTCATTGGTTTACAATTGTATTTTCCAAGCAATTCTGCCAGCAATTAGCGACTCATTCGTAATTATTTGCCTTGGATTTTTCGCTTGGAAAACTCAAAGTGAAGCAAAAAATTCACTCGATTTCAAATAACACAATCAATATAATCATCGATTCAATCATTTAATTAACAACAACTTTGATCTGCTCAATTCTAATCTTAAAATTGCCAATTGTCACGTCTTCTTAATTGTTCCCTGATTTACAACAATCAACCTTGATTGTGATAAATTCCTAATACCAATCATGATGTAATAATGATCAATAGACTAGAAATTTTGTTCTAATGACAACTTGTGCCATCCAGTGGACTTTTTCATTACCATTAGAACTTTTTTCGAGCCTCGAATATGAGAATTCTGTGATTTGTGATGATTATAATTCTTAATTGATGTTAATTGACACAGAGAAAGTTAATTGTTTACAATTTATTGTTTAAAATGATACTCGTTCAAATCAGAGGTAATAATAATATGTAATAATCATGGTAAATAATAACAAGGTGATGATGATAAGGATGATGATACAAGTTTCATTTGATTTTTCTTTAGATAGAGAGAGAGAGAGATTGGTGACAATTAGTTAATTACAATTAAAGTACATGAAGATTGTCACATGATTTTGATTTCTTGAGAACTGCTTTGTTTAGGAAACGTTTAATTATGTTTGGCCTGCGACCGTTAGATTGACTTAATTGTTGTTTCTTTGAGTTAATTTTGAGGTTTATCTGGACACCGATTCCGGTTAATAGGAAGTCAACGTTATGTGATATTGCACATGAAGTTTCAATGTATTTACAATTGTTCATCATGGCGATTTGTCTTCCCTCTGAAAGAATGTAAAAAATATCAAAAAAAATATATTAAGAACAGTTCATTCATCAGAATTTGGTTGAGAGTTTTTTTCTCTTCAACCTTGAATTTATATTCCATGTAAATCTTAATATACGTTCATGCGAAAATGAAATTGATTCAATCAGTTGAACATCATGATAACTTTGACTCTGATTATGATTGATCATCAATAATGATGATTGAATGAACTCCTCATGAAAAAAAGGGGTGAATGTATGACAGATTATCAACACTATCATGAAATATGAATATTCAATCACTATGATTACATGAAGGGAAGAGAAAAAGTTTTGATTGAAAAGAAAGAGAGAGAAAAAAATGAGATTTGAGGACGAAAATGCTCAAAAAAGTTCATTTGTTGGCAGAAAACAAGTTGACTTCAGCTCGAAATTTGAATGAGTATCAATAAATGTTGAGAAAATCAAATGAACTCGAAATGAAATTAAATCTCTCATTCACCATGATGGTAATTAGATTGATCGATTTACTGGATTCTCAAAATTTGATTGGAAAAATTTTCTTTTCGTTCTTTTTATTTACCTTGTTTGGATACAGTTCGACTTCGAACCAGATCCGTTTTATTAGCGACCAATATAATCGGTTTACTATCGACATCGTCCCATTTGAAGATCTCTGAGATCGTTTTCTTTGCCTTTTCAAACGATTCTCTGGTTTGATAAAAATCGAGAAAATAAAAAGATTCGAGATTAGAGCTTCGAAATCGAAAGTAAAACTAAAAAAGATCAAAAGTTTTTTCGAAAATTTCGATTCGTATAATAGTTTACCTGCTATTCACTCCATAGACAACAATATAAGCATCAGGCTGATAAACGGTGACCGGAGATCGTGGATAACATGAGTTGAGTGAATTGGCTTCGATAAAGTTAAGATACAAGATCGGTTTGATTCCAGAATCATTTGAACGTTTCGAACTGTTATTGGTACGATTTTCATCTTGATATTTGGTTCGGTAATAAGCATAGTCCCGATCGATTGAATCGACATCGGCCAACATTTGCTCATCAATATAAGCCTCGAATTGCTTAATCAAACTGGACTTTCCCGAACTCGAAGAGCCAAGAACCAGAACTCGACATTTACTAAAATTTTCTTTATCAAGAGACGAAAAAAAAATAAAATAATTAACAATCAGGTAATAATAATTATCTTAATAGTAAATGATTAACAATCAATCTTAAGCTGAAACAGCGATTAATTTGATTGTCACTTGTAACAAAAGCTCAACTGTAGTTACAATAAACATTTATATTTAGACAGAAATATCTAGTTAATTATAACCTAATTGTCAAGTTAATAATAGTAAATTGATTTATAATTAAATTGTTTGTGAGTAACAATTTAGTTAAACTACAAAACAAAACAAATACACTTTAATTGAGATTTAATTTTCTCAAGGTTCCTATTAATTTGATTGCTATTTTTATCAATGTTATTTCAATGGATTTAAGATAATCACTGGATTCAGATGATGAAGATGATTAGATGATCATCATGATGATGAAGAAAAAAAAATCGATTTTGTTTTTCTCACTAAAAATAGATTATTTTTCATCTTAATCATCTGTAAACAGTTGAAATAACAACGATCCTGGAAAAAAAAATAAAACGTCATAAGAAACTGAATTATATCAAATTCATTAATCAATCATGATTCTAGTTAATTATAATAATCATGTACTGGTCAGTGTTTGATCAGTTCAATTTATTAATAGTCCAATCAGCCTGGTTAGTTGATTGTTGGGCTAAGTGGGAGGTAGTTTGATGATTATTATTATTTTCATTGACGTCAAGGGATTTGAAATGAAATTTAATTGTTTGGATTATGTGGTAATCGGTTAATTGTATTCGTTAATTGTTTCGGTTGATAATATTCTTATCCATGTGACATTTATTTATAATCTATTAGAAGATGAAACTGTTTCTTTTTTTTAGAACTCGATTGTTGCAATTAGAATGGGGGAAAAAAGTTCTAAGTTCTAGTTCTAAGTTTTTTTCTCAATTCGAGGAAAGGAAAAAAACTTTTTCACTTTCTCTTGAATTGACAACTTCTCATGCCAATAGTCTGAATTTTATCATGAATATTATTATTATCTATTCATGACAGTGATGGTGAGGATGATAAGGATGAAGAAGATGATAATTTGTTTGGGTTAACTGATTTAATCGTTAAGCTTTTTTCAGCAACAATCAATGAATGAATCCTCATGAAGAAAATGTCATCATAGTTGCTCGTTCACTAGAATTATTCATTTTGAAACTTTGACAATTAGTAAATTAATTTACTCTTATTACGGTGCAATTAACTCTTTCATCATCAATGATTTAAAAGTTACCACTAATTGTTGAGAGGTAACCGGATAAATCAAATTACGCACTGATAACAATCAGCTATTACTTTTGTCATGATTAATGATTGGAAATCGTTGACTTAATCATCAGTAATTAGTAACCAGTAGATTAGCTCTTGATTGTTAATCTCAAAGATTTTTTTCATATCAATCAACATTTAACTTTAGGTTTCACCTTGATTGTAACCAGATTTGTTGATTGTCAAAGACTTTTGGGTTAATCAAATTGCGATGCAAAAATTACCTTGTTTGTTTTGATTGTTGTTGTTAACTAGTGTGTTTGTGGTGGTTTGTTGATTGTTACAGTTGATTATGTTGGTTGTGTTTTGATTTTCTTGGGAATCATTTGAAATCATTAAAGTAAACGGTAAACTGGCCTCAGGTCGATCAATTTTATATTGATAATATTTAACGAAATCAGTTTCGGTGTGAGATCGGCTACTTTCAGTAAAAGATGAGGGTGTTGATGAGACTCGACGGGAACGGAAACTTGGTGTCGATGAGAGTGAACTAAATGAACTATTGCCCGAAGATGATGAACCATTACCTCCGTTACCATTGGTACCGTTTATTAGACCGTTAGGATTTTTCATCGATTGGCATCTTCGAACTGGATTAAGTTTCCGTTTTGTTGAACTATTGTAACGACTAAATGAACCAATTGGACCAAAAGATGGAGGTGATTTACCGGTTGGCGTTGATGGACCTGAACTTGGAGTTGATGGTTGCGAATTTGAAGTCGACGATGATGAACTTCGTCGACTATCGGCCGACATGGCCAATTTGATTGCGGTAACCAGGTTGATGCCGGTACTGAATTAAATATATATTTGAATGATACGAAAAACTTTGAGTCTACAATCAAATTAAATCACAATAACAAAATGAAACTTTTGCTTCAATGTTTCAAAGTTAATTGTTTGACTTGATTAATTCACAGAGATATAAAATGTTGATATCTTTTAGATGCTGGGAAATTAGTTTTAATTGATGAACAAGTTATGATGATGATGAATGAAACGATTCAGTTGTTGATTCAATATGTAAACTAGAAACTCTGAAGATGATGACGATGAGATATGAGATGAGTCTTGAGTAATGGGTGGAGAAAAGTTCATGCTCAGAGAGTTTGATTATCATGATGATGATGATGATAGATGAATATCTTTGCCTTTACACTGAGTCAAAGCAATTCATCTGATATCATGTAAGCAGAAAAAAACAAATAACTGTTACTCAGATTTTCAATCTGAATCTTCATCTTCATCTCTCCCTGAGCTTTGAACAGCTATAATTATCTTCATCTTCAGTCTGAGGATTGCATGAGTTACCATTTGAAATTTTTTCTCAGTAAAAAGTGTATTTTGTCATGAGATTTCATGATAATTTCCATAATGGTTGTTTCCATTATCCAACGAGACGTTTATTCATTCAGCATTATCATGAAAATTTCATCAGAATTTGTCTCAATTTAAATGTGGGGTATTCATCCCTTGAACTTACAATAAAAATACCGAGAGTATCATGATGACTGGATGATTTTTTTTTCGTCAATTTCAAAATTTCACTTATTGAAACATGAAAGTCTCATTCATGTTTAGATTATGGTGAGTCGAATGAGTTTATTATGAATAATTAAGAGGATTAAAAGTTTAATTGTGAAAACTGTCATATGAAAAAAAAAGGTTATTGATCTGAAGTTTTTCCTCTGGCACACTGAGGATTCACCATGGGATTAGGGTGATGATGAAGTAGTTCAAATGTTGTAAGCCAAATGAAGTGTAAGTTTGAATTTCCATAGGAAATTGTGTTGAATCAGAGATTGGCTCAGGATTTAGGAAGAGGAACCAAAAAGTTTTCTTGGCAATCGTTGTAGTTTGAATCATTCAGAAAGAGAGAGAGAGTAATTGACAATTAAGATAAGGTGAGAATGAGGTGAAAAGGGTTCCCCATCCCCTGACCCACAGGGTGAAAGGGAAAGATTATCAAATTGACACATAATCAACTTAGAGGATTATCTCAATTTTGAGATGAAATTGTTGACACAATTAAAAAACCATGAGCAAGAAAAGCTGATGATTTCAATAGCGATCAACTTAATCACCACACAGGTGAGAGATTAAGATTGAGAAATGAGGAAACGATAATATCTCAGAGTAGATTAATATTTAAATATTAACAGAAAAGTGTCAAGAACAAAATTTCTAATGATAATTAACAAGTTCATGTTATAATAACGTGAAAATTTGACGTAAATTACAAACCATCAAAAGTAATCAACTAACGATAACATTAAAAATCCAGCAACAATTTCGTAAATTGTTACAATTGATCATGAACCATCTTAACAACATTTACAATATCAAAATCTCCTTATCATCTCTACATATTAATTGATTAATCGAGCTTAATGGTGAAAGAGAAAATGATCAACTTAATCATCGATTTAACTAAATTCAGTTTATCCCTGAATTTTTGAAACTTTTGTAACGAACTAGGTTATGATAATAATAAGGAATCAACAACATGTTAATGATGTTGATCATCATCATCATCTTGTATCTAGTCCAATTAAGCGAAACACCAACAATCATAATCATTTAATGGGAACATATGATGATGAAAGATGAGGATGGAGGATGGAGGATGAGGATGCTATTGAAAGAGAAAAAAATTTTCTCTTCAAATTTAGGCCAAACTAATATAAAGAAATTACTGTAAACTATTTAATGAGTTTTAACCTATGGTAATTTTTGGTATCATCTCTAGTTATTAGAGAGACACAAAGCTCAATATTCACCATTGGCTTGCGAATTGAATTTATGATTTGTTAATTGTTGATGGAACAATTTAACTTTAACTTGAATCTCTATTTCTATTCTTAATCTTTGTTAATCTTTTTCATCTTAATTTAAGATCAACTTGATTGTGATTCAAGCAAATTAGGTGACTCTTGAAGGCTCACTAAATATACAGGTCATATTGTGAATCCATCTTACAATTAAATTTAATTTTTGACATTTTCTTACTTCGCAATTAACTAATTACCTTCATTATCATTTGTATTATTTACTTTTCTTGTCTAACAATTGCTTTAGTAGATTGGGAACAAAATTTTCTGGTTCAAGATCAGATTTTCATTCATCTTTTTATTTCATTCTCATGATTTAACTTTTGATTCATTTTTAATACAAGAAGATTAATTAATTCACGTTAATTGTAATTGATTCATGAGCTTTAATCAGTTAGATTGTGGTTTTAAGATCATTAATTTTCTTCACCTTGTTAGTCTGTTGTTAATTGATTGTCTCAATTTCTCAGTTTTTATCGTAACCATGGTAACGAATTTTTTGAACATTCAGCTGATGATTTGTGAGGAAATTTGAACAATTAAATATTGCGATTGTATTATGATTACAATTAACAGGAATTCGTCAGTTGATTGACAGAATTTGTTGAAACTTTGAAGTGTATGAATGAATCGTTGAGATTTAAGATCATCAACATTTCCAAGTATCAGGAAGTGATTTCATTGAAATGCTGATTCTTTTGGAATGACAATGAACATTATCATCATGATATCATGAATAATCTGTCAATGTTTCAGAATTTTCATTCTTTTGTGTAAAGAAAAAAAAAGTAACTCTAATCGGTTATTTATCCCTGAGAAATTATCATGAATATGGTTAGAGTTGAAGTGATTGATCAGAATTTATATCAGAAAAGTTCTGAGACAATTCAAACTTTGAAATGTCATGGATCTCATGATAACATGATCCCAAGTCTACATGTTTATGATCATTCAATCATCATCATGAAATTTATATAAAAAATTATCATGAAAAAGCAAAATCCATGGAAAATGATGAATCCGAATCATGGATAATGATCATCACCATGATTATTACCCTGAACTTGGAAACCTTGAACTGACGTCAGAATATAAAAATTACCATTCAATTTACTTAATCAAAAGACTAATCATTCAATTGATCATTAAATCATAGCACTAAATTAATAAATTGCAATTCCATTGAAATTTAAATTGTTTATTCAATTTTAAGCCAAAATTGTTTACATGATAAAGTTCAGGTAATGAAGAGACAAAATGAAAAACCAATTGATACGATTAACGGTAAACATTGAGACGATGATTGAACTGAATTAACTAATTGTTGTTCTGCTAATTGAATTATTTTATTAATACAAAATAAACAACAACATCAACAACAATTAATATCAAGATAATCAACATAGACAATCAAGACAATTATCTTATGATGATACAAACTTTTAGTTTGTTGCTCATTAAAACTAATTCATTAAGGTTAAATTGCTTAATCAACAAATTTTGTCTCTTAATCATCAACATCTCGTTGATTAGTTGTATGTTTATCTTATAATTATAATCAACATAGAGATGAGAAAAACATAATCATTTGGATGCTAATTGTTGCCAAAAAAAAATGGTTTCGGCAAAATTGCTGATGATTCAGTTTGAGTTGATTGTTGAATCTAAACAATCAGGAAACACACAATCATGATAATCAATTGTATTGACATATTCATGATTATATTCATTACTTATTATTATCTTCATCATGTCTCTCATCACTCAGAGTCTCTGTATCAATATGGCTCATCTTTTTCATGGTAAATTCAGAATCAGGAAATTATCACTCATTAAAAAGACAACTTGAAACCATGGCTATTATTATCATGGAGTAAATTGTGATAACACTACAATTGGGTGACAATCAGCATCAAATTAAACACCAATTAAACATGTTCGATAATAATCTTGAGCGTGGATTCTGTTTCCATGATTGGGCTTGAGCCAGAATTTGAAATAAGGCGAAGAAAAAAAATTTTCACCAGTCGATATTTGGGTTTACCGCTTTTTCCCCTGGTATCAGAATATAACTTGTAATTAGTTGGTGATCTGATTTATTTTAATTGTTCGCTCTAATTAATAAATTCAACAATCAACTCTAATTGTTTGTGATTAGTAAATACAATCATCAGATAATAGATGACGCGACCTGATACTTAACCATGGAGATGAAAAGTTTATCTCAAATTGTGAATGAAATTGAAATGAATAAGTGGCTTCATCTATTGGGAGAAAAGGTTAAAGTTGTTTTCTTGGTGACAATTAAATTTAATTAGCAACAATTAGGTAGGTAAAATATTAGGTACACATTGATCAAGATTTGATGAGGATGAGGATGATGTTAATGATGAAGATGATGGTTGAATAATTTAAGTTGAGATGGTCAATCAATTGGTTTTGCTGGTTCATCAATGGTTAAGTTAATTGTTTCCTTCATTTTTCTGTTGGTGTTTTGCTTTATGTACGTTTCCAATTTTTAATTAGTACAGCAATTAATACGGAGATTAGGGTGATTATTGCATTGGAAACCAAACCAATTAACGAGTAATTAACTTTAATGAATCTAAGTGATGAGAAGACAAAGATTATGAAACAAATTCCCAATCCAATTGTTATGTATCTCCTTTTGAATGCAATGGAAACAATTATTGCAAATCCGAGGAAAAATGATAAAATGGTTGACACAATTAACCAGATTCGGCCAAAGGTCACTTCGGAAGGTGAAACGTCAATTTTATTCTGATTAATAACTGATAGTCCATGGATCATACAGATAATGTCCACAATTAGGCTGATTAAAGTGTAACCAGCGAGGATACGGACAACAATTGACTTGATACTGGTCGATGTCGATGTCCGACTCAGGTCACAAGTCACTTCGGGATTCACTTGTTGCATCAAGAAAAAAATGGCCAAAGGTCAAATTAAAAGGTAAAAGACTAAATTACAACGAGATGAGAATCACAAAAATAGAGAGAGAGAGACAGAAAGAGAAACAATTAAACAATTAAATCAAATGAATATTAAACAGCTCAAACAAACAAAAGATAACGGTAAATGTATTGACCATAGTGAAGTAAAAACAATCAATTGATTACATGATTTAAATCGCTGTGATTGTGATTAACTTTCCACTTAGAAATGTCAACTGATTAAGATGATTTGATTATGATAATACTGTCGATGGAGCTAAATTGTTGACCAATTGGATGGTTAATTTGATTTTCAATGGTGACAATTTGAAAATTATCATTGCCATTAACATCATCATCATCATTATCATCATCAATTGTTTTTATCATACAATCAACAATAGTTAAATTGATGATTAAATGATATTATCACCATGTTAACATAATGATAAAAAGTTAAATTGTCATCATAATCACTAAGACAAAAGGATTTGGTGGTGATGGTGATAACTAATTGTTATTGTTGATTGTTGATTGTTGAATGAAAATGAAAATGAATAAGAATATACAATTTAACTGGATAATATAAACTCCCATTTGACTTTTTTGTACATCCAAAGCTAATTGTCATTCTCATCATCATCGTTTCTCCTCTGGATTAATGCATTTATGTTAAATTGTTTCATTGATTGTTACACCATTTTGGAAGAAATTAAGAAGATAAAAGGAAGATAGGAAGAAGAAAAATATTAAGGTCATCATGTAATAATTTTCTTCTCTTCTTCATCATTAACACAATTTGGAGAATTGACCAGCGACTATCGACTTCGACTCTGTTCTGGTTCTAAGTTGGAATCGATCGATCATCGATAAAAAAGTAAATAGCCAACAGAAAGATTTTCTCTTTCTTTCTCTTTCTTTATCTTCTTTCTTTCATCATCATCATCATCATCGAGATGATAACAGTTGATTTATAAAAAAAATTGATTCACAAAAAGCTCATAACGATTGGTTAATGTATCGATTGATTTAGTTACTTTGATTGTAATCAAGTTTCTGTTGCTTTACCTTTACTCTGATTATTTACAATTGCAATTACTTTTAATCACAATTAAACACTTTTCATACAATTAGCTCAACTGTTAATGTGGATTAAAATCACAAGTAATCAATTATGATTCGCGATCAAGTAAAAACAATCAATCAATTGATTGTGAGTCTATCGTTTTCATTTTCCTAATTGTCTTGATTATTTTTACCTGTTGGTTATCATGATTATTATTTTTTCTTGTTACTTATAATTAGTTGATTATGTTTATCATTGTTATTATTTTTCAGTGTTACAATGAACTTACTTACAAGACTATTGGTAAGTAACATTTGCCTAAGGGCAATATAACGGTTAATTGAATGAGGATAATATAAATTGTACTAATAATATTGATGATCTAAAATGAATACAATTGATTTTACTCATTTGCCTTTTCTTACCATTCAACAGTTAATCAAATAGATATCCAATGGAATTAATCAAGATAATAATCATCCTCATCATGGTGAATTTGGTAATTGAGCTTAATCATGAAGCGAATTGAATAAGTGTTCATCTACAGATGATAAAATTAGAACAATATTTTGTTCTAACTTTCGATTTTGAATTGAACCGGAAATGGAAACAAGTCCTTATGAATTTCTCCATGAAATGAACTCATTGAATTATCCCTTTCACCTTTGGAAATGATAGATTTCTTCTAAATTCTATCCGCAAGGAAGAAGAAAATAAAGTTCGATTTATATTTTATTTCGTCCTTTTCCCTTTTGGTTATGATAACAATCTAAAGAAAAGATGAGGAGAAAAGTCCAATGTCTCGAGTTCGAAGATGATAAATAGCTCGAAATGTTCGTGTTCGATATTGATCGTAGTGCTAATTTCACCTTTTTGACGAAATAAAGTTCGAAACTCGAAAAGGTAAACTAATCCAAATACAATTTACAAGTAAAGGGAAATTACATTTATATTTAAAATAAATAATTCTAATAGATAAACACAATTCCCACTCCACCCTCACCACGGTGGTAGTTTAAAATGGTGGAAAATATTAGTTATCATATTGAGCCCTCGGGCTTTGTATATATAAGTTGACATGATTATCTGCCCTTTGGCCATTTAAATGTACATTTTTCTTGCCTCACCAACAATCAATCAGCAACAATTCAAAATGTAATAAATTCAATTGCTCTTTGTTATTATATTTGTCTTTTTATTTGATTTAGTTAATCATTTCTCTCATAAATATACAATTAATTTACGCAACCAGCAACAAGACATTAGTTAATTGTTTGAACGTTTCATTTTAATACTTACTTTTGTTTTTCTGTTGATCAATTTTTAATTGTTATCATTATTGTATGAAAAGTTTTCATATGTAATTATGATTATTATTTGGTTGAAATTTCAATTGTTATGATGTTTACTTGATTGTTGTTTATTTCCTCCTAATAGTTGAGCTAATTAAAAGTTTTCATTGATCTAATTGTAGTGTTTACTAACTAATTAATATATTTATTTGGTAATTAAATGAGGGAAGAAAATTGTTTGTTATTTGATTGGTAAAATTGATCGATTGATTTTGCCAAACAATTAACAGGTTAGAAGTTAATATTATTATTATTAGATAGATGGAAAGAGTTTAATTGTTATGATTAAACTGATTGTTATCATCGTTTACCTGGTCCACCGAGAAACTCTGATCCACCAGGTCGATAAGGTCCAACAACGGGGCCATTTGAGTTTCGGGATAAAATTTCGGACAATTTTTTAGCCAAATAATAGCCGGTTGTTGCTCGTAACCTTTTACCCGATTCATTGGATGAAGAGGATGACCCGTAACTTGGATCTCGTTTACCGGGTCCACCCAAAAATTCAGAGACTCTTTTACCTGGTCCACCAAGAAATTCAGAATATCTTTTCGGTGGTGATTGAATTAAGAGGAAATCAGCTGATGGTGGGAAAGAAAGAGGCAAATGATCAACCGAAGGTGAAGATGAAGGTAAATACATTGAATTGATTGGAGAATCAAATGAATTTAAAGTTTCGACTGTTGAATAAATTGTTGATACGAAAAGAAAAATTAGAAACAATTAATTAGCTGATAATCAATACAACAAATGATCAGAAAAATTTTCTCATAACAATCAATAGTTTTATCAATAAGTTCATTTGAGTTTAGTTGATATTCATTTAAATTAGTATCAATTAGTAAGTTTAGTTTAGTGATTTAGTTATTTTTAATCTTGGATTTATTATTATTATGGATTAAACAATTAAGATTTAGATTGAGTTAAAGTTAATTAGGACAAACAAACATTGGGAGGAAAAAAGTTTATATTGTAATTTAGCAATTAATTTGGTTAAATACTTATGACAATTTGATTTGAGTAATAAAATTGATTCGGATTAACAACTTGGACAATATCAACAATTAGTAAATTGTGAACATTTTCACCAAATCACTAAAATATAATGTTTCAAATAATTATACTCAATGATTAAGTTACACCTTGATTAACACTAATGATGAACAGGTAATACATTTAATGGTTAATTGTGTGTATGTGTGTTGATTGTTGATATTATTTAAATTGTTAAGGTGACAATTAACAAAGGTTTAATTGTGAAATAAAAAGTTGAGAGATAATCGGATAAGGTCAGAGTTTACAGGTTTTTCAGTTGATTGTAGAGGGAAGTGATAGAATCCCTTTTCCACCGACTAGAAGGTGGGAAATTTTGTCTACTCTAACCAAGGAATTCTGATCCCATGCGCTTTCCCAGGAACTCCGAGCCCACCCTTTTACCCAGAAACTCTGAGCCCACCCTTTTGCCCAAGAATTCTGAGCCCACTCTTTTTCCCAGAAATTCTGAACCAACTCGTTTACCCAAGAACTCGGATCCCATTCGTTTTCCCAGAAATTCTGAGCCCATTCGCTTATCCACCGGTGAAGAGGAAGATGACAATGTTGATGATAAAGAAGAAGATGATGATGAAGATGATGAGGTGAGGATGATGATGATAAACCAACAGGTAAAAATAAGCTCGATCTGAACGATGATATTCTTGGCCCAGTTCCGGTTAAAATGTAATATAATTCAGGGCAACATTGGGAATTTTTTAGTTTATCGTTAACTGAATTAGCGTCTCTCAAATATTGAATCAATTCATTAAGCAGATTGTTGTTATTATCATTATTATAATTACTTCCTGGTCTGATTGTTTCTTGATTATCTCCAATGACAATATCTTAACCAGTTGAAATTTTGGCAAGTTCATAATTCATAAGTTGCAATAAGATTAATTAAATTTGAAAACAAGTTAATTAGTCTAATGATTAGTGTTTACATGATCATTTCTTTCATTTCTTAACCATGTACCGGTTAAGCTCATTAGAGTTTTTTTCGAGCTCAGAACTTTGGTTAGAACTTTTTTTTACTTCTTATTCGATGATCGACAAAACCTGATTATTATTATCTCCTTTTACCTTAGGAACGTTTCTATGACTTTTTTACATCATAATCTACAAAGAAAATGATGATTTGGATGATAATCATGAGAGTAAATTGTTGATTGGTGAAAGTTTTTTTCACTCTTCCCATGAACAAGATGATTTCATTAACGATTCAATTGTTGGTGGTTTTGATTCAGTTCTGTACATGATTATATGTTCAAGATGAATTTTCTAACTCATCAAATTAGCTTAAATTATCAACTCTGATAATCTGAGTGAGTGAACAATTAACTTAATGGTTTTCGTTATGTATTAATAGTGAGAATCAAATTGTTTATTTTACTTTTCTTGATAATATTTTTCATTTCATTCAATCACCATGAGAGTTTGAATTATATATATTGTGAAGGTGTTGAATCATTCAAATTAGTTGATTGTTTCATATGTAAGGAAAAGGAATTGATTGATTATCAACAATCAGTCTAAATGGTTAAGTGTCTTTGAAATCAGATCGGTTTGTTTTTTGTTTTGTCGAGTTGAGGAAAAGTTTTAAAACTTTTTGTTTCGAGTTGAGTTTTCGTTGAGTGAACATTTATCACTAAATATAAACAAAATCAATCAACTATTAATATAACTGATTGATTATTATTATCAAGTGAATTAAGATGAGTCAATAAGATAATTGAATATCTTTAACCCTTTAATGTTTCCACCATTTACAATCAATACGATTTTGGGTGAAAATATTGTGATTAATTTAATTTGATCCAGTTAAATGATTTGAGAAAAAAAAGTTGATCAACCAAATCTGATTGGTGGTGGGTTAAAGGGTTAATCATGATGATTAACAATTAGGAAGAGAGAGAGAGAGAGAAGAAAATTAATCAACTAAATTCTGTTGGTTCCATTAATCTGATCAACTAATATGAAATCAAATGGAATCGGTTGAAACTCAATCAAATCCTCATAGGAAAACAAAGTGAATCATTTTTGTCTTGAGGTTTTTTTTTGTTCAATAATTTCAATACTTTTACAGGGTGATGATGATGTTTATAGTTATCTAATCATTATCATGTACTATTCAAGTGAATTGTGTCAGAACTTAGATGATGTTAATTGTATTATTTATCTTCACAGACTTAAGATTATCCCTTTTGGATTTGTTAGTGAGTTTTATCATCTCTTTAACCATTGACTATAAATCATCATCTTGTCAACATTAATTTAACCCTGAAAATATTTAACTAACTCTGGTTATGTTCAAATGATTATCTTATTAACTGTTGATGAATCTCAAGTCGATATCAGTTAACCTCATCATCAGCCATTACTTATAACGGTAATTGAATTACATCATTATCATCAGGTGACAGGATCATCCACCTTCCGGATTTTCAGCAGCATTTCAATTTACTTTCATATCTTTTCATGCAGGGGATAAATTTTCATGGGAAAATCTGAATATCTTCAAGATAATATAGTAAATTTATATATTATATAGATTAAGGTGAAAGAGATTGAAAAATGAATTGGAAATCAGGAAAAAGCTTCATGTTTATTAGCATGTTAATTATGTGAGTATATCATAATCACCATGATGATATTGAGTAATCAACATGATAATGAATAAATTAACACAATCTGATGATGGTTAATATGTTAACTGTAACTCGTCAGGTTTATTATTCATGAATTTCATTGACAACAGGATTTACAATCAAATGATTTTCATGATTATGATGATACTTGATGAAAACTGAATTAACCTAAAGGTGATGATTGAACATGATTAACAACAATAGGTGATAATTATCATAATATAATAATGAATCAAGTTAATTCAACGCTGATTATCTTTACGTTAATTTGGTACAATGAATCAACACTTTTGACAGCATAAATTGTAAATTAACCTCATGTTTAGGATGACCAATAGATTAACTCTTGACCAATATCAGTGGGTAAAATTATCATAATCATAATCATGATAATCAAACTGAAGGTGAAATTATAATACAAACGAAAAGCTTTTGAAAGCATTTTAATCAACTAACAAATCAAATGAACATTGAACATATTATCATCATTTCCTTTTCCTTTTTCCATTCTCTTATATTTCATCTTCCTTGTCATCATCATCGTCATCATCTTTAAGTGCATCAATTGTTGATTGAATACTTGAGAATCATATATATAAGAGGCCAAAAGGAACTAAAAGAAATGTTAAAAAAACGATTTTTCTTCAACATCACTTGAGATTTTAATCTAATTTCCGATGATGAACATTAATGATTTAACTGATTTCTAATGATTCAACTTAATCAGATTGTATTTCATCATGTTGACCAATGGTCAACATGAATCGGTGAATCTAATCAATAGATAACAAAGTAAAAATGATAACAATTCCCTGTTGAGTTGTTATTATAATATCAACAATAAACTGATTTCCAATCAACTTGAACGTTGGTGAAAATATTGTTATACTTTTTAAAGATCAACAATCAAATCTATCAATAAATTATTACATGGGAGTTGATGATTACCATATGATTATTATCATATCAAGTTGATGATATTATTCAGAACGTTTTTTTTTCTTTCAGAATTTTGTTTCATGTAATTTTTCCCCCCTTTCCGTAGTCATATTATATTCACAAAACTATTATCATGGTAATAATTCAAATAGTCAGGGAGGGAGAGAGAGAGAGGAAATATTATTTACACCGATCTCATTATTATCCATGATTATTATTCACATGAAAGTTGTACTTTTTTTATTATGTTTCATGTTTTTTTTTTCATGGAGACTGAATTATTTACTGAATGATTGAAGGGGTGAACATGAGTAAGATAATTCAATGAGAATTCATCTTCGATATCATGATAATCATGAGGATTGTTACAAGATATTGATTGAAGTTGAGGTAATATTTTTTTTCTTCTTCAACGAAATTGATTCATTCCGATGAAATCGAAAGTGTTCAGACTGAAAATCCTGAGCACCAACACCAAGATTTCATATTTTCTTATGTTTGTCACTTGAAAGTTGATTGAATTTCGAACAGGAACTTTTTTCCCTTCTTCTTTTAACTAATTTTCTCTTAGAAAATTCATCTCTTGAACTTTTCCAGGCAAAAAAGTTCCACTTTCATCTTTAACTTTCAGCTGAAAACGTTAATTGTTACTGATTTTTGGACTTTTGCTACTTTGTTGGTAATAACAATTTACTAAATTGTGTGCATACTTTTCATGATCATCATAATTGGATGTGAATATTAAAGTAACCTGGATGATTAACAGGATTCCATGGGAGCGACAGGGAAATAATGAAGCTTCATGAAATGTTACGAATTGATAATAATAATAATAAAAAAGTTCCAACTTCAAGTCAACATTGATTAAGTAAACTTTTTGTTTTCTGATTATATTTGAATATGAATTAACACCCAAACATTATTAGCATGATCATCAGGGTAATAATAAAGTTGATGATGAAGATAAAAGTTCAGAGATGATTAAGTTGAGTGTTCATTAACATTTACTCAATTTACTGGGAAAACTTTAGCATCTAATTTGTCTTGGAACATTAAATTATTGTTAACAACAATTTAGACTTAATCATAATCATTTCGGGTCTTTTTATTATAATTTCAATCCTATAGGAATTCATATAATAGAATTAGAACTTTTTTTTACAAAATCTTAATCTCGAAATTTTCGATTTCAATTTCAATTTTTTGGTTCTAAGTTGAGATAATTAGTTCTAATTGTCATGGAATAATAATAATCAGATTTTCTCTTTCATCTTTGAAGTTGATTAATTGTTTAGAATTGTTGTTAGATTAGTTTTAGTTTAGATTTAATTTGGTTTGTTAATTGTAATTGTAATTAAGTTTTAATTACTTACCTGGTTTGTAGGGTGAGTATGAAGTTGTTGTAGTGACCATTGAGATTGTCATTAAGATGATTGTGATCAAGATGGATACACAGGAGTGTTGATTAATTACTGATTGGCTCATGGTGATTACAATTAAGATGTTATAACAATCAAATTTGAAAGGATTGTAATGTGAGTAAGATGATTAACTAATTTTGTCTTTCGAGTGAAATTATTTCAACAATTTATAGATGAAGTAAATTTCTTATGATGATTTATATTCAACAGCAAAAGAAACAGAGAAACAAAAAAAGTTTAATTGCTATGTTTACTGAGACAATTAACTGATTCAGTTTTGTCCTAAATGATATCAGACTCAAAGAGGAATTGAAATATTATCACAATTTTTTCATTCTTTTATCAGTAAACTTACCTGTTAATGCTCAAGTACAGTTGATGAATCAGACAACGACTGCTCATCTTATATGGTTAATATTATTATCGTAACAATTTAATATTGATTAACATCGTAGGTGTTAATTGTTGGTTCATTCCAATGGTTTAATCGCTCAAATTTATACGATAAAATTTAATAATAATCTCTTGGCGGGCGCATCAATAATAATTCAATTTTCCATCAGAATTTTCATTCGATCTCAGGTAAGATTATTAATTAATCTCTAATTTCAGATTCTCTTTTCGTCTGAAATCAACTCAATCACCTTTTCGACATCAAGGGTAATCGATCATCGCTGATCCTTGAGACCTCTTGTTCTCAGAACGATTTTATCAATAGTTTTAAAGAGCATATCAAATATTATTTGGAAAACTTTTTTCAAATCATTTTAAATATAGAAAAATGTAAAATAATATCAATGGAAGAAGAGAAATTATCTTAATTGTTACTCAGACGTAACAATCAGCGTTGATATTTTGTTTCTTTTTCTTGATTTCCATTGATAAAGATGAAAGAACAATTAACTTTTCCATAATTTATCATTTTAATGTTAACTCGTAAATCCGATTAATCAATTGTAATGATCGATAATCAATAGATTTTTTGGTTTATCTTCAATTGGCTCATTTGGCATTTCGACTACAATTAAGGAGAAATATTTAAAATTAGATTAATATCATGAGAAAGAAAAAGTTTTCTAATCATTTCCAATCGTAATTAACTCTGATGGTTAATCAATTAGTAACTTTGAAAATGATTAGAAATTAGTGTTCACATGTATCTTAAGCTGGAAAAACAAGACTTATGATTAGTTTAATTGTTACCTTATTTTACCGATAATTTAATCAATATAATTTACAATTCCATGTTAATTATGATGATGTGATTGGGTTGATTTCTCAGTTAAAGGAACATTAATAAATCATTTGAATGAGAGAAGAAAAAAAAATCATTAAGGTTTAATACTCATGTACACGAATAAGTTTCAATGTTGATTCCTTAATCACATTGATTCATTGATAATCAACAGATCATCTTGTTGAATACATTTTTAATTAGCAACCGTAGGATGAAACAATTAACAGTCAACATTGGTTCGTAATATTAATTGTATGTTGTCGTGATTTTTTTTTCTAATTTCTGATCTCATAACATTTGATAATTGAAGTTAATTTCTGTTGGATTAACTTTCTTGATAAAGTCTAAATCCGATTAGTTCATTTGAGATTTGATTGATTAATTATGGATAAATTATCATCTCAACAATTAACTGAGCTTTCCAATTATTTTGAGAAACAATTATTACTCCACTTTGATTATATTGGCCAGTCAACTAAACGGAAAATAGTTTCTTATTTATCATTAATATTTTTCACTCTAATCACAATTAAGACAATTGTTTTTACCCTTTTACCTCCTACTAATCCATTGTTGTATTATCTTGGCGATGCAACGATTACCTTTGGCCCTATTCGGACTCCATTGGACTTATTGTTGACCATTTGGACAATTGCCGCTCTCTACTGTGGCCTATTCCTTAAATATACCAATTGGTCAGTTAAATATCAACACTGGGTCCGAGTTAATTCATTGTTAACATCTAAAAATCAATTCGATATTAAAGTGATCAAATTGTTTCTCCATCAAACTCAATCCAATCTCATCTTAGCTTTTGTATTGACCGTTGGTCTTAATAGTCCACTATTATTTCAATGTCCACCGGGTTCTTATTTACTCAATATTATTTACATGGGTCTTCATGGAATCGCCGGTTTCCTTGTTTCCGCTTATGCGATCAATTTTGGCTTCTTTTTTGGCCTTGATATGTTTTTTATCGCTCAGCGATTTGATTCGTATCATCTTTCCTTGAGGTCACTTGGTAATTCTGCTGATATATCCAATTCCAAGAGAGATATTTTAATCCGTCGATCGGTGAAACATATTACCAACCAATTAAAGTCGATCGTTGTTACTTATTATTTTTGGGAGAAATTAAATCATTCACTGTTCATCTCATCGTTTATTAATCAATCGTTAATTTTGTATCTTGTCTTTTGCTCGCCAACTCGACAGGATCTTAAAATTGTCTTGACCATTTATGGATTACTCAATTGTGCCACTGGTCAATCGTTACATTTTATATCAGCCAATTATGCCCAGAAAAAGGTAATACGTTTGGGTTGAGTTTCCATTTGATTGATTTAATTGTTTTGATTGTTTGATTTTGTTTTGTTTTGTTTTTCCTTTCGATCTTTTTTTTTTGTTATTGTCACAGATTGACCACACCATTGGTCAGTTAACTTCGATTGGCATTAGGATACAACAAACCCGAATCAAATTGGCAGTTCTAAATTTCCTTGAATATGTTACCCAGAGAAAATATTTCACCATCTTTGGTGATCTTGAATATTCATCAAAGAATCTCCTTAGTGTTAGTTGATTGATTCTAATTGTTGACAATATTAATTGGTCCTTATTTTGTTTCCTCCATTAGGTGACCATTGAAAACGCTGCTCTCTTATTACTCCTTGTGGCCAATTTGGGGGTTCGACAGATATTCTGATTGTCGTCTTGATCGTTGTCCTTTTATCTTGTAATTAACAAGAATACAATTAGAGATAATCAAAGTTTATCTGTGCAAAAGAAATGATTCATTTTTTAGTTACATGTATTATATTACCGCTGTATTAGATAAACATTGAACTTGAAGATTGGTCAAATTTAATTGTGATAATCAATGAGAAGTGTTTCAAATTATATGATGAATATTCATCTTTTACGATTTCGTCTCTTATTTACAACCGTCCATTCATTTGAATCACTCATTTCGACATCATTCCCTGATTGTTGTGAAGTTAAATTGCTCTCCGATGATGATGATGATGTTGTTGCTTGTAAATTTGGATCAGTATTTTGAACAGCTGATGGTTGTTGGTCATTTGAGAGAACCATTCTCTCCATACTCTCAGTAAGGGTTTTATTTTCCTTGGCCAAGGCTTCCTTTTTTAGACGATTTAATCGTTTTCGATCATCCATTATCCCGCACACCGAATTAACTTTACCAGTTGACCATAATAAATGATATTCCAACAGTTTATCAACAAATATATCCATCGATTTATCCATAGGAACAAAATCAAACTCGTTATCAACTATTGCAGCAACATAATTGTTTATCTCGTTTTTTAATTGCTCCTCGGGTGTAGTTCGAAAATAATCAAATAAAACATCACCCATCCAAATTAATTTCTCACCCGCTTGCCGACCACCAGCTCCATAAACTTCAATCACATGTAACAATTCAGTCCATTCGTTGATAGATTGTTTTATGGCCTCTTGGAATATATAACTAGTATTACCCTCATAAGTCATAATTAAACAAATTGTTCGACGAAACAAAAAAAAAGAATCAAAAACACAAATTTAATAGAAAACAATTAGAGAAAATTAAATTCAATATTCCAAATAAAAATTAACCTTCTCATCATCTGTTGGAAAAATGATGAAACTCCTTTGGGGAACATTTAATTAGAACAAAATGGAAAACTAATTATTCTTTTCTGATTAATTTTCTTTAATTAGTTAACGATTATTTAGAAAATAGTTTAATGTTGATTGTTGAGATTAAGGAAAATTAATTTAATCATTAGATGAAAAGATTAATTGTTTTAAAGAAGGAAAATGGATTAGAACTTAGGAGATGGTCCCTAACACGAGGATTCTGTTGATTTTTTTTTCTTGGTTTCTTGTAATTCAATGTTTCTTTTAATTTGATTGTTGGACTTGATTTTTTTCTTTGTATTTTAGATTAATTGTTTTTGTTTAATTGTTAATCGAGAGTTTAACTCTTCTATTTTACATTAATGTCATTTGAATCGGTTGATGAGCAGAGTGGAAGACTGATTGAAGATGATTATTACACTTTACTCAATCTTGATCGCACTGTAAGTACATATGAAGATTTTAATTTTCCTTTTATTTTTGATTGTTCAATTATAACTGAATTAACTTTCATTTAAATTGGGTATAAGATTGTATTATTCATTAATATTTAGGGTGCAAATGTGCTAACTATATTATGTTAACAATTCTCTTTTTTTTTTCTCTTTGAAAATGATTGAGAACAATTTTCTTATTCTCACCGGTATTTTTTTTCTTCTTTTTTTCTCTCATCATATTATCACCTGATCTTCAATGCTCATGGATTATTTTAACCTTTCTCCAGGCAACTGTGGACGAAATTAGAGATTCATACAAGAAATTTAGTAAAATCTATCACCCCGATAAACACACTGATCCTCTTCTCAAGAAACAAGCTGAAGTTTTATTTACCAAGACCAAAAAAGCCTATGAAGGTTTGTCTCAATTTATATAATTGCAAGATCTTTGATGACCTTAGATGACAATTGATTTTTTGGTTTTCTTTTCTATTCTTTTCTAAAGTGCTAATTGACCCTCACAAGAGAGCTATTTATGATACCCTTGGTGTTAAAGGTTTGGAAACTGAGGGATGGGAGATTGTCCAGCGAACCAAAACACCAAATGAAATTCGTGAAGAATATGAAAGACTGGAAAGAGAGAGACAAGAACGTCGTTTACAACAACGAGCAAATCCAAGAGGAAATATCACCATAGGAATTAATGCCACCGATTTATTTGAAACTTATGATTTCGATGATGGTGAAGATTATGATGATGATGATGAAGGCTTCTTTTCACTGGCTAATCTTGAAATTAGCTCAATGGAAATTGATCAATCTTTAGATGCACCATTAACAACCAAAGATACACTTTCGTTAACTGGTAATCTACAAAATAAAAACGGCATCGGTGGTGGTGCCTTTGCCACAAGCCTGCGACATGTTTCATCACCGACATCTTGGTATGAATATCAATTTACCGCTGGTCAAGGTCCACTTTTTGGTCTTAAATGGTTTCGCTATTTAACTAAACGATCATTTTGTACCATCAATGGTCTATGTCACTATAATTCAGGGGAATTGACTCCCGGAATCGAAGTTGGTTAGTTCATACATTTATCTCCAATCACCAGAAGAATATTTATCATATTTAATTACCTTTTCTCTCTGTATAGTTTTGTATCGTCATCTTGACAAGAATCTCGAAGGATTTTTAACTTGGAAATTTGGATTAGAAAGTTGTGTCAATACAACAATCGCTTGGAAGAACCCAAATCATTCAGTTATCAGTCGAATTCAGGTAAAACAAAATTTACCCTCCACAACAATTTAGTTATCATGCTAATCATTAATTTTATTGATTTAATTCTAATTCCGATTTAGTTTGGTATTCCAAATACATTCATCTCTATGAGCTATACCCGTAACTTGTCATTCAATGATACCAAAATTAAATGTGGAATCAAGTAAGTATTCAAATGATAATTTACTTTTCTCTGACAATTTGAAGACTAATTTAAATCATCTAAATCAGAGGTGGTTTCTTTGGTGCGATCGTTGAATATGGCTGGGAAACTCGGATATCACAACATTCAGTGGCTGGAACCACTCTATCTATTGGTACAAAATCCGGTGTATCATGTAAATTAAGGTATCAAATTGAATTCCAATCAAATTGATTAACTGTTATGTCAGAATTTAATTTAATTTTCTTCTTCTTTCTCTTCCATAGATTGAAACGAGCAAATCAAAGTTATACTTTTTCCATTCTTCTCTCGGAAAGTATTATACCTTCACCCATTTTCTATGGAACTCTAGTTCCAATAGCTGCCTATTTATGTGCCAAATCTTTTGTGATAGATCCTTATAACGAAGCGGAAAAGGAAAAGGAACTACGAAAATCGAGGAATGAAAATTCAGCTGAAATGATTGTCAAAAGAAAAGAAGCTGAAACTGCTATCGATCTTATGTCCGAAACTTATCATAGAAATTGTTCTAATGAACGATCAAAATCTGGTCTATTAATCGAAAGAGCAATTTATGGTTCCAAGAAAAGTATCACTCTTATTCTTGAGAATGACCATTCAATGGACTCAACATCCACCTCTTCATTTTCATTATCCCAATTAACGGATATTCATGATGTCCGAATACCTTTACAGTGCCTTGTTCAAAATAGTAGTCTAACATTACCTAGTTCATCAAAGGTAAACTAATTGTTTGTTAATTATTCTCACGTTTAATTAGTTGATTCATTTTCTTTTAAATTGTTTTTCTCTTCCCAATAATAGTTCAATTTACCAGGATTCTATGATCCATGTTTTGGTGAAGACAAGGGATTGTTGATACAATATAAATTTAGAAATGATAATTATCAAATTGTTATCAACGATGACGATAAATTGAAAATTCCATCTCAAAGTAAGTGTTAATTGTTAACAATTATATCGCCAATCCACTTAATTGTCCTTGATTATTGATTTATTTACTTATTAATTATTCATTTTCAACTAATAATTGTTATTATTTTTTATCCTTCCCTTTTCAGATCACATTGTTAATCCTGGTTTTTAGATTTATTTACTTAATCATGATGATAATGATAGTAATTAACTTTAAATTGTAAATTGGATCAACTTGATCAATCCATCCAAATGAAGTCAACAATTTCTATCACAATTTGATCTTTATCATGATGATAATGATAATTGTTTAGAATTGATTATTATTATGAAGGACAAAGAAAAGGAAACAAAATAGTAAACAATCAACTGAACAATGATCACTTTTGATTAAATTAACTTTTCTTTTCCAATACAATCAACTGAACAATGGTAAATACATATTAATATATTTTTCTCTTTTATTTATAAATATTAATTCAGTTCAAATTGTTAGCAATTGAGAGGTTTAAAGAAAAGTTCTCTTTCTTTTTATCTTTCTTTTTTTCTTCTCTCAAATCAATACAAAAATTAGTGAGATACAATTTACATTGTGAATTTGATTCGATTCCTTCTGATAGTGTTAATTGTTGTTAATAACCATGAAATTTTTTCTCTCTCTCTTCCTCTCTCTCTTTGAAAACAAAGCATCAGATTTAGTGTCATCATCATCATTACAATTAAACATTACCATTTACAAATGGATTTAGGAGGAGGAAACGTAAAGAAGGAGCAATTAACAGGTTATTACAATTAAAGTGACTTATTTTTTGTGTTTGTGAAGAGATTACAAAGAGATTAGTTAATATAAGATTAAAATGAGCAAAAAAAATCAATAATAATAGATTGATAATCATACATGTACATTGTAAAATTTTTTTAGACAATTAAAATTAGACGATAGATTGTTGTATAAGAAAAACTTATTAAATTAATTGTTACACTCGTTTTACCTTAGATTAGATCTCATTAATAACACTTAGAAAAAGAGAGAGAGAGAAAGAAATAGATTACATTGATTGGATTATAATTAAAAGGAATGAGAAATATATATAGAGAAAAGAAGATTAATTAATTATGGAAATTAATTGATTTTCAATAATTCCACTGAAAAAATATTTCGGTTTCGTGTTATATAAATGTGACTAGTTTAAAGTAAACGAGTGTTAATTTATAAATGGTAACTTTTTTCTTTCTCAATCTTTCATATTTTAATTAATTGTAAATTAATTTAATTATTTATCAAACTCGACTTTGTCGTCATACTTGAATTTTTTAGAGAGAGAGAGAGAGAGAGAGAGATGAGCATGGGAGTGGGAGGGGAAAGATTCAATTATTGGAGTGTATGAATAGGAAGAAGAAAATTAATTCATTGATCTTAATTGATTGATTGATATTCAGTTGATATTTCAATTGACAAGGCAGATCTATGAGATATACATTGTAAGTGAGAGAGCATGAGAGTTGATTGATCAATTACCAAAAAACAACAACAACAATATCAACAGTTTATGATTATGTTGCACAATTGATTTCGTTCAATGTTGATCAGTTGATTGTTTTTTTTTGCTTCTTGCTCAATTGTTTTTTGTTTTGTAAATTCTGGCAAGTAAATTCATGTTTAAAATAAATACCATTTAACTTAACCAAGAAAAAAGGGAAGATTAGATTGTTGAGAGATACGAGAAGGCGTGAAAGTTGATTAGTGTTGATTTTGGTTGTAATAATGGTTTGGTGTATGATGGGAGTGAAAAAGGATAGGGTGTCTTTGATCTGGATTGTTTGTTAAATTGACATGATTAAGATTCAATGGTGTGAGTGTTTTTTTTGTTGATCATAACAAACACATGATAAAAACCGGTTCATATGCATATAATTTAAATTATATTAAATATAATATTTATATTGCAAAGAGTAAGGGGAAAAATAAGATAACCATGAAACCAGTGATAACTTTGCGTTTGGTAATCAATTTGATTAACTAGTACTTTTGATGACACTTTTCGTGTTTTCGACAATGATTAATGTTTAAGTTTGTATCTTGGTTGCTGATTTCTTACTTTTACCTACTCTTTGGTGAGTGTATTTGTGTGGGGAGGTTATTGTGGGTTCTATGTTCATATGATTGAGATGGAGTGAGAGAGAAATGGGAGCAGAGAGAGAGAGAGAGAGAGAGATGAGGCACTATCATAGGAAGCATAACACACAATGATGGAGAGGGAGAAAGAGAGAGAAACGAAAAATGAAAGGATGAGAGTGAAATTGGGGGATTGATGAGGACGAATCAAAGTGTCTCGACTTTTGGACAATTAATTACATTGATTTTCCTATATGCATGCATAGCTTATCGATGAATCTGCTTCACTGAGATAACGCCCTAGAATGAGAAAAGATAATCATTGAGAGAAAAGAAAATTTTATTAATATGAATTGAGTTTGAGGTGAGAAAATTTTTTTCAATTTATTCATACCTGTTGAGATTTGTTTCTTCATTAACGAGATCCGGTAACCAATACAATTTAAAGCAAACTCTACACCCGAAAAAGTAGCCCCGTTACCGCTGAATTGTACATTAACTGCTCCTGGTGTTGATGGTCCATCGGATACATCAAATTTGGCTTTTAACGATCCCAGACCTTTTCCTTCCGATCCAACTGATACTTCATCAAATTGCCAGGAAATTGATTTTTTCTCCTCGTTCCTGTTAAAGTATTTTTATACATATAAATGAATAAGAATGAAAGATAAAGTTAATTGTGATTAATTTTGATGGTTCATTTTTTTTTCTTCTTCGCTTTCAATTAGTTTGTTGTTTTTTTATCGACTGATTGTTTATAGTTTCTTGCTTAATCACGTTGTTCTAATAGAATGAGTAAAGTACGTAATTAATTGATCAGAGTGAGCAACAGTACCATAAGCACTCAATCATATGAGAAGTCAACAGTAATATGAGTAATAAATAACAATGAGAAGAAAAAAAAATTGTATATCAAACTCGTTATTAGTTAATTACCATGTAGCATTGGGCGTAGTTTTAAATGATTGGACTCCTCCATCAACATTAACACTGAAAGTTACATTTTTTAAAGGTTGAATTGATGATAATGCACAAGCATTGTATTTGTAATCTACTTTCAATCCTGTTGTGGTTGGTTCACATTTCCAATGCGAAACGACCTGAAGAGGACAAAAGGTCGCTCCCCTGGCCTTTAATTGATACTTTAAAATTTCAGCATTGAAATATCGACTATGAGGTGATTGTTCACTCAATTTTTTCAAATGATTTGTTAATCCGACCATATTCATATCGAAACAATATGTATCCGTTTTAATACCATTCTCAATGCTTTTATTACTATAGAAATTGAAAGAAAAAAAAAGAAGCGAAAAGAAAAATTCATATTAGTAAAATTATATAAACAGATCGAAGGATTTTGGTTGATTGGTGAATATGAGAAATTAAGTTTAAGATGATAAACTGGGTCGATGGTGAAGAAAAATAAGTAAACATTTAGAGAGAGAGAGAGAAAGAGAGATGATGATGATGATGATGATGATGATGATGATGAATCAAGATTGAGGCTCAACGATCCATGGTTAACAAATTATACTCACTGCATCACAATATCTTTGTTCGGGATCAATCGCTCGAATCTGGAGCTATTGGTAAGTTTAAATGATAATAAGGCTGGACAAGTATTGTTTGCGAAAACCTGTAAACAGTAAACATTAATAAGTAAATAAAATTAAGAGAAAGGTACATAATGAACAATTGAAGGAAAAGATGATGGAAAGGAAAAAGAATGTAAAGAGAAAACTGTTAGCTTAATTTTTGTTTTTCTGTTCTTTTCTGTGAAAAAGATCTAATAAGTTGGAATAGGAAGATAGAATGTAAAGAGAAAGAGAATGAGGAATATCAAGAAAAGAATGTTGTTTTTCTTTCCTCATAGTAAGATGTAAGTAAAATGTGAGTAGGAGGAAAGAAAAATATTAGGAAGATTAAATGAAGAAATTGATGATGAAAACACGAGAGAAAAAGAAATTTAAAAAGATGAGATTAGGAAGGAAAATTAAAGGAAGCAAATGTTTATGATAATGATTATGATTATGATTATGATGATGTGATGATGGTGAAAATGATTAAGAGACAAGCAAACGGGTCATTTGATACTTTACTTGTATTATGCCAGAAGGAAACGCTATCTTGAGACTACCAATAATCTGAATCCGGCACTTTGATTCATCTGAGCCCTTAAAACGAGCTGAAATACATTCTTGAATTGCCACAGCAATTGGAATCACATTTGTCAGTCCAAGTGTCAACGGTGAAGGTCCTTGGGATGATGATGAGTTCACTGACACTGGAGTCATCCTTACTTCACTTGAAAGACTACCATACGACTTACAACGAGTCATATTATTAGGATGAGAGATAGAAGGTGATATTGAAAGCCTTTTAACTGTTTTCCTAAGCTCAGCAACACTTGGTCCACCATTTGTTAACTGGATGGGTTTAATTTCAAATTTAAATCTTTTCCCTTGTTTTTCATCTTCAGAATCATCATCGGAACTTGAATAGAAATGATCATCCTCTTCTTTACGATTATTTCCAACATCATTACGGATTATATAACCTTCTTCATCAACTTGAACACCATCCGGACCAACAAAAGTGTTGATATTTTGTTTTCTTCTTGTCTCTTTGCTATTCTTTAATTATGTGGACGAGCGAAACAAACAATAACAATTTCAAACCAAATGAGAGAAGAGAACAAAAATTGAAATGGAATTAAAATGATTGGATTGACCATCATCAAGAAAAATCCAAAAATCAAAAAGACAATAACGTTTCGATATCCAGATTCATTTCAACATTTAAACACAAGGTACCAAGAGACAACAGCATAGAATAAAAAAAGGAAAAGAATAAAGAAAAAGAAAAAGAAACAAACATTAATAACAATTTCAAAGTATAAAAGGAAAAGAAAATGAAAAAAAAACAATTGTCAAAATAAGGGAATAAATACCTTAGCCGTCATTCGTCTTATATCACTTAAGCCTAAACTATCTAATACTTTATCCATGGTTGATTATTACACTAGAATCAAATTACTTTAACAACAAAAAAACAAAAAAGATTAAAAAATAAAACACTAATTAACTTAAATGTAGAAAAAAAAATTATTCAATCACACGTAGAGTCAATTGAATGGTTAATAGAAATGAAGAAAAAAAAATTCTTTTCTTCATTTTTGAGAACTGGAAACTTTTTCTTTCCACCGATAGAGGGAAACAGATAACAATCTCTACGTAGATGTTAGAATAGCCTTTTTGCTGTGGAAATAGACAAATGGTCGTAAGTTTTTTTGTTTGGGAATAAAATTGAATTGGAAAAATTAATTCTAATTACAATTTGTTTTCTTTTTTTTATACAATAATTTGTTTTTAATCGATTCCAAAATGTTTATCAAAATCTGATGCACTTATTTTTCCCTTTTTTAGCTTTTTAACCATTCGTGCATCTTCAGCGAGTTCATCAAATTCAACTTGATTAATGAATCGTTTTTTTTTCTTCCCTCTTAATCCACAAGAGTTAATTGTTGCCTTCATTTTAATCCGTTGTTCGGTTATTGGAATATTTTTCTTCGATTTATGGCTAATTGTTGGTTGTTCTGTTGTTTGGCTGGTTGATGATAAACCTTTGCTTTTATTTCGTTGTTTTAATATATTTCTCTGATGGTTAAGGGCAATCTCTTTGTCTCCTGGTTCACTTAATAGTTTGGTTGGACAATTAGATAATTTTTTCCGCAATTCTGGCATAACTGGAACTTTCAATAATCCATAAGCATTTGCCAAGTCAATCCAGTCCATTGATTTAAATAAAAGGGTTGACATAATGTTTTGAGTTGAGTAATTACGAATAAAGGAAACAAAGGATTTCATTGAATTGATATAAAAATCACAATTATCTCGAGCTGATTGTCGTAACCAGGAACAAATTGAATCAGCTAATTTGATCACTTTCTTTGTTGGTACTTTTAATTGGGTAAAAGTAATTCCTTTCTCTTGGCATAAAGTAATATAATCAATCTCATGTTGTAAACAAATTATCAATGAATTACCCTGAGTACCAATTTGATGGCCACTTCGTCCTGATCGATGAATATAATCTTGAATTGTATTGGGTAAATCAATGTTAATTACCCAATCAATTTCAGGAATATCAATACCACGACTCATTATATCGGTACAAATTAGAATGGATCCTGTTTCGATTGATTTAAATTTGTTGAAAATCTTTTGACGACGAGCTTTTAATTTACGGTGAATTTTGAAAATCGTGATTCCGGTTGGTCCAAAATTTTCCAAAACTTGAGTAAAATGATCAACTTGAGCACAAGTTGAGAAAAACAATATATATTTGAATGATGGATTTCGAGAGATAAATTGTATCACAAAGGCCAATTTATGAGTGTTGCTTTCGACTGTAGCATAATTGTTGGACAGGTAGGAGATATTTGGAGTCCAGTTGATTTTAAAAGTGATTTGGTTCCTGAAGATAAACTAGATTCAATTCCAGAGTCTCCTAGTTGGATTGCTTTCTTTTCCTTAATCTCAACACGAATTGGATTCCGTAAGCCCAATTTAACTAATCGACTGATTAGTTTGGTCTGTGTTGCACTAAATAAACCAGTTCGTCGTAATTTAGGTAAATAACTGAGAATTTCATTTACTTCTTTATCGAATCCCATATCAAGTAGAACATCAGTTTCATCGATAACCAAAACTTGAAGATGTTTTCGTAATTTATAACCAATTTGTGGATATTTTTCCAATAGATCAACCATACGACCAGGGGTGACAACGAATATATTTCCTCCATTGGCGATGAAATTTTCACCATCAATTATTGGATTATTACCACCGATGAACAGTTGAGCATTAAGAAAATTGGAAAGTGATGGATCATCGACAAATTGTTTCAATACATCAAATGTTTGTGAAGATAATTCTCTGGTTGGACTGATGATAAGAGCACCAATTGCAAATTTATCGAAAGACTCAGTTTGATATTGTTTGATTAGAATGTCAAGAATTGAAACAATAAAAGCTAAACTTTTACCCGAACCCGTAACAGCCTCACAACAAACATCTTTGTAACCAGTGAATAGAGGGATGACCGCTTTTTGAACGGGAGTCATTTGTTTGAAACCAAATTTATCTCTAATAATTGATAAGATTCTTCCATCAACAGACAAAGAATCCCATGAAAAATCGTCCATCTAGAAAAGAAAATAAAAAAGAGATAGAAAAACAAAATAGAAAAGAAAAGAAAAAATCAACATTGAAAATATCGAAAAGAAAATCAAATTACCAACCTACCGAAAAGAAGAAACAAAACAACTGAACCTACCTTGTTATCCGAATGTCAAAACGATCGAATTTGTTTAGAAACAATTAATATCGAACAACAATTAAGAACAATCAAAAAAGAAAATATAATATCAAAACAATTTAAACTCTCACATGTTGAGAAATGAAATCAGCGAATTCGGGAACTCGGATTTTCGCTTGGATTCTACTCTCTTTTTCAAGTACTTCGGGTAATACAATTAATTGTTTATTCTTCAACTAATCGGTTGATTAAATCAATTTCCTTGTCGAAAACAAACATCGAAAATCAGTTAGTTAGTTAAAAGTTCGAAATAGAATTAAAGAAAGAGAAAAAATTGAAAAAAACATTATCCGGATTCGAATAGAAAATAAAAGTAAAAATATCGGTTAAGGATTCGCCCGAAACCATATGATGAATTTCTGGTTTTCTGTTTATGTTTCAAAATTGTTGTTCTTTGTTTATTTGTGCTAATTGTTACTAATCAATTTGAATTGTTTTTCTTTTTGTGAAAAGATGAGATTCAATTACTAGAAGATATCTTTCGAAGGGATTTTCTCCAATCAATGTAAGTGACAAAATCTGTAATTAGTTCACTTGTCAATTTCTTATTATTATGTTTTTGAATTTTCTCATTATGAGTTATTATTATTGACTTTGATTCTTTTTTTTTTGCTTTGGTTAAACTTTAATTTGATTCTTGATTTTAAATTGTCAATGGAATTTGATAAATTGGGATTTCTTAGGAAATATGATGACAGATCCATCTGACTCTTTACCAGATTCATTTGCAGCTACAAATTCAATTGACCAAAAGCTTGTTTCACTTGAACAAAACGACCAATCAATTGATCATTCAATCATGGAAACCGAATCAATTACTGATTTCGACAATGGTTCCGAAATAGCAAATGAAGATTCCCAGAATAAAACTTTACTCAAAAGATTAGGTCCAGTTATACAATCGGAAGATACAAGACTTTCCTTTGCCGACAACAATGAAGTTATTTTGGCTCCACCGGAATCAGTTGATATGAGGCCCAGTTCCTCATCATGTCCACCCATGGGTCACAAGAATCTAGAAGAAGCCTCAATGGATGAAAGTAAAGATAGTGTTGTATCATCTCAAAGTACTTCTTCCAGAAAACGAAAATCAAACGCTGATTGTCTGGTCATCGGAACCGCAATGACCACCAGATCAAAATCAAACGACTCAAGTAAATTTATAATCCCTAAGAAAATGATCTTAATTTAATTTCTATTCTTCTAATTTATCTTCTTTTTTTTCACCTACTTTATTCAAGATGGTGCATTTGTAACCATAAATGTCTCCTTTCCTGCCGATAAACTCTATGAATATGAATGGCCTACAGGAAGTGGTGACCATTACATGTTACAAGAGCAAATATCTGAATATCTTGGCATAAAATCATTCAAAAGAAAATATCCCGACCTGGAAAGACGTACAGTTGAAATGGAGGAGAAACAATTTCTCAGAGATCAGAATGTTGTCTCGGAAACTCAATGTGATTTAGGATTATTTGCCCTTAAAACCGATGAAATTATGGATCTGATTAGTCGAGATTATCCTGCCAAATATGAAGAATACATGAAAGTATTGGACAGAAGGAAAGAGGAAAATTATGTGGCCACCAAGATAAATAAACCCGCTTATCCAACCGGAAGTGTTGAGAAAAATAAGATGAATGAGATGATGAAGAAGGCGATTAAATCGGTTACCGCTTACAATTCTGAATTAAATCAGTGTAGAAAAGATGAGAGACGATTTTCAATTGATCTACAAACCTATTCAGTTCATTATCCAATTGGTTTGGGTAAAGATAATAAAATGTTAAAGAAAAATGTTGCCACTGGTAAATGTTTACAGGTCGGTAAATATCCGGTGGCCACGATTCATGGACAATATCAAGATTGGTACATTAAATATTCACCTGAGGAATTGAAATATTTCCCGATTAATACTGTTCTTTATGGACCAATGATCTCATCTAAACCTAAACCTGATGGAGAAGGTGAATGTTCATCAGCCAGTGATTCTGCCAGTGATTCTGATAGTGGTTCTGGAAGTGAATCAGAATCATCATCATCCAATTAATCATTCATTTTCTTTTTCTAATTACTGATGATCATTTTACTCTGACCATAGTATGAAACCCATGGCGAATCCATTTTATTTGTGACAAATATCATCTTTTTTTTTATCCTCTGTTGTGTAAAAAAAAAGTAAACAATTTTTACCAAAATTAAACAATACATTTCAAATTGTCAAATTAAAATGCAATTGGTTTGTTTTCAAACTTTGTTAGATTCAACTATCAATAGTAGAGATGATTTAAGATGAATTGTATTAATGATTAACTTGATTTTGTTTTTCCTTTTTTTTGTTGTTGTGATTTGTTTGGTTTTGTTTGTTTGTTTGTTTTCTTGTTAACGGTAATCGTCTCGTGATTTAATTGCTATTATTTAGATTTGCTTGAGTCAATCGAATTAGACTTATTAGCCTGACGATCAATTGAGTTGCAATTAGATTTAATTGTTCCTTTTCCTTGTTTTTGTTGTCCTTTTGATTGTAAAGTTGAATTAATTTGATTGTCTTCCTTCAATTCTTCCGAGTTAAGTGCAACGTTATAAAATGTTGGCTATAAGAATAGAAATCAACAGAAATTATTAGAAATATGATTAGAAATCTAGAATTGATCATCTCAATAGTAAAGATATCAATGAGATTAATTGTTAATTAGATTAACAGTTTGTTTATGTTTTCAGTTAACCGGATAAATGAAACAAATCAAATAAAAAAAAGGGTTGAAGGGAAACTGGATTTCCTTTCATTATTTTTTTTTTCATCTTCTTCTGATTGTAATGTGAGAAATAATCTAATTAAGTTAATTGTAACCTGACCATGGCCAAAGTTTATTGAATCTACCTACTTTTTCAATTTCATAAGGTTCTAGAAGTTGATTTAATTTTTGGTTGATTTCATCAATATCTTCATCGGTATCAGAGGAAGACTCAAGATCTTTGGGATTTTCAGGATTAGATTCAATCTTATTTTGAGCAGAACTGGAACTTGATGAGACACTTGTATTCACCGAATCGGCTAAATCAGTACTTGTTGGTTTCTCGTTACGATTACCGGTTCCAATTCGAGTTGACGTTTTAACAACAACCGTAGACGAATTTGTTGACGTTGAATTATGACCTGTTGATGGCGTCGTCATTGTGTTGGTTGGTGTAACTTCACCTAAACGTTGGGTAACCAATTTATTTTTACAGGTATCACAGACTCGTACCGGTTTAGATGATTGCGAAGGAATCAAAAATCTACTCTTAGAGCAAGAGGCACAAATTACAGCACCACAGTTTCTACAATGATGCTATTAGAAGAAAAAGAAACAAAATTCATCCCATTAGAACTGAATAAATGAACACCCAAACAATTGACCAAGTAAAAAGATTGATTTGAATGACATCGATCACAACATACCCGACGATTAAGCAAAGTGAATTGCATTACATTACAATGCATACAAATTTTGGCCTGAGTATCGGGAACCCAAACTGCTGCATGTTCCCCTGAAGGCCTCGAACCAGCTGAAGAAGGAAACAAAGTAAAAAGAATATAGAAAATTTCGTTAATTGTTTGGATTTAGAATTGAAGGATGACCATTGACCACTCACTTCTTTTGAGAAGACTCTTAACACATTTTTGAATATGTTGAATCCATTCATCTTTTTCTGTCTCTGAACCAGCATAAACAGCGAAAGATCTGGTTGGTGTTTTAATCAACCAACCATATTTAAGGTCACCTAATGATGGATACAAAAGAAGAGAGAAAAAAAAATGTTTAGAACAATAAAAAATAAAACAAATTCTCTTTGGTTGTTTCCAATTCAAGCAACCAAAACGAAACTTTTCTCTTCTTCTACCTTGATTCATATCATCTGGAAAATCTTCTAAAACAACTTTCTCCAATGGAATAATATTCTGTTTAATATACATCTTCTTTCGTACCAATATTTTTCCATAAACAATAATATCATTGAAGAGAAAAAATTGTCTCGGTTTGGGTCCTTTACGACACATTTTGGTTAATACTCCTTCACCGACAAGAACCCGACCTTTTAGTGCTAATGGCTAATAAGAGGAAGAGAAAAGAATAAAATAACAAAAGCAATTTAATTAGAAATGGGTTGGGTTGATTAGAGAGAGAGAGAGAGAGAGAGAGAGAGAGAGAGACACAAATAAAAACATAGAATAGAAAATAATTGATTACCGTTCCTGATCGACCAAAACAACTTTCAATGTGAGCAATTCGTTTATTGTTCACTTCACTTCCAACTAAGGAACCAAATTAGATGACCAGTTGATCACAAGCCGATGAAGAAAAAGAGATTAATTACAATTAGAAGACATTAACCAAACCCAATTGTTTACAATGGAACAACAAGAAACAGAAGAGAAAAAGTTAAAAGGATAATCAGGATTAACCAGAGAGAGAGGAAAGTGTTGTAGAGATTGTTAATCTCTGACAATTTGTAACTCACCTAAAAGGTCAACCATTTTTGATACAATTATGTGTATTCGTTGGTTAATTAAATGATTGTGATGATGGAGAAAAGTAAAAAAGATACACTGTAAATCAACTGGTTAAAGAGAAGGCGGAAAAAATGATGAAAAAAGTTGATTCACTGTGAGAGTGTAAGAGAAAAGGAGAGAGAAAGAAAATGAGATTGAGAGAGAAAGAGAAAGAGAGAGAGAGAGAGAGAGTTTAAATCAACAGGCCAGTGATCAGAATAGAAAATTAAAGTAGAAGATTAAAAGATGACACAAAGAGATGATTTTATGGGAAAGATGGAGAACAATTAAAACAAAGAGAATAGAATAATTTAAGTGTTAGAAGGAAATTATTCTAATTCATTATTGGGAATAAAAAGAAAAGAAAAACAAAAAATGTTGACAAATGTTTTTCTCTTTGACAACTTGTAGGCATGGAAGCTGAATAACAATAAACACGAGAGAATAGAAAAGTTGAGCCAATTTTAATTATTTCATTTTCTTTATTTTGCTTTTAAATTGTTTTCTTTTTCTTTCCTTTTCTCTTGGTTTTCACTTTGTTTCGGGTAAATTGTTGGCTTTTTCTTGTGAGTGGATTAATTGGTTGACAGGTAATTGATTTGGAAGATTTTGAATTGGCTTTGAAGGAGGAAGTTTTTTTTTCTGTTGGTGTTTTTGATTGTATTAGTAGGGGAGTTGGAATATTTTTCTAATTTTTTAAGTTTCTTTGAATTGGATTGAGTTATTTTCTCCAGGTTGGTTTAGTTTTGGTATCGTGTTTTAATTGTTGATGGTAGAGTTTGGATTAATTGTGATTGTGATTGAGAATCGAGTTTGGTTGGTTGTGTTACTCGGGGTTTTATTGGCTTCTTTTCATTTGGTTTGATGATGATTCCATTTCTGATTTGTTTGTGTTAATTGTCATACTGACATGGTCTTGAAGACTTACTGATCTTTCAAATCCAAACCATTGAATTGAATTTAAATTTTGATTGATTATGACAAATTAACAATTTGATGTTCTCCAGTAACCAGAAGACATTTTCGGTTGTAGTCTCTTTGAATCTCCATAAATTAATATAACAATGTGAAAACAGTGTATCAAAATTAAATGAAATTGAATCCTAAACCATATTAGTTAATTAATCAACCTAAATCAAATAAGAAAGTGAACCAAAAGCCAGAAAACTAAAGAGCAAAAAAATCAAAATTATCAATTAAAACTAAAGAAAATAACAGAGAACAGAACAATTATAACCATTAAACTTACCTTAACTCCAAGAAACTCCAATCTCATAATAAATTATAAATGTTTCATTGTAAACAATTAAAAAATAATCAACTCAAACAATTTAAAGTTTCAATGTAAACACTAATTCACATGTTGCGGTTAAAAAGACCGAAGCGAATTCGGTAACTAAAGATTACCCCAAGTATCCGATTCGGAACTTTAATTAAAAAGAATAAAATTGATGTGTAAAAAACTTCTAATTGAAATCAATATTATTGTGGAAAATTAAGAATTTTAATTAATTTGATTAATTGAAATTCAAAGAAAATCAATAAAATCTAATGAAAAGACAAAGAATCGTCATAACCGAATGAATCTTTATCTTTATCGATTCAAATATCTACTGGAATTTGTCGCTTTCTGATTGGCTGAAACTCTGGTTGAGTAAAAATTGACGTGTGCTTATGATTTGTTTCCCTTTTGGATTTAATTGTTTGATTACTTGTTTTTTTATCTAAATCAAATTAATTTATTATTTAAATTATCAACCATGGATAAAGTATTAGATGGATTAGGGTTAAGTGATATAAGGCGAATGACCGCTCGCCAGGTAAGTTTAATTGTTTCAAAATCTGTTTCCTCTTTCAACCCAAACTGTTTCTCTTTTAGTAGATCAAATGTCAACATTGATTTTCTATTCTTTTCTTTTTTTTTCTCTTCATTTTCTTGATTTTCTTTTAGATTTATTATCAATTTTTAAATTTTGGAATGATCGTCTCATCCGCTTTGATGATATGGAAAGGTTTAATGGTTGTCACAGGAAGTGAAAGTCCAATTGTTGTTGTTCTCAGTGGTTCCATGGAGCCAGCATTCCATCGGGGTGATTTACTATTTTTGACAAACTACCGAGAAGATCCTATTAAAGTGGGTGATATTGTCGTATTTCGAGTTGAGGGTAGAGAGATACCCATTGTCCATAGGGTGTTAAAATTACATGAAAAAGAGGATGGATCAGTGAAAATATTGACCAAAGGTGATAACAATTCAATTGATGATCGTGGTCTTTACGCTCCAGGTCAACTTTGGCTTCAAAAGAAGGATATTGTTGGCAGGCGAGGGGATTCGTTCCTTATGTTGGTATTGTGACAATTTTAATGAACGATTATCCTAAATTTAAATACATGGTACTGGGATGTTTAGGTATATTCGTTCTTGTTCACAGGGATTAATTCTCATGAAGGAAAACAATTATTCAACAAACCCAATCAATTAATCAGAAGTCTTCATTTGATAAAAATTTTTGATTACTAATTATTATTTCTCTCTCTTGCTCTCTCAAATTTAAACAAAACAAAACGAAAAACACCAACAGTCAACAAAAAACGATTAAAATTTGATTATAATAATCAATTTGCTAATTTTAATTCTCACTGAGTTGAATTGATTACCAACAATTTACAAACATTTGACATTCTACGAGTTTTTTTTTTCGTTTATTTTGGCATTTTCATTACTTTTCGAGAGTTGGATTATTTAGTTTTCCACAGTAACGAAGTCGGAGTGGGTTGGGAAGAGGGCGAAGGGAAGAAACTTATGGAATCAACAATATATTTATCAGATTTTCCACCTTCGACAAGGAAGGAGAAGTAAATTGCTTATTAAATCACAACTAATTTAAGATAATTTTCGTTTATCAAGTTTTCGTCCATTGTCCAATGATAATTGTGTCCTCCAATTCACCGCATACACAATTAACTCATTTTCTTTAAACAATTTGAGTTTGTGCTTCTTTAAATTGTGTTAATGGAAAGTTAATCATTAACCACGATGATATAACTTGGTAATTGATTAACTTTTCCTTTTTCGATATTTTGTTTTCTTCTTCTTCATTTGATTATGATGATGATGCTTCTCAAAATTTCTCGTCATCTCTTCACAATTAAGCCTTTTGATTGATCTCCAAACTTTACTCTCTTTCTCTCTATCTTTTTTCCGATCATCTGGTTAATCAACCATTTGATTAGATTTTAAATAAATTGTATCATATCCAACATTTGATATTGTGTCTTCTTAATTGTAATCATTGGTAATTTTGTTTTTTCCTTTTTCCTTGTGTGTCTTTGTTGTATATTGGTTTATGTTTAGAGGATTTTTCAATTTAAAATATTAACTTCATTTCATCAGCATATATTTATAATAATTGTAATAGTAATTAGTTATCATTACCATCATCAATTACTACAATTGTAACTCTTTAAATTGTGGATCTGATGGATTGAAATAAGCGTTAACTTGATCTTCAGTTACATCTTCAAGTTTACTTGGTTTCCATTTAGGCGATTTATCTTTATCAATTAGAGCTATTAGAAAGATAGAAGAAAATAATTACAATTAGTGATTAATAATTAGAATCATAACCTTTTATAATTAAAGGAAAAATGAGAAGGAAATTAATCAAAGAATCGGTTAAGTTTTTTTTCGTGGAAAAAAAATTTTTTGGATCCAATCCAATTATATGAAATGAGTTAAGATCAAGTTTGTAAATAACATTGAAAATATCAACTGAGTTTATCCTTTTGCGATTTGTGTAATAATTAAGTTAATTTAGTTTATGAATTTGATAGTTAACTATAGCTAATCGTTTAAATGTGAAGAGTTGTTGAGATTTTGTGCAAGGCTAAGATTTTTCAGTTTCTCATATGATGTCCCATCAATTCTGATAACAATTCATATGAATAAACTAATTGTATTCTTATCCTAATCAACTAAATTCTAGATAATCTTAGATTCTCATCTAATAAGGTTAACAATTGATGATTATTCAGTAATAAGTATCAAACTTATCATCTAGAATAAGAAAGTTTTCTGTATATCTTTTTGTTTCGTGGACACGTAGACTTTGAAAAATTGGATTGATTGATTAGGTGAAAATAGAAATGAAAACTGACCAGCTCTGACTCCTTCGAAAAAGTCCGATTCGTGCATCATTTTATGGGCGATTCGATATTCCATTTTAAGACAATCGGGTAAGGACATCATTGCACCTTGTTGTAACGCTTTGAAAGTGACTTTTAAACTTGTAGGTGAGACTGAATTCAATATTTCGAGTTGTTGTTTACTCCAATCGGATGAATCTTTCGACAAATTTTCCATAATCTGTTCAACCGATTCGGCACCAAAGGCTGAATTGATTCTACCTTTGTATTGCTTTAATGAGAACTCTTTCTTATAATCGGCTTCCCATTGTTCTTGATACCTTGTCAATAGAGAATCAATTCCCTTTAAATCTATACAATCAATAGAAAGAAACCAAACAAGAGAGAGAAAAATAGAAAATCAAAGAATAAGAAAATGTGAATGTTGACAAGAGATTCCAAGAGAAAATGTAAACAATTTTTACCTGGAACTTTCATTCTGAGCAGGTCACTTTCCAATTCTTCCAGACGATCAGAGCAAACAAAATGAGTGGCGATTCCTGCTTTAAATAGATCCCTACCATGTAAACGGGCACCAGTCAATGCAAGATAAATACCAAGTTTACCAGGTAGACGAGGTAAAAAATGAGATCCACCGACATCGGGGAAAAAGCCGATAGCAGTTTCAGGCATAGCGAAAACGGCTTTCTCAGTGGCTACTCGATAAGCTCCATGAACAGATAATCCAACACCACCACCCATAACAATCCCGTTTAACAATGCCACATAGGGAATAGCCATGGAACCGATCTGATTGTTTAGACGATATTCTTCACGGAAAAACTCTAATCCAAGCGGTGATCCATTACCACTTTGAGCTACCACTGTAAAGAAAAATATATAAGAAAAAAAATAACAATTAGTAAATCATGTGAGTTGATAATAGCAAAGAAAAAGGTTAAATGTCATGTTATCATTGAACATCAAACATGATTATCATCATCACTCTTTCAATAAGATAATCAATGATGAGATTATCTTAGAAAGGTAGAAAATTGCATTTTGCAAATCAATTATCATCAATCTAATTAACCGGTATAACTGATTGAAAAATATCAGTTCAAGTTGATTGTAATCAAAATGATAAGAGTTGAGTGTTGGTCGATCACAAGTACAATTGTGATTTAAAATGAAAAACAAAAGGTGAATAAGGAAAGAGAAAAGGAAAATGTAATCATAACCAAGAGAAAATTAAATTAGCCAACAATTAGACCATAATATCTAAATTGAAAGACTGGTTCAAGGTAATGATGATGAGATTGAATGACAATTTAAGCTAAATCAGTATCGCACCTTTGATATCACCACCAGCACAAAAAGCTTTATCACCGGTTCCCTTGATTATAACCATTTTCATTGAATTGTCCATCTCCCATTTCCTTAATTGGGGATAAATTTTTCGTACCATTGAGAGATTTAGAGCATTTAATTGATTGGGTCTATTGCAGATGATGATTCCTTTGTTATCTTCTCGATTAAGGATAACATCGTCATCACTAGAAGATGATGATGATGCTGAAGAGGCAGAGGACATCCTTTGTCGAGATAATTGGTAAATAAGGTTCACCGAGTCATTTCGCCTTGTAAACAATAGCCTGTGAAAAGAAAGATGGATTCCAATATGAGATGATGATAGAGAGAAAAGAAAAGAAAACAATTAAATAATATTCGTAATGAAAGATCAACATTATGTCAAATTAGAAAATAACAAAAAGGATAAAGAGAAAAACAAATTGAAGATAACTAATCATCTCCAATAAAATATAACATTGTACATGTTACATTGTATTATCATGTGTTTTTTATACCATTAATTTTATCAACATACAGTTAGGTGTGTGTGTGTGTGGTGTTTGTTGAGAATTAGTAACAATTAGAATGGAAAATGATCAAATTAACAATAAACAATTGGGTGAAATTGACATGATGATAGGAGATTTGTAAATGTAAAAGGAAGAGAAAATGAAAACAAGAGAAAAAGAGAAAGAGGAAAGTTGATCAGCAAATTTGAGAGCTAATTGGTGAATAACAATTAATTAACATACAGATTGGAACAATTAAACAGAGGAAAGAAAAAGAATAAAAAATAAAAAGTAAATTTAGAAAAATAAAAGAAAAACATAGAAGAAAAAAAAGAAAACAATAACATTGAATTCCAATAACAGGGAAACCTTGATGTTGGAGAATTTTTTTTTACATCAAAAAAAAGAAGGCGAAATTTTCATTACAATTAATGGGAGAATTAAGTAATTACCTTTTCATACAAATGTTGGACATTGTCGAAAATTTGATAACAATTAACTGTTCAATCAGATAGAATTTTCTATATGATGAGATTTGCGGAAAATAGTAAATGAATAACAAACAATCACAAATTGAAGAGAGAGTGAGTGAGGTAAATGTTGCGTTTTCTACATAGAAATGGAAGAGAAAAATGAAAGAGAAGAAGATTGAAGATAAAGAGAGAAAGGGAGATGTAAACAAGATTCTCTCTGGATGAAGACAGACTTAAATTGTTTCGTTCTTGTCTCTTTCTTTTCCTCTTTCTTTTCCTCTGTTAATCTCTTTTTCTTTTTGCTTTCATTTGATATGAGAAAATTTTTCTTTCTCTTCTTCTTTACCAGTTAATCTAAACCCCATGAGGTTAATTTAGATGAATGATTTTCCCGGTTTCATGATTACAATGAGAAAAATCAAACACTCGGATTAACAACGATGGTAATTAGATTATAAATTAATTTCCCTTCTTTTTCTTTTTGGTTTCGCTCACTTTGATTGTAGACTAATTGTGTTGGTTTTAGTGTCTTTGGTTTGGTTGCAGGGGAAGAAGGTGTTAATTAACTCATTTGCAAAGTAATCTAATTAAATGTCTTCAAAATCGAGAAGATTATTTTCATCTTCTATAACGGAGAAAACGTTTGAATTAAATTTGATGTTTTGCATTTTGTCGTTGTTTTCATTGTCTTTTTTATCCATATCAGTTGATTCGTTTGACGATTCTTCAGATAATTCTAATCCCGATTCCTTTATATTCGGTTTAGATGGTTTTTCGAATGATTGATTGTCTGGTTGATTCGATTCTAATTGTGATGGTTCTTCTTCTCCCGCTTCTTCCGCTGCTTCTTCTTCATTTTCTCCATTTTCTTTAATTTCTTTAATTTCTTTATCTTCTTTGTCTTCTTTATCTTCTTTATCTTCTTGATCTTCTTGATCTTCTTGATCTTCTTGGTCTTTTTTCTCTTCCTCTTGGGTTGATTCGATTTCCATTTCTTTATTTTTAAGATTTTCATCCACTATGGAGGACAGAATGTTGGTAATTAAATCCTCCATTATTTCTTCATTTTTTTCGGAACTTGTTGATTCATTAGAAGATTCTTCCGATAGTTGTAAATTTGATTCTACCCTTGGTTTAGCTGGTTGATCCATCGTCGGCTTAGAAATTGTTTCCGCAATTGGTTGGTTAACAGTTTCATCTTCCACAACCAAATCCATTTGATCAATTTCTTTATTTCCAGTTGAATCCAACTTTGATTCGTCCATAGTGACAATAAATTCACTTTCCATCTCATCATTATCATTATCATCTTCATTGTTTTTATCAACCATTAAATTTTCAATTGCCTGTTTGAGTTTCTCATCGGGCAAAGGTAAGTTCTGTTGTTCAGTCTCTATAGTAAATGGCGTTTCTAACGCTTCTTCGGCTTCTTCGATATCCATCGAATCATCTTTGAAAACGGTAACATCTCCACTAAATTTCGTAACCTCTCCAATCAAATCTTTCTTTGGATCTTTGTTTTCTTCTTTCGATTTTATCGACTCTTTGGATTTTGTCGGTTCTTTAGCTTCTGTTTCTTTCGGTTCAGTTTCTTTCGACTCAGGTTCTTTAAATTCTCTTTGTTTAGTCGTACCATTGGTCAATTCTTCAACCTTATCCTTGGTTTGACCGAAAACATGAGTCTTGTACCAATCTAAAACATCGGGCGGAATTTGACTGTCCACAAAAACCACCGGCGCCTTACCAAGCGTTTTTCGAAAACGATTGAAAATTTTCTCATTCACCAAATCCAATACACTTGAATAAGTATGAACAATTGTTTCATTAACATTGGAATGGATGACCGATGATTTATCAGGAGATGAAGATGAAGAAGATCCAAACATGATGTAATAGTTAAAAGAAAAACAAAAAAAAGCAACAACAACAAAAGAAAATCCCGTTAACAGAAAAATCTAAACAAAGAAAAGAAAAATTATTCTAACACTTTCACAAGAAGATGTTTAATTGAATAATAGTAGTAAGTAAAGTGAACAATCAATGAACAAATTAGTAAATTGTAAGAAACAGAATGAAAATTGATTAACAATAAACAGCGAATTAAAAATTAACTCTAATTGTTAGAAAAGATAATTTTCTTTAAGAGTTTTTCTCCAACAGATGGAGCTTAGTTATTGGAGAATTTTAATTTCGAATTTAAAATTGGGGGAAAAAGCGTATTAATGTTAACTTCTTTTCCCTTTTGGGGAAAGAGTTTTGACTCTCCCAGTAAATGGCACTTTTTTCAAATGTGTAAACATTAAAGAGACTTTTAAATGAAGGGAACAAACAATTAATCTTAATTGTAGATAATAATCTTTTGATGATAATCAATTGATTTTCTTTTTAATTGTTGTGTTGCTTTCATTTTGTACATTATATATACAGAGAAAATTAAAGGATAAGTTTGTTGTTTTAGTGATGGACTTTAAATTGTTTGTGCTGCTTGAGCTTAACTTTTAACTAGAACATTGAAATGATTGTTTTTGATTGTGATCAAATTGCTAATCAATTGATTTTTTTTTCATTGTTTCCTTTTTTTCCTCCTCTTTAATGGATAAATTGTAGTGCATTTGTAGCTGTCGTTGATCACAATTTGTCTTTTGGTTGGTTCTCTATATTTATATGGCATAAGAAAGAGTTGTTAATGATTCCGATGGTTTCGATGAAATTAAGATGTTGACAGTTGATTATCTTTGAGAATTTGTTGCTTATTAAATATAATTAGTTTGAAAGAAAACTTATCATCATCATCATCTGAAAGCAAACAATTCAAAGTCTTTCGTCCAACTGATTAGAGGGGGTAATATAAGAATCGATCCAATTGAAATAGCTGGAAATCTATTGTTAAATATTTGAACACGTTGTTGTTGTGAATAGATTTTGTTGCGATAATTGTTTAAATTAAATTTTTCCTCTTCTTTTATCCAATTATTGGTGATTATTTGTGCCTTCATTTCAGTTAACAATAGCTGGAGAATTGTTTGTTGATGATGTTGTTGTTGTTCCGGTCTTTTTATTTTTAGATGGATCATAGTTAACCAAACGTTTTCCAACAAGATATTTGTCGTTTTTGATATGCTCATAGAGACGGAAAAATTTGTTAATTTGCCAATGGATCACATAAATTAAAATTGAAGCAATCAACAGGAAAGGATAGATTCGTCGGATAAGAAAATTTCTGGTCTCAAAGCTAACATCAAACATTGGTAGGATACCACAGATGATAAAATAAGGTAGAGAAAGAGTTGAACCAAGAATAAGGATAACAGGTATTGCCAATTTGGTCATAATGTATTGAAGATTGATATTGATTAAACCACCATGATATAACTGTAAAGAGGAAGTGAAAATTAAATATTAAAATTTTGATAATCCATTTTTCATCCAAAATTATATTATGGGGAAAAAATATTTACATTTTCAAGGATTTCACGGAGAGGCCATTCAGCCATCATGGCTAAACCACAGATCGCTTTTGTATGAAGTATACCGAAAGCCCAATCTTGCCATAGATAAAAAATTGGTGTTTGATTAAGTGGTACACGAATGGGGACAATGATTAAAACATCAAACATAAGTCCAATCAGAAGTGGTATCACTCCTAATAAGATCATTCCAGCAATCAAGGCTTTACCGGCTATGATTAGGCCATCTTTTACTTTAAGAGCGATAGCTGTCCATCCACGAGGTAGCCAGTTACAAAGGACGGCACAAGCTCGTGCAAGTAAAAGGCCAACATACAGGCCACAAGCAGCAGTGTTCAACTCGTGGACTCGAGTTTCACCCAACCAAACGGAAAATAAACGCCGTCCAATGATCACAGGAACAGTAAGAAAAAAGAGACCTACAGCAAGAAGGGAGCCCGCAACACAGAGAAGGAGACAAATGATTTTAAGAGCAAAGTATTTGGGTACAATGTAAGGTTGATTGGAATCATCATTTCGAATTGGAACTAAACTATCATCACTTCCATCCTTTGTACCTGGTTTAACATCACCTAAAAGGAAAGATCGAATATCTAAAATGTAGGAAACACATATGCACCAAGCTCGAATGAATGATTTTAACCATGATCGAAGATGAGTGTGATCGAGAAGGGCAGGTAATATCAATTGAAGAATAAGAAACTCTAGAGATACCTCATTGGCTTGATTTTCGTTGTTACTGAAAACAGAAAGAGGGAGAGAAAAAAAAAAGACAATTAGTTAGTTGAGGAAAAAAATTTGTTCTCATGATTAAGATAAATAACCTCGAACTTATTTGCTTGAATTATTCTCACCTAGAATGTAAAACATGATAAGGCAAAAAACCAGGGAGAAACTTTTGTATGATACAAACAGGAAACCAAACCAAAAGTAAAACTGTTGTACCAAAAATGACAAGAGATGCGACAAATTTTCGTACGTGCCGAAGAACAGAAAGATTTATCATATCCTGAATAGGATTGAAATCGGGATCATTTAAATTTCGAAGGAACCAAAGGGCACCAGGACGAAGAACCTCTCTTAATATATACATAAATGAGGCAAAGTAGAAGACATAAACCATTCCAACGAGCCAGTGAATGAACATCGATGTACCAGGAGCAGATCGTAAACCAGATTTTCGATCAGAAAGAGTTGCTCCAAGAATAGGCTAAGATGATTAATGAAAGAAAAGGTTAAATTAGAACCAAAAAGAAAACATCTCGAAAAGAGTCGCGAAAAACTTACCAATGAGCAAATGTCAAACCACCAACCAAATACTAGAGGGAAAATGCCAATCTCAAATATAAAAAGAAGTGCAACTTTTACAGCAACATAAGATAATCCTAATAGTTTCTGTGTTCTCCTAAATCTTAAAATTATAGCGGTAGAATGTAAAAAGACTAGACCCAAGGAGATAATGATATAACCAAAAAGGGTTGTAACAAGGCCTTCGAAATTGGTAGCGGAGACGGTGTCCAATAGTCCTAAACCTCGCACAGAAAGAGCACCAATATGGAAAGGGAAGAATGCAAAAATAAGGACGAAAAGGGTATTGAGAGAAATGGCCCAGAAAACATGTTCAAAAAAGATTAATGATCCATCAAGTCCAAGTATCTATGAGAAATTTTATATAATCAAAAAGAGTAAAAAAAAAGATCATCATTAACAATTGATTGGTGGAAAAGGTATTGAAAGTTAATTTATTTGGATTGATATTTACTCGTTCCCATGTGAGATCTTCAGCTGCTCTATCCCATTCAACAGGATTCCAGGGAATCTCTTCTTGAGCAGCAATTCGAGCAGGTTCTCCATCATCAGGATTAATAAACTCGGCATTAGGTGCACCATTAACTGCCTCGATTGCAGCTTCAACAGCTCTAAGATTATCTTCCTCTTGATGGTCATCTTCAGAATCTTCAGAGTCTTCAACATTTTCACCTAAATTATTATTATTTACATTATTATTTAATCCAATACCCGGCTGTTCATTTGGTATATTTTGATGACGATTGGGCACATTTCGAGGTGGTGGTGGTACTGGAATAGGTTCAACAAGGTCAAGCCATTCAGGGCCACCTCCACGAATAATTTGCTCTCGTAACCAGACGAGACTGAGAAAGGCACAAAGAGTGCAACTAATGAGACAGCACCCATAGAAACCGTCAGTGGCAATATTTTCAGTACTCAGCAAATCTGACGGAAGTGACAAAACAGATGACCAAGAATCGGAAAATAGACAACGATAAATTCGATCTGAGGCCAAAATATTGATGAGAAAAAAACATAAATATTAGATTAGCAAAATATATCAACAGAGAAGGCAAAAAAACTAAATTACTTACAGGCTGTTAAGGGGACGATTCCCAACCAAGCTATTGCCACGATTGAATAATGTATCCAATATTTAATTGCTGTTGCTAAACTTCCCAATAATCCAGTTAGAATATCATTAACAGGTAACCTTTTGGGCATATCAGGTGAATAAACTAGAAATAGATTGATATAAAATTAGTTATACAATTAATCAGGTAACATTTTCCATAGCGAGATCATCACCAACAGTATGAGAGTATTAAATGATATAAAAACGATGATTAGTTTGTTGATAGAATTAAATTAGAATAGATCAAGTTTTTCTGATTATTATACGATTAGAAATGTAACAACTAATTTTACAACAGTAATTTCTACCCTGATATAAATATTGTAAATTTGATTAATCGACTGTTGATAATAACAATAATGGTTCCAATAGTTGATCTAATTGATTGGTGGTGATGAGCTTGCGGAAAATGAGTAAGAAGATGATTAGATTGAACCACTAACTTGGTATAAATGAGAACCTGTAATTGCATAGTTCACAATACTCCTTTTCACTATATTTTAACCATTGTACCAAACTAGAGAAAAGCGAAAAGAGAAAAGAGAAAATCAATTAGCATAAACCATACAATCAATTAATTATAGTAAAAGTAGATCAATGAATGACAGATATACACTTACCAATCTTGGTGAATATATTTTATGCTTCCAGTACAAATACATGGATGAAATAGAGGCTTTTCTGTTGACCCCTCGGATCGACAGACTCGACAAATGTCTGTAATGATGAATAGATGATGAAGAAAAAAAATTTAGTAAAAAAACAATGACAGAAGAGAAACATTTCCATGCAATAGATATTCAAATGTTTGGCTGGAAAACCAATCATCATGTAGGGTACGTGAATGATTATAGATTTTCAGGTAAAATAAGAGATGAAACGAAATATAAAACGGTCTAAATAGAGACTTTTCTTCCTGCTAATCCAGGTAAACATATCAGCTAAAGAGAGATAAATAGATAGAGAGGAAGAGAGAGAGATAGAGAGAGAAAGAGAGAAGAATGAAATTTAGGCCTAACATGAAAAGTAGACCGATAGAAGTAAAAAAAGGTAGAAAAGAATATTCTCAACAATTCAGAGATAAATAAGAATCGTATATTCAATCAGATACACGGAAAAATAGCTAAAATCACAGATAAGAAGAGAAATAAAATCAAACCTAAAGAGAGAATAGAAAAGAATAAAATTAACAAGGAGACAAAAATATGGAAGAAAAAAAAACAAATTCCATTACCTTGAACATTGTCGTCCATCATTTACCATATTCTATCCAAAAACCAAGAGAATTATGGTTAATTAATTGTAAACTCAAAAAAAGAATTAAATTGCTACCAATTAATTAACTAACACCAACAATTAGATGATAATAAATTGAAAACAAAAACAGAGGAGCAAAAATGTTTCATGTAAACAAAATTTGGAGAAAAAAAATTCGATTGAGGTTTAGAAATAAATTTTCTTCCAAGAGATGGCGCCAGAGTGGAATTTTCTATTTTCATTATGAGTCACTTTAACTAATCTTTATCTCTCCAATTAATTAATTATTTAGTAATTAACTAACTAGTTATTTGTTATTTATTTTTACGAAGTTTTTCTATTCAAAGTGTGGTGCATCTTTAACCGTTAAAATGTCCGAAGGAGGTACAATGCCCTTTGTATATTCTCCAAAAGAAAATATGTCAACAAATGCTCTTTTCACTGGCATGTTAAAGGTAATTGAAGAAGCTTTTGATTCCTTGGATCCATTGGTCAAGACATTAAAGGCCAAATCTTCAATTACCAGACAGAAAGAAAATGTTTTATATTCAATGAATGAACTGGTAAAGGTGTTAAATGTGAAATTTCAACAAACCGAGAAAAGTTTAACTACCACAATTAAAATGGGACCAATTAAATGTGACGCAACTACACAAACCGAGTCAAATTGGACAAATATTTTTACCACATCAAAATCATCATCATTTAAATTTCCACCCTTAGAGAAACTGGTAATTGAAGAGGATAATAATTCCATTGATAATAATGATAAAATTGTAACCGATGGTGGATTTGTGGACAATACAATTAAGGAAAAAGGTTTAATCAATAAACTATGTAATAACAAAAATAATCATTACATTGTTGGTAATAGGAGTACAATCAAAATGACCAATAATATAAATACATTGATTCAAAAAATTAATCCCTCTGAGCTTATTATTGGTGGTGGAATCAATTGTCAGCAAAAATTTTGGTCTCCAACAACATCAACAACAACATCAACACCATCAGAATCCTCGCTTAATTCACCAGATCGATGTAATCCAATTTCCTCACTTTTCATCTCTATCATCATCATCATCATCATCATCATCAACCATCCAATCATCACCCTCACCATCAAAGTTATCAACATTCACAACACCAAATGATACCTCAGTCTCATCATATTTCACCATCATCATCATCCTCATCATCATCAACCTCAAACTATCCCCATTTCCCTGCAAACTCAAACACAAACAATTTAATCATCTCATCTTATCCATCTCATTACAATGGTGCTATTGTCCAACTTCAACAATCACAAAAATCGCCACAAACTAATCAAGATATTCCAGTCGCACCTCCACCGCCCGTCTTAAAATGTACCAATTCATCAATATTTGATAAATCAATGTCACGAGCCAAGAATGGACCTCCACCTCCACCAAGGCGTAGTGATAAAACCCGTCTCTCTGGTCGTTATTGATATTAAATAATCAACTAAATTGGAAAAATTAATAATAACAATTGTATGCAAATGTTTACCTGCAATAAACAAACAAACAAAATTAAGGTTTAAACCAAAACCTTTAATTGTGATCAACAACAACAACAACAAGAAACATTAACACAAAGACAAAATGATAATCATTATCGTTTTGTTAAATCATTTGCTAACATCAAATGATAAAAAACATTTTTCAATTGATGAGATTTCAATGAAATCATCGCAATCAACAACAATCATGATCATTTAATTGTTTCCAAAATTGGCTCATAACTATTTGAGTTTTTTTTTTCTTGTCAAACAATCAAGTTAACAAAACAATTAAATTGATACCAAATACAATCTGATAACGATTAACGGTTCACAATTGTTTATTATTTGTTGATTATCATTTAAGTCCAAAATCGTTGGTCAATTGTTGATAATAATCAAGTAAATTGTAGTTTATTTTATCTCAATTTGATTTACAATTGTTCAGATATATTGATACAAAAAAAAGAATGAGATTAAACTACAAAATCGTAATAATCACAAAAAAAAACATTAATTAAAATGATAATATTATGATTTAATAGATAGATAAAGTTGATTGATTAATTAATGATAATATTAATTGTAATAATAATAATAATTAATATGAAATGATTAAGCTAAATTATCACTTTTGGAGCTAAAAAATGCAAAATATGAAAAAGGCAAAGGTTTAAATTGTAAAATTATGAGATATTGATGAAGATGATTAATTAACATGAATTATTTGATCTGATTGGTGTTAATTCATGTTAATTGTTGTTTTAAGAGTTAATTGTTTGTATTTTCTCAATTGTTGGTGATGAAACAATTGTTACATTTTTTTGTAAAAAAAAAGATACAAATAAATATATAATAATATTTATATAACTGCAATTGTTGATTGTTTTAAATATAAAATGTAAATACTGGTTGATTATCATGATAAAAGTAATTGAGGAACACAAAATTAAATAGATAACAATTAATTGTTTTTCATCATCTTCAAGTATTGAGTTGCAATTGTGTCCTTAATTGTTACTATAATTGTTATCATAATTGTTATTCAAGTTATCAGCTTTTTCCTATTGCTTATTGAATAAATTGTTGTTGTTGTTGTTGTTAACAGTTTCAATAATTTTGGTTTGCATTTACATAAACGATAATTAATTGTTGAGATGATCAGCTCTGTCTAGAATTAATTGTTGGCCGTTGGTCAGAAAAATACGTTAATTTAATTGCAACACTTTCGTTTTGCGATCCCAAATTGTCATTTAAATTGTGAGTCTTCAATGATTAGTCTTAAACACGACTAAATTTAAGTCCAGCTAAATGATTAACAGAATAGAAAAGAAAACAAGATAATTAGTTAATTAGTTGGAATAAGTAAAAGTTATCATTATGTTGATTAAATTGTTACACTTAATTGTACCTTCATCATTGGAATAACAATTGTGGCAGTGAAGTTTATGATTACGAACTCGAACATCAGTTCCACATGTACCGTTACCTGAGAAAATTAAAGAAAAGAAACATTTTAATTAACTTGATCAAATTAAGAATACAAAAAGAAATTAAATACATTTAATTGTGACATGTAATTCAATTGTAATCAACAATTAGGATCAAGAGAGAGACAGAAAGATTATTAATCTAATGATGAGTTATTTAAAACGTGGTAATAACAACATCTAAATTGTAACAGGATAAAAAGTAATTTAATTTCAATCCTAATCAACATAATCACTATTAAAATGATTATTTTTGACAAAAATTTGATGACTGAATTAATTACTCAGTTTATGAGATTACAGGAATAGCAGTTAATTTGTATTATTGACGAGGATCAGTGGATAATGAAAACGTGTTAGGAAACATGATTAAGATTAAGATGATGATGACCCATTAAATTATCATCAAGATGATTAGTGTGAGTGAGCTAATGAAAAAAAAAGGTATCATCTCTCAGGACATGACAAGGTAATCCAATAGACAATTAAATCACGTTTTAATAACTATCATCAGATGTAATTGTAAAGCATGTGAATCAATTGATCAAATTAACTTGACCAATAGTTAGAAATGAGATAATCCCAACTGACCCAGATTAATGAGTTTTGATCATTTTTTGTTTACTGTTCATTGTGTTTACTATTAAGATACATATCTTTTTGATTGTTATGTGTGGTCAATCATTATTATCAATAAAAATTTGATAATAATAATCAATTGAATGATATTTACTTTGATTGTTAATACTACTATTACATTAACATCATCACCATCATCATCATCATCATCATCGGTAAGAGCAATTTTTTTGTGTCTAATCAAAACAATCAAAGTAACAATTAAGTAATAGTAGTAGTCAGGTTAATGAATCAAATGATAATATGAAAATAATTCATCATCAGTAATTTTGATTGTAAATAATTGTTACTAATCCAATGGTTTAGTTATAATCACAATAATCATTATGGTAATCATCTTATTCATGATAATGATTAAGATAAATAAAAGATTCTCATATTGATTGTTAATTATCATTATCACGATTATTTTAAATTGTTAAATATTGTGAATATTGTGAACAGTTCAAATTAACTAACAAACAAAATTAGTTAACAATCAACGTTGATTGTTGTTATTATTTAGGAAATATCATCTGCAAACTTTTTAATTAAATTAACTATAATCAATGATTAGATAGCATCTTTGATTTTTAATTTTTAATTGTAAAAAGTTAAATTTAAATTATAATCAATGAAAGTTTTTCTTTAATTCAATTGTTTGCATATTAAATTGACTTATTTAAATTAATCAATTGCTGTTAACTATTCAATGATCATCTCAATTTAAAAACACAATTTAAGTTTATTGAAACAAATAAATTGTTTCACTAACTTTTGATTAACTATTCAATTTAAATTGGTTAATTGAAATTCATTTTCACTTTAATCATTCAATTCAATTGATTGATTGTTATTACTACTGTTTGTTTGAATAGTAATCAGCTGATTCTAAGTAATATATGATTATTCATATCACAATTTAATGATTAATATGATGATCATCAATGAGAAACAAAAATTAAGATTAATTTCAACCAATTCCATCAAATTAAATTGTTAATCTACTCGCAATTAAATCAACTGAATACTAAAATAGACAATTCAACAATCATTCATGATTAGAAAAAAAAAGTTAACAAATTGATTTTAATTAGTCCATTAAATGATTATTAATCAAGTTGATATAATTAAGACGTTAGTTGATAACCAGTTTTAATAATGATGATCCTAAAATTGATTTAATGATTAAGATCAATTTCATCATAATGAAAACAAAATGAATGAAAAAATAATAATTAAAATAGTGAATCAATTAATCAATGATGAGAGATCGGTAAATAAATGATCACCAACGTAAAAGTATAACAAAAAATATACTCATACAATTAACGTAACAATTAACGGAAACACAATACAAGAAATGTAATCAACATGAAAAAAGTAAAAAAAAAAATCTGCTAAACAATTAAAATAACGGTAAAAGTTAATGAAGATAAAGTAATTAGAAACAGATTAACATGATAATGATGAGATGATCAGACTTTTACAGCAATTGATTATAATCACAATTTGCAAATGAATTAATTGTTATAAGAAACATTTTAATCGCCGTTTATTATTATTGATTAACTGACAGAATCAGAACACAATCAGTCAAGGGTTAACTATTAGTTACATCAAATTCATTTTACAAACAGACACTCAACTCTCATCATCATCATCATCATTATAAATCCTACAAGAAACAAATTCTAAGACAATAGTAATTACAATAATGATGGAGAAGGTAAATTTATGCATTTATGCAAAGTTATCGTAAAAATCATCATTTCAATGAATGTCAATGAGTGAAAATGATAAACTTTGATACGAGAAGCAAAAAAATCAAGCATCGTAATCGAGTAAAATTTTTTCTTAATGGGCTTCAACTGACCAGCCACAGTAGTCATCCGATTCAATATTAACAACTGACCTTCACTGACAGAATCAGGTCAACGGATTGAGAATGAATCTTTTTTTTTCAACCTTCTCCTCTCATCAAGTTGATGGTGAAAAAAAAGGATGAGGATGATTTTCAGAATCTTCTGATCCTTCATTCATTGACTAAAGTAACTTTCAAGTATCATGAATATGAAAATTGTATTAATATTATTGTGAACAATTTGATGTTGGTGATGAGGTAATAGTAATTAGTGGTGGTTTTAATTTTAATTGTATTAAGACAAATCATCATCATCATCATCCTCTTTTGTTTGTCTGTCTACCTGTTGATTGTTATTGTTGTTATTGTTGATTAGGTTAGCACGTTTCAATGGATTACGATTAATTGGGATTGATAGAGTTTAATTAAAAACGATTGTTAATGTTAGATATATTTATGTAGTTTAAATTGGCGTGAGAAACTTAATTAAATAGCTAATTGTGAGAAACTGATTCCAAAGAGATAGTCATCCGTGATTAAACTTGATCATCAGTATTTACTTCATGATACATGAAAGAAATGAGGAAAAACAAATCAACAACAATAATCATCTGATTTATATGTTGATCAAATTGTGATGATGAAAAGCAAAAAGTTTTCAACCTTGATCCAGATCCAGGTAAAAGTGACCATAATTGTCAAAAAGATTTGATTAACTTTGATGTGTAAAGTCAAAACAATCACAATTTCATTGAATTAACTAACCACTGTAACTAAAATTGTTAATTAGTGTATAATGATAACGTAATCATCATCAACATCATCATTGATACATTATAATTATAATTCAGTTCCGGAAACCCTGAAGAAGTTGATTCAAGATTATAATTAATATCAATTCAAATGTTATGGTTATCAATTAAATGTACATTGAAAACAAAATGGTTAAACTTAAGCTTCATTAATTGTTGATAACAATAAATTAATTATAACATTAAAATCAAGAGCAAGGGAAAAATACAATTAATTGTAGAGTAATTAACAGTTAATTCAATCAAAGGTTTTTTCATAACAAAAAAAAACCTTCGTGCTAATAGTAATTCAATAATCATGAATTACATGATGAAATCTTTTCCAATGTGTAGTAAACAAATTTAATGATTTTAAGCTAATCCAAAATAACAATTAGATAATTAAGTTTATTAACCTAATTACCTGATCCACAGTTGAAGGATATTATCATAATTTTGGTTGCTATTTGTTGCTGCTTTGTTGTAAAGGTAAATAAATTTAAGAAAAAGGTAAATAATAAACAAAACATTTTCCCAATTATCAACATTAATATACATTCAAGGAGGAAAAGGGAGTGTCCCAGCCAAAAGGGAAGTTGAATTGACAGGAAGTAGTAAAAGTGATGATGATGATGATGATAAAGATAATAAATGTAAACACATTAAATTATCACACAGAAAATGGTTTAATTTTTTAAAGATCTTCATTTAGTAGTTTAATGAAGTAAAAGTAACTTTTTCATTGATTTACCATTGAAACATGAAATTTGATGCAATGGAAATTATCAACATCATGTAAAAATGTATTATTATTATTATAACATGATGATAATGATGATGATGATTAAGATGATCAACGTAATCTTCATGATGATAATCTGCTTTTTCACGCTTTCTTCCGTCTTAGTTTTAACTTTCTTTTCTTTTATTTTTCTCAACTCACAAGAAACTTCATTCTTGATGGTTGCTTATTTTGGCAACCAGAATATTTTGATGCATTAATATTTTCTTGGGTGAACATGATCAACATGAACTTTCAGTGTAAACTTTAAGTTAACTGTTCAGGTTCAAATTGATCACAATCTAATAGCATCTTCATCATCAACAGTAACAAAAATAACAATAACAATCCAAGTACCAAATGTTTCATTCGTTGACCGTGAAGTGCTTGACAAGCAAAAATCACGTAACAATCTTGAAATCGCTCAAATTCAGAGTTGTTCTTGTTTCTATCTTATCTCTCTCTCTCTCTCTCTCTCTCTCTCTCTCTCTCTCTCTCTCTCTCTCTTCTTCATGCTGTCTCCCTATCTTTCAATTCGTCAAAAATAAATTCATTCTCACATGAAAATCATGTTGTTGATGATGATTGGAGAGAGATTTTATTATTTGAAACAAAAGCCAAGACAAACATGGTCAATATAATGAACAAAATATCTCAAAATAGCCTGAAAACTAATCTCTCTTTCATCCTTATCATCCTCATCTTCATTGACAAAAATATATCTCTCCCTCAGTTCCACACCCTTCAAAGTTATCATGGATTTCTGAAAAATGAACAAGATGCTTGAAATAAGATTCATTAGCAAGAGTAATAGTCATAATTATTCAAATTGTTAATCATTTAACAATCTGATATGTGAATTGTTTTGCTAAATAGTAACCACACTAAGTTATTAAAATGTGAGTTTTCACCATAATTACCAGAGAGTAATCAAGATAATCAACAGACAAATCAGCAGTTAATTGTTTACAATATCACATTTCCCTGGTTTCAATGTAATAGTTGAGAAAAATGAATTAATTCCCAATTAGAGTTATGATTAATTGTCTGAGCATGAATTTTACAAGGACAAGCAAATAATCAGATAAGAAATACATTTAACAGTCAATCAGCAATTAACTGTTGATCAAAATGTCACTGATTAATTGTGACAATTTAAGAAAGGATAATGAAAAACAATTGTAACTTAAATTGAAAATAATTTCACGACAGTTTGATTGAAAATGAGTGAGAAAATTACTAATCCAAATGATTACTTGCAATCAGAATTACAGTAGTAAAAGATAAATTAAATTGTCAGTAGTTAATTAAACATGGACACAATTAAGTTGATATGATAACCTTGATGCATAAACTTTGTTTATGGGAAAAATATTATTACCGTATCATCATTATCATCATTAAAATGATTACATGGATGATGTTTTTTTAATTATTTTTACCGGTTAAATGTTGATTAAATTGAAGGATTAATAGTAAGAAACTGGACCAAATCATGAAAATAACTTACTACTAACATGATAATGTTAATTGGGTTGGTTCTGGTCAAGGGATTAAAGGGAAAACATCAAATAACAATCAGACCAATAACAGTTAATCATGAAATTTTTCAACACTGTTCAGGGTGATTTATTTGAAGAAATGGGCAAAAAGATAATCAATTCTTGGACAATAACAATCAGACAGAATCTTTTCAATTCAATGAACCTTGAATGGTTAGCCAACAATATCAATATTGTCAAAATAATCTTAAATTAACAATAATCAACCAATCTCAATCATCTTTCAGTCAATTATTCAATTTTGATTAAAGTATTATTGTTGATTGTTGGTGGACTTTAAATCTTTATGTTTCATGAAAACATAAAGATAACAATCAACAAGTAAAATACAATCAAATTAAACACAACAAAGAGAAAGAGAGGAATATTGGTTTGAATACAATTAAATCTAATTGAGGTAAAGTTTCAACTGAAGAAACAAAAATTTAAACATTAAGGAGGATGAGGAAAGATGATGATGATGATGATGATGATCAAGAGATGGTAAAGATACTGTGTATATGAGAGACATGATCAATCTAAATTCAAGGTTATCATAAAATTGCAATTGGTTGATGATTGATGATGATGAAAGATGAAGATAAAAATCTTCTGAGAAATCAACTAATCCCGAATTAATCTTGAAAAAAAAGGAGCTTCCGTTTCTTACGCAGGTAATATCAAAAGAGATAACAAGTCATATCAAATTGTATTATATCAATAATCGGAGTAATAAAGAGACAGGGGTAGATAGATAGAGATTTCTCAAGAAGATGATGATAAAGGATGAGAAATATATCAGGATTGGGATGATAATAATTGGCTGAATGGAGAGAAAATAATTTCGCAGTGAACGGATTTAGTAGGTTATGAAATGGATTCTGGTTTTTTTTCTTGTGTAATATATGATTTTAAATTGATAATAGTTTAGATTATCATGAATGAGAAAATAAAAAGAAATATTTGATGATGATAATGCAGATGATATAATAAACCTGCTTACAGAAAACTATTTGATGAGAAACATTTTCTCTCGTTTTTTATCATTCTTACAATTTTTTATTCTCCTTCTCTCTTCTCTCTCTCTCTCTCTCTCTCTCTCTCTTTAATTTACTAATAAAGTAAAAGGTGAATGAAAAAAATCTTCCATTTTTTTACTGGTCATTTAATTGGGTCACTTGTGTGTTTTAAATGAAAGCAAGGTAAAAAAAGGTAAATAGTATAACAATAATAATTATAATGATGATGCTAATATTACCCTAAGGGTATTTAGATCATAATTATCATCATCATCAGAGGTAGAGGTGCAAGAAGCAATATAATTATAAGGTTGAAATCTGCTTTAAGCGATTTGACATTGGAGAGGCGATTCGTTTATGTGAGTAAGTCCGAAAACAAAACAAAAACCATTGAAAGTTTGATGAAACTTTTGGGTTAACACTGAGTGAAAAGATTAATTAAAGTAACCAAGTGATAGATTAAGATACAGGATTAAATTAAACAATTAAAAGCGATAATGATGATAGAGATAATGGTAATAAATTATCGGAGACTCAAAGAGCTGACAAAATTGTTAACAAAATAGGAGGAAGATGAGAGGGAGTAAAATGAAATTAATTGCTGCTCATCATCACCTAAATGATGCTGATTGTTGATATTGACTAAATAAATGATATTGATCTAGATGAGATGATGATGATATGCTTGAGAGAGAGAGAGAGAGAGAGAGAGAGGAAAAGATAACATTTGTTAAATTTACTGAACATGAACAATTTAATTATTTGTATATTGTATTTAAAATTGGTCATCATGGTAACATTATAAGTACTTGACCAATCCTCCAGTCCCTTTAAAATATTTAACGAAAGTTATCATTTTATCACCAACATTATCATCACAGTAACAACCCAACAGTTTATCAACATCAACACGATTACCCATCAACATAATTATCATCTTAATTCATCTCATTGTCATAATTAACTATAATCATCATTTTTTTTGAATAGGTCGACAGGTTGAGAGGGTAACAAGATAAATACCCTAAATTAAACCTTAAAAGTTACTGTTATTCAACTGATATACTTAAGGAGGAGGACGATTAACATTTTTTATTGTTGACCAACAATCAACAACAATTCAAAATGAAGCATCTAAAATTAAAATTGCAATAGAAATCAAATTCTGTCAAATAATTCAAATTCAGGTAACACACACACACACACCACACACAATGAAGGGATAAATTTGCCTACTATTTAATGAGGAATTGGAAAAGTCATAAAAAAATCAAAGTTAATCATCGTACAAAATGATAGGTATAAGAAAGACAAACAATTAACAATCAACAGACAAAATTGCCATTTCAATGATACACAATAAACAGAAAATAATACAAATAAACAATCACACAACCACCATAAGCATCATTGTTTAACATCATCATCATCATCATTCCAATGAGAAATGAATTTTCTGTTTCAACAATTCATCTGTAATATTAGGATAACAATTAAAGACAATTCACTCTCTCGGTTATTCAACTTTTTCCCCTCATCTTCATGATTCTTCTTCCTTCTGTCTGATTTTGTTCAGATTTTTCATCTGATTTCCATTCATTCAATCATCACAATGTGAAGTTGAGTGGTTTTAATTGTGTTGATTTAAATTGACAGAATGCAGAGGTAGAAAGAAATAAAGAAAGAAAGGGAAATAGAGAGTCAAAGTTTCTTCACTTTAAAGGTAGGAAGTAACCAGAAAAAAAGCATAAATGAGATGAAATAATATAAACTTGAGTAAATTTCTGCTTCTGCATCATCACCGTGCTCATCATGGTTTCATCTATTATCTTTGCTATTACTCTCTCTCTCTTGATCTCTATTAAATTTAAAGGGAAATGTGAATCAAATGACGTTTAAATTATGAATACTTACCAAGTTGAATGTGACATACTGAGCATCGGAAACAATTGATGTGATAATAAAGGGCTAATGTCTCAATGACCATTGCAGCGCACCCACGACCTTAGGTGATGAAGGAAAAAAATATATATAAAAAGAAACAAATAATAACAAAAGAAATTGTTAGAAAATTTTGTCACTATAGTGTTGATTCAATTCTTACGATTAACAATAAAGAGAAAACATCAATTCACCTAACTCATCACCGCAGTTTGAGCACTTTTTTTTACCGCTAACTGAAAGCATTTGCTTTTGTTGTTGAGCTTGTAAAAGTTGCTGCTGCGACTGTAATAATTGTTGAGATTGTAACGGTTGGGCTAATTGTAAAGGTCCTTGGGATTGTAATTGATGTAATTGCTGTGGTTGGGAAAGTGGTAGTTGTTGTTGGACTTGGACTTGGGCTAGAGGTTGCATTGGAGGAGGTTGAGGTTGGATCCCTTGAAGTCCGTTACTTTTTTTCATTAAACTTGTTGTATCAGCTCCTGATTGATATCAGCGTTGATTAAAGGATTGCAATCCAATTATTAATCCAATTGTAAAGAACAGGTTAATATCCAATGAAAGAAGAGAAAAAGATAATTTTATTAGTTTGAATTTAAAATTATACGTTTATCATGAAACAGAATCAATAAAATAAACCTTTCAACTATGAATAAGTAAAAGATATTCAGTAAGTTCTGAAAAAAAAACACTCAGAATCAATAATTATACCGATCATTATGATTGTTAATAATTATTTTTGTTAACAGTTTAATATACAATTGAGTCTGATAATAATTGTTAACTATCAGTTGATATATTAATAATTAATTATTTTAACTACTTAATCAAAAATCATCATGTTTCCTTAATTGTTTTCCTTAATAATGTTGATTGAAAATAATTTGGACGATAATGATGATGAAAATTGATTGTCACTGTCATTAAGCTTTGCAATATTATCATCATGAGAAATAAATTGTTATTGGTTTTAACTTGTATTTCTTTCATTGATTCTTGATTAATTTGAGTAATTGAGCGTTGATTATAAAAAGAAAAATTTTTCTCATCATTAAATTATCATCTTCTTCTGTTAATTAACAGAAAAAGCGAGAGAGGGAGAAACTTTCATGTAAAAATACACTGGACTCTTCGATTTCATAACCAACCTTGACACACCCTTTTTCTAAAGAAGATGAGGATGATAAGAGGAGAATATAATTGAAAAGGTTGATCATTAACATTGAAAGAAATGACAATTTTGATTCAATGAAAATTATCCAATTAAACAATTGAATGATTAGTTTAAATTCACAGGTAAGAAAAACATAAAAAGAAAAAATGAAAAGTGAGAGTAAAATAATTAATACTAACCTGCAACATTCTGAATTCTATTTAGCCCGGAGGCATGCGAACCACGAAATGGACTGTTCTCATAGACATGATTCTCATAAGTGTTACTATTGGTACTAATGTTGGGATTAATTTGACTTGATTGGGGAAACCTGTTAATTGATGTCGATCGAGCCATCAATGCAGGTCCTGTTGATTGTTGTTGTTGTTGAGCATGATGAAGGCGACGTAGTTCAGCCTCTTGAACTACCCAATGATTAATATTATAAGGTGAAGTTTGTTGAGGTTGAGGTTGAGGTTGAGGTTGGAGTTGGGGTTGGGGTTGTTGAGTATAATGAAGACGACGTAGTTCAGCCTCTTGAATTACCCAATGATTGATATTATAAGGTGAAGATTGTTGGGGTTGAGTTTGTTGAGAAGAAGATAACATTATTCTGGAAATCGCAATGAGTGAAAAAAAAGAGACGAAGATGAAAAAAGATGGAAAAAAATTAATATATTATCATGATTATTTTTAGAGGTAATGATGAGTGAAAGAGAGAGTTGTTGTTTGGGATCATTAGTTGTGTTGTTTTTTTGCTTGAAATATCAAATAGAGAGTAAAGGTTAAAATAATATTGATAAATTAATGGATAAAATCAACATGATCCTTAAAAGAGATATGATTTAAAAGGTTTGCCTTCCGATTATTTTCATCTAACAAGTCAACATGAACTTTGTATTATTATTATTATGATTTTTCATCAAGCTGTACATTAATTTGTATACTTACAAGTTGGGTTGCTTTTGGTGGCTTGATTGTTGTTGAAATTGGTGATGATGTAGCTGTGTAGCTGATTGTTGTAGTTGCCGTGGAAGCGGTTGTGTTTGTTGTAATGGCTGTTGAAAGGTATGAAGTTGAGGATGTGAGTGGTGATGTTGTAGTGTTGCATGTTGGTGTTGTTGTTGTTGTTGTGTGTTAAATGAATTGGCTTGTAATGGTGATTGTGAAGCATAAAGAAGGTGCTTTTGTTGGTCAGCTAAATTCTGATTTTGTAACCTTTGTTGGAACACTTTCATTTCCTCTTTATAAGCGAGATCTTCAGCCGTGGGAGGCCGATTATTTTTCATTAGAACAGAGTTTTCATATTCTTTATTATTATTCTGATTGGTCATGATAACGGTTGTTGATGGTATTCCTGTTGTTGTTGTTGTTGTTCTTGGAGTTGCTGTTGAAGATGAAGATAATGATGAAGATGGTGAGGGGTTATTGTTATTAGCTAATGTCACAGATGATGATGAAGAGGAGGACGAAGATAAAGATAATGATGATGATAGGGATGAAGCTGCTGATGGGAAAAGTCGTGATGTTAATTGGTCGGCAGTTTTTTTCACTTTTTCAGATTTTCTTATAGGTTTAGAGGTTATGGTTTGTTGTTGTTGCTGCTGTTGTTGGTGGTGTTGATTGTGATTATTATGGTTATTTTGTTGTTGTTGTTGTTGAGTTGGTGCTGGTTTACATTTTGATAAACTTTCGAAAGTAGATAACTTGGCTCGGAAGGAGAGCATCTGCTCTTTTTCAGCATCTTCATCAGCATAAATGCTATCGTTAAGGTGATCATCATCTTCACTTTCAGAATCGAGCTGATTAAATCTACCATTAGACCTGTTGCTAGGATGATGTTGATTGGGATCAATGTTTTGATTAGATAGATGTGAATGATTGACAACTCGTGGATCATCCTGTTGTTGAAGTAGATAATTCCATACACTTTTCTGACGATTATTTTCATTTATGGTAACGGTTTTAGGTTGTGATTCACCACTAGATTGGTCTCGTCTTGATAAATCCGTTGATGAGTTTCGATTGAACACTTTCTTCTCACGGAAATTATCATTTTGTTTTTGTTTAATCTCATCACTATTTCTTGAATTAACCTTTCCTGCGGAAGGATTGATTGAGCTTTCCTCATTTTTGATTGACACGATCACGGTAGGTGAGATTAAGGTGGCTGATGATGATGAGGATGAGGATGAGGTTGTTTTTGTTGTGGCCATGGTTGTTGGTGATGGTGATGATGAGGATGATGATGATGATGATATAACCTCACTAGTTGAAACCCTTTCCTGTCTTTCCAGTTCATTTTGTTTCTTCTCAAGTTGTTCTAATTCTTGAAGTTTATTGTTTAATTCTTGTCTCTTTTTTTGTAATTCTGCTTGTTGGTGCTCATAACTTTTCAATTGATTAGATTCATCATCTTCATGATAATCGCCTAAGTTATTATTTGCATTGGAAACCCTTGAAGATCCTATTGTAATCAAATTTGGTTGACACAAAAAAAAGAGAGAGAGAGAGAGAGAGAAATAAATTAATGAGATTAGAAGGAGAAAGACAATAAAATAATAACTAATAGAGCTTCAAATGCTTGACAGTTTCTCTCACATCATCAGATCTACATTGTTTAGACAATGGATAACATAAAAAACTTACCTGTTCCCTGTTTATGGTTATTGTTATTAGTATTGTTGTTGGCTAAAACTAAACTTTCTTCCTCTTCTTCATCTTGAATACCAATATATTTATGTAAATTATAACCTATCCTGTGACCAGATTTTGCTTTCTCATTGAGAATCTCTGAGAAGGTTTTAACTTTTCGCTGTTGATTATCACCTGAATCAGATTCTTCACCTCCGGTTAACCTTGATTGTCTTCTTTTAGATTTCCAATTGAGAAGATTATTTTGCCATTCTTCTTCAACTTCTTTAATCTTTTCCTTGGTAATCTTAACCTCCTCAGCTAAACGGATTTGTTCAACAGCCTGTTGATGAAAAAGAAAATTATTAGACAGAAGAGAAAAAAAAATATTATCATTATTATTAATATTATTTCAAGAATCATTATTGATAAACGTCAATGTTGAGTGAAATGAGTGAGAGGTAATAAACAAAAACAATCAACCAAAAATATCAAAAATAATGATCGAGGTAACTGGGCCATAGCAAGAAAATGGGTGCAAGACCCAATTGACCATTAGAAAAAAATAAATAAACTATTATAATGACCATAAGGTAAGAGAGAGAGAGAGAGAGAGAATCAATCTGACAAGTTGAATGAAATATTTGTGTTACTTGTATATACACAATAGAAAAGCTAATAAGTAATTGTTGTAACAATTTAAATCTATTTACTATATTTTGTAACAATTTTTGTTTTTTCTTTGATTATAATGTAGTATCATCATCATCTTCATCTTCATCATCATATTAATCATACAAGAAAAAGGATATTGATACAAAATGTAAAGGTAATAATAAGATTTGACCAACTTACCTTTTTACTTAATTCTGTTGATTGAATTTTAACAAATTGTAGGGGATCATGAGTTTGTTTACTTCCAGGGCGGATAACTGTTGACACACAGTGAGTTGTTATCACACCGCCAGGTAAATCAAGATCTAAGCTTATCTATTGGAAGATTAAAAAAGACAATAGAACAAGATAAAAGATGAAGATAAGAGAAAGAAAGAGAGAGAGAGAGAGAGAGAGAGAGAGAGAGAGAGAGAGAGAGAGAAATTAAGTCAATAGTAAACAGAAACGAAAAACTAGAAAAAAAAGAGGAGAAACTTGATAGATAATATTTTTGTGTACAGAAGATTAATGAATGGAGAGTATTAATCACTCACAGACTATTGTGATGAAATTGAGAGAGAAAAAGCAAAACATTAGTGTTAATATTATTTACAGCGCGAGGTCACACCTTTTCATTACACTTATATTGGTCAACTTAAATTACCTTTTAACTTTCTCTCTTTTTTGTTTTTTTGTTTGTTGTATCTCTTTCACACTCTTTCCCTCCCTCTATGATAATATTACTTTCATCATGTATTTATTTTCATCAATAGAGATGAGGAAGAAAAAGATTCTGTCTTTTCCTTTCCGTCTTCCTATTATTTTGATCACATGAGTTAACAGAATAAAAAAGTGAAAAAAGAATTTTTTCTTCTTCTTTTTGATAACTTACTCTTCGGGAAACTGAGGAGCGATTAATTGAATTGTCATCCTCATAGTCATCACTTGAATTCCAACTTCTTTCAGATACAGTTGACATGGTCCAATAATAACATGAATAGATAACCACAAAAGATACAAGGATTTAATATCCAACGGGCTGTACAGACACAACGAGGTAAATGTGTAATTAAGAAGATTTCGGTTAAAACAAAGAAACTTAAATGAGAGACAAAGAGAAAGAAGATACCAAGAAGAGAGAGAGAGAAAGAGAGAAAGGAAAGCCCCAAAGAGAAAAAAAACTAAAAAAGAGGAGAGTTTTTGGAAAAGGCAAAGGAGAAAGAGCGAGAGAGAATAAATGAGGTATGAAGAGTGAGTGGGTGAGAGAATATGAAGAGAGAGAGAGAGGAGAGAGCAAAGAGTATTAAGAAGAAGAAGAAAAAAAAACCTAGACTCACATAAAAAGATGAAGATGAAGGAAAGAAAAAAATTTATTCCTTACACAGGAACCACAGAGAGAGAAAGAGAAAAAGAGAGAGAAAAGAATAACCAGAAACGTAAGGTGAATAGACCAAAATAAGAAGAAGGCGAATTGACACAGATCAATGGAACCAAAACGGGAACACTAAGTTTACCACAATGGAGAATTAAATCACAATGTAATTAACTGTCACCGTTAATTGAGCCGATTAATCATCAATTATAACAATTCCATTTATTATTGTAATGGAAAAATAAATTGTAAAAAAAAAGATGGCAAGGTAAACATGACTCAGAACAGACTTTTGGGTTAAGGAGTAAGAAGAACAATTTCTTAGGTTAACCCAAACAAAAGATGACAACCAATGTTTTCTACAATTAACTAATTGTTCAAACTCCCAGTTAACACTTGAGTATAAAAAAGAATATGAAAAATTGTGACAATTAAAAGATTTTATAAAAAAAAAAGTAGAACTTAAGTCTCATCCAATCCGAAGAGAAACAAAAAGTAAAATAAAATTTCTGTTTATTTTTTTCTCTTTCTCTCTAATCTCATTTTTCTTTCTCTTCTCACCTGAGGGAACGTCTCCTAATTACGATGCGAAATTCGAAAAAAATTTTGAAAAGTTTTTTATCGAAAAGAGAAAAACTTGACTAATTAACTAATCGTCATTCTAATGATTGAAATTAGTAATTTGGAATAATTTTTAGAATTAATTGTTAGGCAATGGTGGCAGATTTATTACGTTGATATGATACAATTAATTGTAGAAATCAACAGATAATTAGTTGATTAATTGTTTATGGAAATTGATTAAAATTTAATTCTTTTTTCATTTTGATTAATTGGAAAAACAGAAACATTTAAATCCAATTGAGTTTGTTTGTTTCTTTCTCTTTAATTGTAACAGTTATTAGCAATTAATAGTTAATTAATGTTGTTGTTGATTAGTGATTATCATCAACTCGGACGATTTAAACTGTTGGGCCAATTGATTTAATTGTTTTTTTTGTGTGTTTTTATATTGAAGATGATGAAATAATTAAGTGATGATGATGATTACTAATTAGATTGTGATTAATTGTCCTAAATTGTTTCACATTGATTTGATTGTTAAAAGCAGCACTAGACATGTAGAGATACAAGCAATTAAGTTAATTGTTACCAAATTAATAAATGACTTTTGTTTTTGCTTCAAAAACTACAATTAATATATTATTTTAATCAATAGGATTTAATTATTGACTCTAAGTTTAAATTGTGACTTTGTTTTTTTTATAATGATTAAAAATATAATATTATTATTATCATATTGTATTGATAATAATAGTAAATTGTAATAATTAATTGCAATGAGATAAAGGATTGAGTGTGAAAAATGATTTGAATTGGTTAATTATTTTATCGTTTTGAACGATTAAAGTTAAGTTGATTGTAACGTAAGTATAATTTTGAATTAGTGCCGATTGATTAACACAATTAAATGAGAAGCACAAATTGGTTGATTGTTGGATTTAATTGATTTTCAAATGATTGGAAGCCAAGAAGAGAGGAGGAAAAAGTTAACCAGGATTATATTGAGAGCGGTGGTGGGCTTTTCATTGCCGGTGGTGCTTTTTGGTGGTGGGTCAGTCTTTATGATGGCGACAATTTGATTAATATGATTTAAAGTAATTTTTGTTTAGCACATTCTGGACACAAGATATTTGGTCCATCGGTAATGAAACCTTTTCCTACGAGTGAGATTTTACATTCGGCACAATTAAAACAATCATTGTGCCAATTACGATCCTCAAAGCATATGAATCGAGTTCCACCAATTCCTAAAGAACAATTAAAAAGAGAGAGAGAGAGAATCAATATATCGGTTATCGATTAAAATTGAATAAGTTCCCAAATCGATTGAGATTTTGGGTGATTAGTTAATTACCAGTTATTGGCCTTTCACATGAAGTACAACGTTTGGCAAATAATTCACCGAAACATTCAGCACAATAAGGTTTATCGTCTCGAGATGTGAATCGTTGACCAGCCAAACAATTATTACACTCGGTGCAAGTGAAACACTCACGATGCCAAGGGGCATTTCGATAGGTCACACCGCCAGAGGTTATTATCTATTAGTGGAAAATAAAAGGTCAATTTGGGTCAATTTTTCAGAGAAAAATCTTTCAACTGGTCAGGTTAAAGTGACCATATGAATACGTGGACATACCTGACTACATTTAATGCATCTAGTGGCATATTTATCCTCGTAACAACCAGTGCAGTAAATTTCATTGTCTTTGGGGATGAAAGATCGAGTGCCGATTGGATTGGCACAAACAACGCAAATGAAACAATTCTCGTGCCATTGGTGTCCTTTGTACTCCATTTTTTTCATTCCTAAAAGGTTAAGTTAATTGAGATGATTAAGTTGATCATTTGGTTAATTGTTCTAATCACTTACCGGCTTTGAATGGTTGATTACATCCATCGCATCGGCTGGCAAATGCTTCGTCGTAACAATCACCACAATAGACTCGTTCGGCTTTCGAGCCGAAAGGTTTGTCCACCAATGAGACTCGACATTTGTTACATAGGAAACAAGCTTCGTGCCAATGTTTGTCCTTGTAAGATAAATCCTAACAATCAGAGGGAAATCAAAAATCAAAACAACAATTAGTTAATTCACTGAATAAACGCCAATCAAACATTTAACTCAATAACAAATCAGTTGATAGATTGGGATTAATCAATGAATGGATTAGGTTATGAGCAACTTGAAGTCACAGTCGAAACAATTAACTGATTGTCTTAAATTGTGTAAGACTTGATCTTTTTTTTCCTCGTTAAAATTAATCAATTAGTTGGAGTGATTAATTAATCGTCATTTTTTTTCTTTTTCTTGTTAGCAATTTGACTCTTTGTGTGTGTTAATTAGTTGGAAGAAAATTTTTTTTCATCTGCTTAATTGAGGCTCAATTTTTGCCTCTCGGTAATTTATTAATTTTGATTATTAATCACTTTCAATTAAGATTATAATTCAAGTGCCCAATCAAGTAACGGGTGACAATTTAGGTTTGTTGGTTTGCAGCCAATTAACCAACATGATATTTGATTGAACTTAAATTAGTTTGGGAAAACTTTCCGTTAATCTAGTTTTAATTTAGTTCGGTGGGTTAAATTAGTCAATGTTAGTTAACTTAATCAGTAATTAACACACACACACACAATTGAGCTGGCTGCAAATAATTTTAATTGTTGGATTTGCTCAAGCAAACAATATAATCAAAGATAATTACTGAATTAAGTTTCAATATCATCTTACAATTAACCTAATTAACATTTGATGGGCATCGAAACTGAACAATTTAAATCTCAATTACAATTTAAACTTAAATTGTTGAAACTTTCACAAGGGAAGGATCAAAATTTTCAAGATCAACAATTAACCCAATCAGGTTAATATCAACATGCAATTTATCATAGGAAACAATTAACTTAATTGCATGTTAGTTAATATATTTATTAATCATGATCGTGATTTAAATAATAATAACAATCAAAAGCTATTGTAATGGATTGATTATATTTAGATACATTTAAACATATGAGAGGAAAAGGAAATGAATTATTTATTATGTTCAATTGATGATTAAGATTTGGTAAAGTAAATAATCAAATTTACAATTAAAATTAACAAATAAAAAAGTTTCTAGATGATTATTAATTTAATTCAAATTAGTTATTTCCATTAGATTTTTAATATAAATCATAGGTTATAACATTACATTTGATTGTTGATGATGATCCTTTGATATCCTGAATAACTATCACAATTAACTGATTATCTATGCAAGAAAATGAAACAATAATATAATATAATGTCTAACAATCAATTTTTACTTAATCATGATTAGATAATAATCATAAATAATCAAGTTTAAATAAAAATTACGTCAATTTATTACATAGTTGATCAAATTTAACCTTCGATTAGTTGAAAAATGATCAACAATCAATAAATTTTGTTTGTAATAACATCTCAATGAACAAATTATCAGTAGTAAACAATTTAAATTATATTTCAAGGTTAAGGTTGAGTATGGTTACTCACTAAATTATAATCAATTTTGATCACAATCAACTCAAATGAAACAAATTCAATAGTCCAAGGTTAATATTATATGTATGAAAACCTGCATAAATAATTAGTAAATTACAACAATTAAGACAAACAAATTGACTCAAAAACAGAGGGAGAGAGTTAAAAATTAACACACTGATAGTAAATCATTTGATTTTATCATTCTGTCAACTTAACTAACGATAATTATCAACAATTTGTTAGTGATTAAGGTAAACAATTAAGTCTTATCTTTTACTTGACAATTCAAGTGTTGATGATGAAAACAATCAGTTAATCGTTTGCCATCAATTATTGTTATTAGAAGGATATAATTAATCAATAGAAAAATTTTTTCTTCTTCTAAATTAACAGAGAACTGAATTAACTTACCTTTGAATCAATTCCAATGATTTTGTTACATTCTTCACATGTATTGGCAAAAACTGATTCATAGCATTTGACACAATAGGGATGGTCATCTCGAAGGACATAACGTTGACCAGTCAATGATTCATCACATTGCCAACAACTAAAGTGACTTGAGTGCCAATCCTTGTTCATGGCTTTGGTATATTCACCCGAGAAAATAAGCTAAACAATTTAGAAAGAAATTAAAAAAGTTTGAAACAATCAGTTAATCAATTGGTGAACATTCAATTATAATCAACTAGCATTTAAATTGTCGTTTCAATCAAGATCAACTACTTTTGTATATACTTGTCGTTATGGTTTTAATTGTTATGATAATCAACTAATGTTGATGATTAATATCAAGACTATTTCATCAAGTCAACACTGAATATAAAATAACATGTAAAAAAAAGTGAGATGAATAAAAAAACAACAATATTCAAGCTCACTTGAGGCTCCCTTATCATCATGACTCTCTCACTCACTCTCTCTCTTCTCTCTCTCTCTTTATGTCTTTCTTATCATCCTCTTTCTTACATTTCGTCAGTTAATTATGCTTGGAATTCAGTTCTGGATGAGAAATAATGATAATGATGATTAAGAGGATTATTCAGATTCTCACAAGATTCAAGGTATTTAGAGTTCTGATTAGATCAACAATTTTTTCATTCTCTTTTCGATACATCGAACATTAAACTTGACAAGATTATCTTCATCATCTTCATCATCTTCCTTCAACTCATCACCAATTACCTAACCCACCTACTCACTCATCTTCATCCACCTTCAATTGAGTAAATATTTAATTCACCTTTTTAACTCCCAGTTCAGCTCGACTTCGGGAGTGATTTTTAAACATTCTAACTCACTTTCCTAATACTTAAATTGTATCCTTTAAATTGATAGTAATTAAATTTTCTCTCTCAATACTTGTCATCATTAATTCACTAATTGTTGTCAAGCACGAGACAATTAGTTTGGAATCTCAATATTTCTCAATCTCATTAAAACTTACATATTACTTGTTAACAAATCATTTAATTTGATTAGACTTAATTAAAAGATTATATTGTGAGATGATTTGTGTTAATTGTATAAGTTGATTATTGATTATTTGAAACTGATTAAGAAATTGAATCAATTTAAAAATTACTATAAAATCATTTTGTCAATTGAACAATAAAATCAAATCAATAATCTAAATTGTGATTATTTGTAATTTGATCTGATTGAGTAAATCATAATTTCTATTTGTTTTTATATCAAATAACAATTTCGATGGAAAAACAAATTGTAACAATTAACGAAGTGTAAGATAAACTCTAATTTAGACTAATGATATAATGATTATATGATAGAAGAGTTAATTGTTTACCTCATTATCTGGTTTAGAATTAGAGTTAATTGTATTTGTAATCTCGATAGAACCTGATCTTTCCTCTCGAACATCACCTTCGATGGTAACTTTTTTCTTCTTTTTTGTTGTTTTAACGATTTTTCTCACTTCGACATTGGACACTTCGTCAGACATGTTGAGATGATTTGATTAGAAGCGATTGTAAATAATAAATGACAATTAAAACACAATCTTTAGAGACACTGACACTTAATTGGATGAATACAAGATGAAAATAATCACTAGAAACTCAATTAACCAGGGAAATTAAAAAACAACTTGTAATAAGCTTGAATAGTTAAAATGAATTGAACAATTTGAAGAAAATTATTAGGCTATAATAATGATGTTCCTAAGCCACATGAGTTGTTTTCAGCTCCCGATGATGATGATGAAGACAGAGGAAAAGTAAGAGAGAAAGAGAGAAAGAAAGAAGATGGAAAAATATCTCTTTCTCCACCCAAGAGAGAGGGAGGAAAGACCCTTATAAGTAGGTGGAGAGAGAGAGAGAGAAAGAAAGAAAGAGAGAAGATGATAAAGTGATGAGGATGATGAGGGAGACTCAAAGTGCTTGTTGATAAAAAAGATGAAGTTTCAAAGTGATGAAGTTTATTGTGATTCCTTCAACTGTGCCAACAACAAGTTGGGTATTTGTGCTTTGGAGCCGTGAGGAAAATGCATTTTTTAGCATCATTATCATCTTCTCATCATCTTTATCATTTTCATCTTCATCTTTTATCTCCATCCGCTTTTTATCATCCTCATCTTCTAGGAACTTTGTCTCTCTCTCTCTCTCTCCTTTTTGCTTCCCTTTCTCATTTATCAGATTTATCGTTGTTTATTTGATATAATTAAATGTGTTACTAGTAATTTACTTGACAGGAAGGTTGTTGTTGTTGTTGTTGTTGTTGTCAGTTATCATCTTTGTTTACATCATCATCTTCAGTATCTCCCGACCTCATCCTTATGATTCATCATCATGATCACTTTTCATTTTTGATTTTTTTTTCATTTCCAATTCAAATGATTAATCAATGATTTCTCATTCATGATTTTGATCAGATTTGTATTGTAAGATTGAGGTTGGTGACATTTTCTAACATTGTTTGAGTTTAATTGTAAACAGTTGATTCTTAATCATATCTTTAAAATAATCATTAGTTTAAATTTTTCTTGGCAATCAAATTGAATCTTCACTGAATCAGAAAATCAGAAGGAAAAAAATTTTCATCAAAATTGGAAAACATTTTCATCAATATCAATTGATTGTTGTATTAGTCTGATAGTTTTTGTCCAACAATCAGTCAGCTAAATTGTATCATGAAAAAAAAGTGTTTATAAATGATAATGATGATTGTTGACTTGATTGTTACAATTAAAAGATTAAATATCAACAATCGAGGAATAGTTTTCCTTAGAATCGATGATCAAATGAATTTCTAGTTGTTACACCAAACTAAATGTCTATCAAATTGTAAACAATTAAGTTTCGTGTGCAAGTGGTTTTCATCATGTTAATCATGATGGTATTTGTTTGGCAAATCAGAAAAAAAGTTCAGTGGAAAAAAAAAGATTCAGAGAAAAATTCAGTAACTATCAATGTTACCATGTTAATTAGCAACTAAATTAACTATTAATACCTTTTGAATATAAATAAACTGGACTTGGATTTGGAAAAACTGTTGGAAAAAAAATTCAAATTTATCGGCGGTGGGAGAGTGAAAAATTCAGGGTGGGAAAAGTTTCCATGATAGTTTACAAAATCCTAATGATGAACGGCTCTCATCTGATCATTAGATTTGTTAGTTTGATAGAAATCAATAAATCAATTGATTTAGTTTGAATGTATCATCTCAACGATTATCTAATAATCATACTGATGAATTACAATCAAAATAGATTCTTTATTAATCTCTCCCTCTCCTAATTGGATATAAGCACAATTGAAATAACGGTGATTGATTGTTGATTAGAAATTGGAAATTGGTAACTTTTCAATTGTATCCTTGAAGTAGATGAGGTAAGAACGGAATTGAAATACGGATGCGGATGATGATATTATTACATATGATGATAGAGAAGGATAAAACTAGTGTGTGTGTGAGAGAGAGAGAGAGGATGAAGATGAAGATGAAGATGAGGATGAAAAGGAACCTCAAAATAACCAATGGAGAATCGTGTGCATAAAATAGTTGCAATCATGTCTGTCTTAGGTGCAGGGCAACCAAAAAGTACAGTTATATTTGTAGACAGAAAAAATAGAAAGAGAGAGAGATGATGAAGATGAGGATGAGGATGAGGATGAGGATGATAAGACTGTTGTTAGAAAGGAATACAGAATGAAGATTAAGAGTCTCCATAAAAGGAAACCCTTGGGTTCATCTGTGATTCTAATCCTCATCATCTCCATATATCCATCGCTCGCTTGTTATTTTACTCGAGCAAAAAAAGTCAAATGAGCACAGAATTGAACACGAAACTAATATGTTATTAAGAATCAAAAATTTACGATAATTATAATTACAATTTAAACTATTCTCTTCCTCATTATCAACTTGGTGATTAAAATTAATCATTAGCTAATTTTGAGCTTCCATATTATTATTATCCATTAGATTCAATCTAATGGATAATAATTTAACTCCCAGTTAACTGATTATATATTATTTTAACTTTGACGTTTTCTTTTCATTGGTCAATCAACTTTATTAAGATAATTGATTGATTATCTAATTGTTGTTTCTAATCACAATCATTATCACTGTTAATTGTTGCGATTACTACTTGATACTTGAATAAATGGTTAAAGTTTATTAACCTAAAGGTTATGATCTTAAATCTGATTTGTTTGCCTTTGAAGCATTTGATTGGATTAATGGATTAATTGTTGTGATTTAATGGGATGATTAAGAAAAGTGATTAAGTTAATTCAGTTATTTTCGTCAACTGTTTTCAGGTAAATTATCAAAATTAACATGTGATTCATTTAATTTCATCATCGATTGTGTTATAATCCCACTCAATTAACTTTTAACATAAATAGATTAAGATTATATGTTAATCGTAATCAATGTGATCACTTAATCAATTTAAACTTAATCACCATTGGATCAATGATTATCAATGTTGGTAAAGTTCAATTGTTAATCAATTTAGAGATTTAATTTCGTTGAAACGTCATTAATCATTTAGAAATCTAAAACAATTAATCAACACTCCTTCCTGTGTTACTATTAATAAATTCACAGTTTTTGCTTCATAATGATTAAGGTTCACAATTAACTAATCATAACCTAAACCATTATCTAATGATAAACAATTAGTATTTCAAATTAATTGTTAAGACTCATTTTCAATCATTGGAATTAAACTTTTTTCAAGGGCAAGAATTTAATTGTTGTAAGTTAACCTAATTGTTAATTTTCATGATATTTGATATCAAATTGGATTAAATTTGAAATTAAATCTTTGATAACATGAGATTGAAAATTAAATTGCTCGATCAGTTTCATTAATTTTCCCCCCTCTTTAATTGTTTTAATTGTTAGAAAACAATCAAGATAATATGATAGAATATGATAAATTACAACAATTAAAAATTAAGTGTTAGAATGTAAATTAGACGATAAATTGTTGTGAAAGAGAAAAATTGATTTACTGATTTAAATGTGAATAATTTAAACTTAATCATATTACTAAGTAAGTTAGTGTTATATCATAGGTGTTAGGTTGATAATTAAATTGTTTACAATACAAAGTTGATTAGTTAAGCAGAATTGAAACATTAATGATAGAGGCAACAATCAGTTTGATTGATGTTTAATCATCATCATGGTGATTGTGATTATGATCAGGATTAAATGTCCTTGTAATGACTTGAAGTAAATGTTTAAATGTATTTTTGAGTTTAAATTGTGAGCTGATTGCAATGAAAAGGGTGGGATGGATAATGTTAATCCAGTTAATCAGTTTCCAGATTATTATCAAAGTTTAACTAGATTAGGATTAGCAAGGGAAATGCTTACGACATGAATGAAAAAAAAGTAAATCAAATCAAATCAAAGATAAAATTAGAAATGAGATGAAAAAATGAGATGAAGTGAATTAAGTTAATTGTGAACAGAAAATCAATTTTCATCAATTGAAATGTTGAGCAAATTTAGATTAGCATTAAGAAATCACTTTCGATTTGATTAATCCAAATGTGAGATTTATAGTTTATCTTATTTTGATTATTCTCCATCATTTATGTAAGTAACAATCAATGTTAATCCATTAGGAACAATTAAGGATAATGATTAACCGATGAGTCATAAATTGGGAGCTTTCATCTCATTTCCGGGTTAGAATGAAAATTTTCATTCCAATCGAATTGGACATTTCGATTACCTGGATTAGTCGATTGTTATTTATCTCTCTCTCTCTCACTTTATTCATGATTCGGTTATGGGTAAATCGTTAATTGTCTCCAATGATTATCTTGATTACTTTTCTTTATTATTGGACAATTGTGAACAATCAATATTCCTGCGACTATGACTAATACTCAATACTCAATTGAACGCATGTCAATTGTTATCTTTATGACAATTGGTTTAAATTGTCATCTTAAATTTCACCTCAACAATTTAAATTGATTAAAACTCCCACACACAATTAACTTTGTTGTCTGTGATTAAGTTAATTGTTGACCTTTTCTTTTTACTGGTCAACCGTATTTAACTTTTTACACCAAATAAAATTGATCAACTTCTTTACGCTCTTCTTATCATTAACTCAAGAGAATTATTCCATTTTTCTTCCTGTTATTTGCAATTAAAGTGAAAATTAATTAATCAGTAATCGATTAACTTGTTTCAAAATTGTTAATTAGTTTCTAAATTGTTGATTGGAAAGTTTCATTTGCTTTGCGAAATAAGTGGCGCCATCTCTGGTCACATTTTCGAAGTGAAACAAAATCGAGAAAAAAAAAGTTTTTTTTTCGACTCGAAAGTTTCAAGTGATTAGAATTCGAATAGATTTATGATTAAATTGAGTTGACAAAGAAAAGGTAATTACTACTAATTAGAAGATGCGTGTGGTCAATAATAGATTAGAAATATATGGATTGTCGTATTTGGATGATTAAAGTTAATTTTTGATTGTGAACATTGGAAATAAATTATGATTAACTTACCTCATCACAATTTGAACATCTTGGTCTAATTGTATCAGCAAAGTGCCTCTCACAATAAAGTGAATCATTTTTAATACAATAAACCAAATCAATTAATAATTCATTACAAACAGAGCAAATGAAACAAGGTGGATGCCAACAATTAACTTCACCAAATTTAGGAGCAATTACAATTATCTCCCGAGATCGTATTTCTTTACCACAATTTTTACAAATCTGCAATTAAAAATGAAGAAATTAATATATTTTCTTTATAGAGAATTTAATTTTTTTTCACTTAATCACTCACTTTATTTAGTTGATTAGCTGGACGATAATATCCAATATCTAAATTGTAAATGTTTCGACTCTCAACGAAATCGATAAATTTTTCCTTCGAATCTGTATCAACGTAATTACAATAAGCTAAAGCTAAATCATGGGCTGGAAGTTGTTTAATTAATTGTTGATCACGAAACTGTTTATCACTGGATCGAGGAATCATCTTGTCAATTGGAATCAGATTGAAAAAATCATCGGTCTATGAAAAAATAGATAGAGAGAGAGTTTAATTGTTACTGGTTAGAATTTAATTAAACAATCAACGATATTGATTAATTCAATTTCTACCCTTCTACAATTCAATTAACTTGATTATAAGTTACGAGCACAAATGATTAACTTATACACATAAGAGGATTGGATAAGTTAATGGTTATTATCATTGTCGAGCTTGAATTTAATATAATTTAATATGATTAACTTGATTGTCTGAGTTTTCATTGTTTAAACATTAATGGTTGAGTGAGTAATAAAATATATCATAGTGACAACAATTTAATGATTATTGTTGATAATAATTTACCTCGTTTAATGGATTAACATTAATTCAGTTTGTTCATCATTTAAATTGGTTAAAATAAACATGATTCCCAATAATTTAATCACAATTGAAAAAATTAATTCATATAAAAGTGGTTTGTGTTAACCAATGTGTCAAATTGTGTCGACAATAACTGATGATTAGTTAATTGTTGTAACAAAATTAGATGATGAAAATTTCCTGAGATGATAAAAACAATTTCCTTATTGAAGATACATTTTAATATCCGTTTTTCCTGAATAATAATAATAATCATCAGATTAAATTAAGATAATAATTATCATCATCATGATGATAATATATTGATTGTTGATAAATGATGATCATCATCATCAAGATGATGAGGATGATAAATATGATGACAATATTATCAATTCCCAGTTGAATATTTATCACGCAATTGATTTCAATCCCTGATCATTTTTACCTTCACTGATTATTAATCAAACTGATTAGTATTAAAAGCTTTCCAGTCTAATCATCAAATTATATTATAGTGATAATTAATTGTTATCATGTAATAAAAAAGTTACGTCAATATTGTTATTTGTTTTAATCACAATTAACTGATTACTTTGAAAAAAAAACTTTTCATCAACTAAAAGGTTCATTTACATTGGACTCGATTTGACAGTTAATCAAATTGTTATTCATACTTTTTGATTACTTTCAATTAACTGTTTTCTCCCTCCTTAATCCGATTTACTCAGCTAATCCTAAATCTAATCTTAATTGTCGTTTGGCAGCTTATTTAAAGACACGAGTAATCACAATTAACCTTGACATCCATTAACTAAACATATATAAATCATTTGATTGCCAAGCTCATTATTTTGTTTGGGATTTGAAAATTTGGTGAAACAATTGTAACTGATTAATTTGACAATCAATTGTAAATCATGATTAGTTGGTCAGCTATGTAACTAGACGTGATTTGTAATGATTAAACAAAATTTATTTAACTATTTCAAGTAATTAATTCAATGACTGATCTGATTGTGTAAATGGGATTGAAACAACTAAATATAATATAAATTAACACAATTTTTGATTGACAGTTGAGGGTTTAGGTTAACAATTAACTGGCGCTTTTAACAGTTTACAAGTTAAAGATCACTAATTGTTAATGGTTAATAAAGGGATTAGGTTAATTGTTAAGGTTATTATGAGATTTGTTACCTCATCACAATTTGATGAATTGGAGTTAATTGTTGCTGTTGTTGTTGTTGTTGTACTTGTAATATCAATGGAATTGGGTCTTGATTGTTGATCCTCTTTGTCAATGGTTAATTTTTTTTTCTTCTTAATTGTTTTCACTGATTTAGATAAATTTGACACATCGTCAGACATAATTGTTGATGTTGATGAGATAATTGTGATTATTTTGATTATTTTGATTGTTGTATTTACTTGAAACTATTGTGAATATGAAATGGTTAAAAGTGATAAGTTGATTACAATTTAAGGGAAACGCGGGTGATTAAAATTAATAGTAAACTAACAAAAATACAAACATATGATGATGATTAAGATGAAATTAAGTTTTGTAATTACAAATTCAATTATTTATAAATAACTTGATATTTTTGATGATGAAAAATCAACAAATGTGAATGAAATTAAATTAACGTTAGTAACCAAAAAGTAAAGATATTAACTCAATTATTAGGTTATGATAATCAAGCTTGAAAACCACATGAGTTGTTTACAAGCTCTAGATGATGATGATGATGATGATGATGATGGAGAAAGAGGAAGATGAGGATGAAAGAGAGAGAGAGAGAGGAAAACCTTTTCATCCAAAGGTACAAATTGAAGGATGAAAAGAGGGAAATGGGTAAAGGGAGATGGAAACTTTTTCGAGGGGAAAAAGAGCATAAAGAGAGAGAAAGATGATAAGGATGATAAGAAGAAGAAGAAGATGATCAAGGATCATACTCACAAGGTATTCTTTTAAAAGTAACTTGTGTCAATCAAATGATTCTTTAATTGATCAGGTCACAATATCGAATGACAACCGGCGAGAAAAGGTCATCAATCTATTTTTATTTATTTTCGAAAACATGTCAACTATTTACTCGCAAATATTTTGGAAAAAAAAAATTCTTCAATTATCCAGAAAATTTCGAAGCAAAAAAAAAACATCAACTTAACTCTTTCATATTTTCTATTTAATCAAAAAATCAAAACAATTCAAATTGATTCGATTTTCATTTTTTATTTTGTTCGAAAGGAAAAAAAAAAATTCTTTTCGATGGTAATTAGGTGACGGTCCCTCTCTCAAGATGGCGAATCTTTTTGGATTCACTTTTGAAATGATTTTGTTTTTTTTTTGTAGTGGAAAAATTTGTGAATTTATTAACGAAGTATATTTCCTGTGATGGTGATTTTGATCTGGTGTTTATCAATTTTTATTTAGATATTTAAAGAGATTAATTGTTTGTTGTTGTTAGAGGAAAGAAATGGCTTCCGAGGATATTATATTTCAAAATGTTGGAAGTGAGGTTAGCATTGATTGTTGTGGTGAAGAATTGGTTGCCCCGCTTGAAGGAGTTTCTCTTCCCGCCACAAGTACCAAAGGCTTACGTCGTTCAAAGGCTAGTGAATCAAATAAACAATCAATGTTAACTGATGCTTCTTCAAGTCAACTATTGGATTCAACAGGTGATAATCAACCCTCCAATCTGGCTCAATTTATAACATCGATACGACCACCATCTCTTATTGGTACCTCGGTTGTTGGTCCTATCACAACCAGTGAATCTATTGGTAGCAGTAGCAGCGTTACTTCATTAACTGGTGTTGTTAGTAAAAATCTTACCATCAGTGGTAATAACAATACAACATTATCATCACCTTCTTCTAGTAATACCATTATCATAAATAGTAACAACAACAACAACAACAATAATAATAATAGTAACACTTTGGCCACGAGTGGTGGTGGTACAATTATTGTCAATAGTAATAATATTTTTACTTCTGTTGGTAACACTATTTCCAGTAATAATATTATCAATTGTAATACTGGCGGTGGTGAGAGTGTAATTAATGTAAGCCCTGCTTTTAAAAGGATTCCAAGTTCCAGTAATCGAAATTTAATTAAAAGGCAACCACAAGCAATTGCACCGGCACCACCAACCCCAACCCAAACAACTACAAATACCCTTCCAGCGTCTAGTATTATAACAAAGGTGATAATGACACCAACCGGACAGCAATTATTGATAACAAGTCCTGTTAAACAGGGAGGCGATCTTGTTAACTTAAAGTCTGTACCATTCTCAATACAACCCGCACCCAGTTCAACTAATGTTAACAAACCCGTTAACAAGCAACAAACCTCAACACCGACTTTCCTTGCAACAGGATCCGGCGGGCTAATTATGGTACCAGCCCAATTTGTTCAACAACAAACCTCTACCCCTGTTGTCGATCAACCTGTCTCTGGATCTGTTTTAACTCCTATCTCTACAAAAAGTAATCAAATTAAAGGAACTACCTCATTATCATTAACATCATCATCATCTAACACCAAACAAGTGACTTTGGCTGCAAGTAAACCAATAACCTCTACACCAACTAGAACCAATTTTGTTCCCATAGCTCCAAGTCCAATTTCGCATCAACAAGCAAGTGTCCTTTCTGCAAGTCAAATTTTGGCAGGTTTGAGTTCTGCAAAACCTGCTCAGAATGGGTAAGTTATCATGAAAAGAAGAAGAAGAAGAAAACAATTTTAAACGTTTTAAACAAGAATGAAAAAAGAGAAAATGATTCACTAAAAGAAACATCAAATTCTCAATAAACCATTTTACTCTCACTGACTAATCTCTTTTTCTCTTTTTGTTTTCTCTCCTTTCTCTCCGATAGCCCAAAGCTAGATAATGATCCAAATAGGCCTCGTAAACCCTGTAATTGTACAAAATCTCAGTGTCTGAAGCTCTACTGTGATTGCTTTGCCAATGGAGAATTTTGTAATAATTGTAATTGCATTAATTGTGCAAATAATCTAAAACACGAAGAAGAACGACAAAAAGCAATCAAACAGTGTCTTGAGAGGAATCCGCATGCTTTTCATCCTAAAATTGGTAAAGGTCGAGGTGACATTGCTGAACGAAGGCACACCAAAGGTTGTAATTGCCGTCGAAGTGGCTGTCTTAAAAACTATTGTGAATGTTACGAGGCTAAAATATTGTGCTCAGAACTTTGCAAATGTATCAGCTGTAAAAACTATGAAGACTCTTACGAGAGGAAAACTTTAATGCATCTTGCTGATGCTGCTGAAGTTAGAGCGGCTCAACAATCAGTGGCCAGTAAATCTCATCTATGTGGAAGTGATTTCCGTGCTAAGCTACCAGTTTTCATGGCAGATCGAGCTGAAAGGTACAACAATTAATCACCATTTAAAACCCTCTCTTTTTTCATTGGAAAATCTTTATTTTACTTTTTCTTCCAACTATCAAGTTTACTACTTTGGCAAGCTTATTTTAAGAATCTTTACTTTTTCTTAAACTTATCTTGATTATTACCATTGGCATTCATATGAAATGGCTTTTGAATGCCAAAGCTCATAGTGTCTATTTACTTGATAGTTTTAACATTTCCTCTCAAGTTTAATTTTATTCCAACTGATTGACAAGTTAATGCTCATAATTTTAAGGTCAAATTATCTAATTATTTGGGCCTCTTATTTTGTATGTTTACTTTATCCATCTCTATGATATTCAACTAATTGATTAGCTTTCCAATTCATTTGAATTATGTACACATTAACTTTTCTCCACCTACTTAATTGAAAAAGGGAAAAAGATACAATTGTTTATCATATTCTTATCAATCATTTGTTAGATAATTGTATATATATATATTTGTAGATTAATTGATTGTTATACTAATCATAATTTTTTTTCTCTTCTTTTTTTTTCCATAGGACACATTGCTCTTTCATTACTAATGACGTTATCGAAGCCACGAGTGAATGTCTATTGGCACAAGCCGATGCCGCTGAGAAGGAAGGATTAAGTCAAGATGAAGTAGAGAAACTGATTCTAGAAGAATTTGGAAGATGTCTCAGGCAAATCATAGAAAGTGCTAATAACTCTAAAACGTAAGTTGTTAGATTATTTTAATTTCGAGATGATTTTCTTTTTTTTTCTAATCATTAATCTTATTTTCTGTTTGTTTGTTTTTTCACAGAGCCAAAGCCAATCAATAATTTTTACCCAACCAAACTCTGGTGTGAATTTTAACAGCACAATGAAAATCAACTACAACAACAACAACAACAATTAACAAATAATTAACATGGTTATCTTCTGTAAATTGACTATATCTAAGCATCCATTGAAGGAAAAAAGAATTTGAAATAAGTCCAAGGCTTAAATTTTGTTTTGGGTGATACATTTGTATCCACCACAAACAACAATTAAGGAGGAAACAAGAGGATTTTTGCAGTTTCAAGCGTCAGTTTTGGAGTAAACGGAAGGTGGTGGGAAAGATTAATTTCTCATGGAGACGAGTAATCACTTAGATTTTTCTGAATTTCTGATTCCATGTTTTTCATGAGCAGACTTTTCTCTCTTTCTTTCTCTTTCTCTTTCTCTCTCTCTTTCAATTTGACATCAAGGAAAACAGAAACCAAAATGAGTCAGAAATAAACAAAAGAAGGAAAAAGACAAATTAATGTTTTCTTTTTTATAATTAACATGGATGTTAACTTAAATTCTTAAAAATAAGCTGATCTTTGTATAATCTTACTCACGCTTCTCTTGTATCATCCTCCCTCCCTCTCTCTCTCTCTCACTCCCATCAAAACCAAACCTTCACCCACCACCACCCACTCACTGAAATCAACAAACAATTATCACAGGTATGAAAATAGTTTATATTTATCTAAGTGACATCAACATAAACTGACAAAGCCAACAATTTAAACTCATAACAATAAGGGAAACTTAAAAAAATTAAATGATGCAGACAAACCAACAAATCGATAGGATTACAATTACAATCAAATCGAGAGAAAGAGGAAATTAGATAAACATAAACAATTAATTGCTTGTGATTAAATCTCTTATCCTTCCCAACCTCTAACACCACCTTCAAAGTATAAGGTGGCACAATTAATACCCACAAGCAACTTATATCTAATTAATTATAATTAATATCACCATTTATTATTATTATAAAAAAAAATATTGTCATCACTGATATAGCAAAAAAAAACAACAACAATCTATAAATTGTAATTACCAAGAGAGACAAAATCAACAGAAATGTAAAAAAATTGATATAACAAAATACGAGAAAATGAACCAGACAATTAGCTTAATTATAAATGATTAAGCGAAACCCAAACCAAATTAATTGTCCCCTAAAAGAACACAAATTATAATTAACTTGATTTCTTTTTTTTTATATTACAATATATTCATTTATAAATATTTAATTCGTGTCCCATCAGAAGTTAATTTCTTTCATTGGTTTTAATTGCTAACAATTAGTAAATTTTGCAACAATTTTTCTTTTTATTCTTTTTTTTTGATTAACTTTTTTTCTTTCCATTTTTTTCATTTAAATTGTACAATAAGGTTTATGAAAAGTAATTTAATATTAATGATTAAATTGTTTTCTCAATGTGTATATAATATATTGATTGTTGACATTAATTGTTGTTGTCAGTTTTGATTGCAATTTAAACATTGGAACATGTTTTTGTTGTTATTGATAAACTTTTGGACCCTCAATGTTGTTGGTAATTAAGTTTGTTGATTAACTTTGTTTTGGTCGATTTGGATTAATAATGTTTACATTAATGGTCAAGCTACAATTTAACTGATTGCGTGGATCAAATTAATTATCAAATTGATGTAATTTCTTTGTGAGTGTCTCTTTTTTAAACCATCATCAATGTGGACACGAAACAAAAGTCTTTAAATATTCAGCAAGTTACTGATTGTCCTCAAATCGTGTTAATTGTTGCTGTTGATTGTAATTAGTGTTAGCTTATTAAAAAAAAAGTCCAATGTTATCCTTTGTCTCTGCTGGTCATCCAATGGACAGAAGGTAAAAAATATAAGTAATATGTACATGATAAAGTATAAGATTGTGATTAGATTGTTTACTAAATTGTTAGTTAGTTAATTTGATTACGTTAATTTGTTTGCAGCTTTTCCTTTAGTCTCGTATCGTTTTTTTTTGTTTATAAAATATCAGCTTTTCCATAATGTAGTTAATCATAACCATTAATGACCGATTTTTATAAGACACAATTAACTTTGTGATGGATTCACTTTGTTTTGTTTTGTTCATGTTTAACTTTGATGATATAATGATGATGATCATGATGATGATACTTTGTTATGATGATCACAAGGGTGTTAATTAAAACAAAAAGTTGTCATTGTTTATTAAATGATGGATCAGCTGGAAGTTGAGCTTAATGATTTATGTTGATTGGTCTCGGCAAAAAGTCATCATTGAGATTTCATTTCATATTCATTGGGAGGGTTAATTCAATTGCTGCAGATGATAATTGTGATGATGATTAGGCTTCTCAATGGTAATACATTGAAGGTGATTTAATATATAAATGGTGTTGTTAATGATGAGAAAACGTGATGATCCGATTTAGTCTTTTAATTGGTCCGGTGTCAAGATGATAGAAATGTAACAATTACTTTTTTGTTTTGTCCAGTGTTCGATTGATTGTTGATTGTTAATTGTATTTCGTTTTCTTTCCGTTGGTCGATTAATGTAAATGTGGAAAAAGAAATGAGGTAAAAATGGTTCTTCTTTTTCTTGCTTCTAAAAGAATATTTGTTTTGCGATCTGAGGATTTTGTTCAACTGGACAATAAGGACATTTAACTTTAGTACTTCCATTGGACATTTTGGTGAGAGCATCTCGAGAGATAACATGACCACAATCTAATCTCATGGGTGGATTAACATCGGAAGCTTGTTGACGTAAAATTGGACATGCAAAAATTGAATGAAATTGAAACTTTTTATCCAAATCAATGACTATTGGTAGTTCATCTTTAGCTGTCCAAACACTGGCCACTCGTCGTTGACTCATCATTTGTCGGATATTAAGTAAAGCAGGAAAGGCCACTGTACCCGCTTCAAAGGCGATGTTAAGTGGACTATCGACACTCATACCCATAAGGCAGCAAGAATCTCTAATGAAAACATCACAAATCTCACTCCAATTAAGAATATCCAACAAGTAGGCATAAGGTGAATTTTCTAGACCCGTTTTAAGATACAATAGGCTTCCCATGAGAGCTTGAATCTCTTTAGCGTGTCGATCGACCAGTGGTTGTAATTTGGTTCGAGCAAAGGCAATTAGTTCAGATTGTTTTTCAACTCCTTTACAAAGATATTCGATAAACTGTAAACGGTGAAGTTTAAATTCAAGGGATGAATTTTGTTGGATCAATTTTTCCCGATTAATTTCAACCCAATCAAGAGCTGGTTTGAGGTCACGTTTACGTAATGAGATTAGAATTTGATTTAACTCGGTAAAAGGTTTCTTTTCCTCTTCAAGCATTTCTAAACCTGCATCGGTAACCAAGGAATCGACAATATCCAACATTCCTTTACGCATAAAATGTTCAATGATAACTCGATTAAGAATAGTTTTCGATTCATCATCAGACCAGAGAAGTCGATTCTCCATTGCTCCATAATCAGAGTTAAAATTTTTATCGATTGCTTTTCCAACACGAGAAACTGTACTATGGAAATCACGATGTTCTTTAGCCAATTGTGAGGATACATCTTGAACCTTTTTGATGACATGATTTAACATACTGAAAGAGTTTGTGGTTGGCAGTACATCATTTGGAGCTGAAGCAAATCAGGATAAGAAAAGAGAAAAGATTAAACGAAAAAAGAGATCAAAGTTAATCCAATGAACCAGAAAAGGTGAAAAAAATACAAGATCAACACAATGATAGAAATTCTCCAAAAAAAAGAGAGAGATGAAGGTCAATCAACTTGGAGAATATCAAACAATAGAATAGATGATAAAACAAAGAAGAAGAAGATAAAAAAAATTAACAAGAGAGAAAAAGGGAATAATTGTAACAATATGTCATCTTTCAAGATGGAAGACCATTGAAAGAGAATATAAAATGAGAAAAGCTAAATAGACACAAAGGAGAAGTAAACAGAATAAGCGAGAAAATGGAGTAATCAAGTTAAGAGAGAAAAAAATTACAAGTTAATTACCATTAGATTGTGAAAGATCAAATTGTAATGTTTCAATTTCTGAGATGAGGTCAGTTAAACAGCTATCACAATGTTCCAATAGACTTGAGAATTTACTTATAACCTTATCCGTGTCTTTTTCAACATTTAAAATTGAATTCATGGCCGTTGAAATGGAAAGAGAATAAAGTAATCAAATCAATTGTAATTAATGAATTAATTTTAATTAGAAAAGGAGAAAATGAAAACAAGGAAAGTGAACCAGAAAAAGTGAATATAAAATAATCACAAAGGCAAAATTGTGTTGATGTTGATGAAAAGGTTGCAACAAACAGAAGATATTAAATTGATGATGATGGTGAGACTTGAGGATAATTGAAGATAATTGAGTGAGTATAAAAGGAGATTAGAGAGAGAAACAGATTAAATTAAAATGAGCAACAAGATAATCTCAAAATGGATCCGAAAGGATTTAAAGTCTTCCAACTTCTTTCTTCTTCTTTCACAACAAAAACAAAGAATAAAATTTTTTTTTCTTTTCTTGTTTTGATTGGTTTTCTTTTGGAAGATCAACTAGCGCAGAATTTGAACATTTGTGATTCTTTTTTTTTCTATTTTTTTTCTTCTAAATTTGGTTAATTAATTTGGTGATTAGTTGATTCGATTTTTGGTTTTCTTCTTCTTCTTCTTCTTCTTCTTCTTCTTCTTCTTCTTTCTATTGGTGATTGTTTCTTTTTTTTTGTTTTCTATTGTTTCGATTTTCGGAATTTAGGTCATTGGTTTGTTGTGTTTTTCCGCTGATGCGATTTAATTGTTGTTGTTGTTGATTGTGTTTGTTGGAAATATTATTAATAGTTGTAGAAAATTTTTATTCCAATCATGAATAATAATTAATACCATAAGTAAGAAAATTAATTATTTTAGAAAAGGAATTGATAAATTGTTTACCTTTATAGTTTTATACCTGATGAAAGAAAATTAATTTAATTAGTAATCAACAGATGAGAAAAAGTTACCTTGAGGAAATTTAAAAATTTTCTTTACCTTCAATTGTTAAGAGTTAGTTTAAATTTTAGATAATAATCACGATGTAACAATTGAATTTAAGAAAATAATTAAATCCTAAAAATTATCTTCTTAACATCTTAACCAAGTGATAAATAGAAATTAAAAATTGACATTGAACAAAATCACAAATAATTGTAATAATGATACGATACAGAATATTAGATTTAACTTGATTTCTAATATATTTTTTTATATTTCTTTTCATGATCTAAAAAGCTTAGTTCATGGATCCTAATTACCTGGATGATTAATTAATCATTTGTTTCGTGTTAACAGAGATTTGAGATTCGAACAAAAAAAACATTATAGAAATCAAGTGGAATCTAATTTTCTATACTGTTTACATTGGAGTAGAAAATTGTTTGGATAATATAATTTTGACAAGGAGTAATCAACAATATAAATTGCTTGAGAGATTAATGATTATTGTCTTCAGTGAGGTGGTTTTCTTATTAAATGGTTAAACAGAGATTTGGGTAAATCAATGTAGGAAAAGCAGTATAATTAAGATCACATTAACACTTTGATAGAAAAATATAATCAATCAGGTTTCCAATGGATAATTTGAAGAGGAACCTTAATTTTTTTGGTAAAGATGATTAATATTTCTTGGATTTTCCTGGTTTACCTGATCCAGTGTCTTTCTTGTTAATCTTGATATATTCTGGCATATCAGGTGATGGAATAGCAGTTGTTGTGGTCTCTGTATCATTTGGTGGATTGATACGTAACTAGATTAAAGGAGAAAAAGAAATAATAAAAAGATAATGAGATTTTTTTTATTAACTTTTCTCAATTATAGCGTAGGCTGAAAATCAAATTGAGACCATAACTGATCATCGGTATAAAAAGTGATCTTGATCTAGTTATTGTTACCTTGAAATCAGTTGATTCATAAGTAACTAATATAAAATTAGATGAGAATAAAGTTTTATTAATGATAAACTTACCAAAATTCTTTGTTTTTCAGCACAAGCATATTCAGTCTCATCGATATCATTGTAACAGTCAGACTTTGAATTCTTAGGTATACCTTTACCTTCAAATTCACACAATTTGTCTAATGAACGGGACTTGACAATCATTTTATTAACATCAGTTGGTTTTTCTTGTGGACAATAGAAAACCTTTGGTGTTTTAATATCAAAAACGATACTTTTCCTCATCATATCACCTTGGACCAAACCAATGGTTAAAAACAGTAAAACCAATTTCATATCTAAACAAGAGAAAACAAAAAAACGAAATAAAAAAGGATGAATACAAAGTAAATCTAAACATATCACAATTAACCATTAAAAAAGGGTTAGGTCACTTGTCAAGAATATACAGAAATAAGATTGAAAGAGAAATTCAACAGAAAATTAAAAATTTTCTTTTCAATCAATGGACAAGACGAACACACACACACACACAAAAACTAAACAAAAAGAACTAAAAATGCAGAGATTAAAACAGAGAACAAAAAATTGAAGCGAATTTCATCCAAAGAAAAACTAACCATAAAATCAACTTCAGATGAAGAGAACACAAGAGAAAAAAATTTCTTCTAATCTTAAATTGTTCAGGCCTAACTAAAATTTCCAAGAACAAGAAAGAAAAGGAAAACCAGGAAAAAGTAATAAAAAGGACAAATTGTAATCAAAAACTTACCCATTTTCTTCTAATCACAATGTAATCCAATATAACAAATGGACTCGAATTTAAACCAAATACAATGAAACAAAATTAACAGGACAATTAAGAAAAATCAAATGAAAAAAAGAGTAACAATCATATGCCAACTTGTCATTTACCAGATAAGGTAAAAGTCATTGAACAAAAAGAAGACAAAAAAAAGCGGAATGAAGGTTACAACATCTTAGAACAGGTTTTTATAAGAACTTCGGGAAGCGAATTTCATTTTATTCTAAAAACTTCTCTTTCTTTTTCTCTTACTTTTTATTCTTTTCAATAAGGTAACCCCATCTGTCGGTCCAATTAGAAACTAATTTCAGTTCTATTGTTGAAAGAAAAGAATTTTTTCTATATCAACGGTCCCTCTTATCTCTTCGTTGTCATGGTAACGTTAATGTTACGTAGAGAAAACGAAATGTTTACAATATTCTCATCATTCTAATTGCATCTAATTTTAATTCTCTTTTTCTTTTTCTCATCCCTTTTAAGTGTTATTATCATTATTTTAGATTTTCTTTTATTTTAAACAAATATCTTAATCTTAATAGTGTTGAGCTTTGTTGTTTTGAGTGGAAATTTGTTGTTATAATGTCCACGAATAAACATGAAATCTCCATGTCACCTGCTCGACGTTTCTGGAATGCAGAAACAAATCGTGACTCATTGTACCATATCTACTTAAAGAAGATCACCTATTCGTCTAATAATGATTTAAATGATAGTGATAGTTTACAATGGGAAACTCGTCGGATACGTTTATTAAAAGCAGCAACAATTGAACATATAATGGAATATATTTTATTATTAACTCCACACCAAAGGGAATTAAATGTCTCATCATCATCATCATCATCTTCTTCTTCATCACCATCAAATCATCATCATTGTAATACCACATCAATGGAGGAAGGTCGAAATGATGTAACCCATATAATGCATGTTATTTTTTGTACTTATCGTAAATACTGTTCACCTCAAGAGCTTTTCACCATTTTGGTTAAACATTCAAGAAAAGCATCACCCCACCAGTTAAGATTTGTCCTTCATTATTGGTTAAGATATTATCCGGAAGATTTTCTCACTCCATTGCAATTAGAATCAACTGATGTAACTACAACAATACCAACAACAAATACTACAACTACTATTTCAACAACATCAGTATCTACAACAACATCTACAACCTCAACTACAAGTACCGATGATGAGAGTATAATTAATGATAGTCTACCAATTGATGATAATTGTACATCATCTCCTTCCGTAAATACTAAAAGCAAAACCACCAGTAATCGAAAGTCTTCCTCTTATCTTCCTCGTATTTTAACTGCAATTAAAAGTAAAAATATAAACAATGAAAATGGTAAAAAAGGTAATGATGAGACTACGAAAATTGACTCATCTCTATTAACAGCTAATAACCAAAGTAAATCACCAAGAAGTTCATCTCAATCAAAATCAACCCCATCAACACCAACACCAATACTTAATTCACCGGAAACTCAATTGTCAAACCAAAAAACTTTATTTGATCTTTTATTACTTCTTCCTTGTATTGATGATACTCTTTACCGAAAGGCTCATTTATTTGTTGAACAAAGTAAATTTGATCAGACTGATCAAACTTCAAATTCTCGTCATAATGTAAGTTTACTTTACCTTTACAAATTTATACACAATTTCACAATTAACTAATTGTTGTTTATTATTCTTTTATTTTTATTTCCATTTCTATTATAGTCTATCAACAAATCTCCTGCTTATTGCATCATTGATTTGGACACTAAATTTGTCGCTCAACAATTGACCGCTATTGATCTGGTAAATTTAATCAGCCACTTGATGATATGATGATTAACAAAATTAGAGATGATAATTAATCATTGTTATTATTATTATTATTATTATTATTTCTTTTAGGAAAACTTTTTATCTTTAAAACCTTACACTCTATTGAATGGCCATCGACAAAATCCTCGAGTTCAAAATATGATTAAAAATTTCAATCTATTATCTAAACATGTTGTTATTACAATTCTAAAAGCACATTCGTAAGTATAATAATAATTATTATTAGTAATTAGTAATAATTAATAGTTGATATTAATTTTCTTGTTTTAATTGTTAATTGTTAATTGTTTGATATTTGTTTGTCTTTTTTGTTAGTCCTGATCTAGTCACAACTCATTGGATTAACATTGCCCAACAATTGAGGAAAATGAAAAATTTTAATTCACTTAAAGCCGTAATTGCTGGATTAAGTAATGAATCAATATTCCGTTTAAAACAAACAGTTTGGTCTAAAATTAATAAAACAATTGAATCAACATTTAAACAATTATCAACAATTGTTGATGATGTTGACAATCAAACTTTATTGAGACAAACACAACTGGAAATTGAAGGAACTGCTAAAGTTAGGTAATTAATCAGTAATTAATTTTTCCAATGATTACAAAACTTTTCTAGTTTTTACACAATCTAATTTTGTTTTCTTCTATTTTTAATCATCTCAATGGTTATGTGACTGATCAACATGGTCGACAATTAATTGTTACACCATCAACAGTATCGAGGAAGAGTCTTTTGGTACAATACCTTACCTTGGTATATTTTTAACTGATTTAACTTTCATCGATACTAAGTCAAGTAATTACATTGAAGTAAGTAAAAGAAAAATTGTATAACAATTAATTGAATTGATAATTGATCTAAATTAATAATGATAATCAATTTCTCCTTTTGCTTTTTCTCTTAGAATCCAAAAGCTGCAGGGAAAAAATTAATCAATTTGGAAAAATGTTGCAAACAATTTGAGATAATTACTCAGATTCATTTACTTCAACAAAACATAAATGCTGCACTAACTGCTTACCATCAATCGCAACAATTAACTGGACTCTCACAATTACCAAACTATAATAGTACACCAACTGTCCCTCGAATTGTTGTCGCTCGATTGTTCAGAGCTTGGTTTCAAGATTCAATTATCGCTGACATGACAGATAATGATTGGTAAATATAATCGATAATTAACATTCTCATTCCAATTAGATTAATAATCAAAATTTTTCTTTTATTTCTCAAACAGTTATAAGTTATCACTCGCCTTGGAAACATCTCAAAGTCAAAAGAAATGATCAATCTCCATCATCAACAATTTACCTTCTTAATTATTTACACACCAAAAGCAAAAAAATATTATTTTTCTATACAACTAATTAATCACTGGACATCATTTGTTTTTTTTTCTTGCATTCTAATTGCAATTATACTTGACCAAAAGAATCTCCATCACCTCTCTCTCTCTCTCTCTCTCTCTCTCTCTCTCTCTTCTCTGTCTTTCCGCACTTTGTTTTTAAATTGCTTATTATTTCGTGCATTTTTATTGCAACAATTTAATCAATTGTGTCAATTACCATTCAATTTAGATGTGTAATTATCACATTGATAGTTTTTTTTACAGTTTTCTTACTCACTTTTACTTTTACTCTCTCTGTTTACTATTTGTTAAAACACCAAAAATGCTTAACCAAAAAAAAGAAATTGTTTTCTAAATCATCTCTTTTTTGATTCTTTTATACAATCATAGGCACACACACACAATTAAATTGTTTATACTCAATCAATTGTTTCCATATAACTCAATGTATCCTTTTTGGGTTAAGAATTTGATCCATTTCTAATTGTTATTCAATTTTAGCTGTTCAATTGATTGTCCTTGAAAATCAGTTGTTCAGTTGATTATCAGAAACACAGGAATATGATTAACAATCTGGTTAAAACTTCAAGGACTCAATTTACTCTTCCAGTGGTTAGTCAACTTGATTTAATGAGAATTTTAATCTCACTCATTTTGACTTTTTCCTCTCTCTCTCTCTCAGTTGTTATTTAATTGTCACACCAATTTGTTCAACCTCACACCGAGAAAATGATCACAATAATCAGCTGATTGTTTGGAGTGTAATTGTTTGTAAATCACACGCCTGTCCATTGTTTTGATTTGATTTAAACGCCTCTCATTGGGTAGAAGTAAAAAAAAATTAAACCTCCAGGTAAATGATGATCACTTGATTAGTACAAATTGAAAAAAATTAATCATCATATCCTTGTGATTAAACAGAATCAGTTCAAATTGTAATTGATTAAAAAATTCAATTCTTTCATGAGTGTGTAGCAAAAACAGAAAACTATTGATTGTAATCAATCAATATACAGAATTTGTTTTCTCATCTAATCACCAACTCAGCTTACAATTAAAAAGATAATCAGATCAGATGAACCTAAAGACTATCAGTTTTTCATGTAAACATAAATTCATTGATTATTATTAACCAAAACAAAAAATCAACTGGAAAGATTATCAATTAAGATAATCAGTTAATCCATGAGACGATATTAACTCAATTTCAATGTTCCTTTGGCATGAAAGTTAATCCAGTCAATCCCACGTAAAGAAAAGGCAAACCTTTAAAATGAAACAAAGAATAAGAATAAAATTAAAAATTAGAATTTCAAATCTGATGAACAATTAAAAAATAGAATTAAAAGAAACTTAATCACAAACGACAATCAAAATATTCCATAAGTTTAAGATGTTCCCTCTCTTTCTAGGAGGCAATACACTTACAGATAATTACCTTGAAAAAAATGATTAATTGTCAACTAAGATGGTTAATTAAGTTACACTAATTAAAGATACAAATGTAAATTAGTAAAAGATAAACAATTAAAATCGTCACTTGATAAAAAGGTTAACATGTGATTGTGAACAAAAACGAAGAGGGAAAAGATAAAGTGATTAACATTTTCGTGATGAAAGTTAATTAGAATGTTTTTAATTTCTCTCTTAATTGTTTCCATTATGATCTTCATGAAATCATCAACTTCCATGTAAATATCTATTTTAGCGGAGATTTTTATGGAATTTTTCGTTTTGGCCTCCTAATGTGAAGAAAATCAATCAATATAATCACTCCGATACTAATTTCTTGTGAACAATCAAAAAGACTTCAAGAACTTCAGTTTTGATAACATCGAACGGAATTAACTCTGAGTACCAGGCCAAAACCCGTCATTGTCCTGTCGTGTAAAGGCCCAATGTCCAATTCAATCCTCCGAAACTTTTTCATCATTTGTCCGATTTGAGCAACTGACTGAATGGTCGTAATGAAACAAACAATCAAATCATCACATCGTTTCAATTTTGATCTGGTTCATATAAGCAAAATAATTCGTTCCCGAAAATTTCAACAATTAACCAATTAACCAATTAACTAATACAATCAACATTTTCTCAATTTTTCAGTCATGATTAGAATAGTTGAGTTACAGATGATCGTTGATTCTCAAAGAAAATTGATCAGCAATTTGTCCTCCGTTTGTATCTCGAGACCGACGACCTTTGGATTCTCAATATTTTGATTCCTTTTTTGGATCCAACAATTTGCTAATCAACGAGTTCTCTATTTCCTAATTGTTGAGAATATGCCAGTGATTAACATAATCTTCTCATTCATTGGATTTCCAACAATTTACACCCTGTAAGTGAAAATGATTAGTGTTTATTAACAAGGTTACAAAATGATGATATTCATTGTTTATGTGTGGAGACAGTTAATTAATTACAATCAATGAGATTCCTACATCTTTTTCAAGATGATGAAAGTGATTAATTAAAAAGTTAATGTGTTAATGGCCTTCCAATGGTTAGTTTTTGTCTTTCAATAAAAAAAAAGGATAACATGTTAATCAATTTATTACCACAATAAATTGATTGTTTTCCTTTTTTTAATCAACATCTCATAATTACTTTGATTGTTGTTGTAAAACAAAACATAATCATTATCATGTTTCAGATTTTTTTGTTATGTTTCCATCAGATTGACGTTAATCAGTCAACCGACCTTTTAAACAATTGAACAATTAACTGATTAACGTTACTTTTACCTTTTTATTTGCAGATAATGGATTTAATATTTTCTCATGCCAACAATTAACTGATTAACCAGATAAATCGACACACATTTGGGATCCATAGCTTCATCTTTACAGATTATTTGATTCTTGGTTAATCAAACTGATGAGTTTTTCCACTAAATCAACAATTTAAGTTGATTGTAAATCTTTTTTTTTTCTCAGCCATCAGGGTTTTCCATGTAATCAGAATCTTTGGAATAAACTTTTTCTCTGCTTAATTTTTGCTTCCATTTCCAAAGGAATTTTGTTATGATTATCCTGATGCAGATTCTACTTTGGATTATGAGGATGATGATTAAGATTAAAATAGATTTGAACTTGAAATCCATCCATTTACAAGGTTAACGTTCAATTCTGATTCTTCATCTCTCTTTTTTTCCCAAGCATCTCATGCTTAATTTTTAATCTACATTCACCATTTTGATGGTTAATCAATTTCTCAATCTTTTTTTACTCTTCACAATCGTAGCAAAAAAAAATCTAAATTCAATTGTTGTTTATATAATGTTAACAAATATCATATATGGGGTTACTTAATTTGACAGTTTCCACGTCAATCATCATTTAATTGAGTTAACAACAAATGCTGTAATCCCACACTCCCACGTGAGAGAATCAATTGAATTCCAATCAATCCGTTTAATCATCTTCATGGTAAACAATCAATAATAAATCAACAATTGATTTTAGAAATCACAAATTCAGATGAAGATTGAGATTGAGATTAATCATCAATAACATATACCAACAGCCAACACAACCACTGAAAAACCAACGATAACCAATTTGTTGACAATTGTTAATCATTCCAACAATCACTTGAAGATAATGTTACAATTTAACTGATCACAAAAGACAAACAAACAAGAATTTGATTAAAATAGATTCCCAATCAAATCAATAAAAATCCAAGAAATCAAATGAAAATAAACCAAGGAAAATCTTCAAATCTTCTAATGTCACATGAAAGAAAATGAATGTCTCTTTTTTTTCATGAAATTCTCACGCAAATAATCAGAATCAAATTGTTAATCAGTAATATCCTCTTTTCATCATGAACCATAAATACCAAAGGGAAGAGCCATCATATCAATAATATTGAACAAAGAAGAAAACAATTACAATTATGATTTATGGAAAATGAAACAAGATGAAAACAATTGATCACGAAAATCACAAATCACATTAATCACTTTGAATCTCGATTGATTAGGGGGAACATATTGTTACAAACACCGAATGAAAATATAATCCTCATTTAGAGCGATTAAATTATCCCAATTTCTATTGCAATTAAAGAAAGAAAGAAAATTATGATTGATCAAAATTAGAGAAGAAAAAAAAAGTCAAAGAGAACATTTTTTGTTCTCTTTTGTGTTAACCAATGGGAGAGATTCGGAGGCATCGACACCATTTTGGTTTCTCTTTTCCCTCCAATTGTTTCAACTCAAAGACTAAATTGTTTACCCTCTTGATCATCACGAGTAATTAATTGATTTGGTTTCTAATTTCACTTTAATAATTAGTTTGTAACAATTTATTTCGTCAGATTGTCAACCGATTTCTCGTCACTTGATCAATTTATTGGAATTTTCTGTGTACCTGGATCGATGTAAACAAATGAACAATAATTTTGATTTTCTCTTTTTTTCTTCTCTGTGAGATTTGATAACCTTGATTATGATTTTCTATTCTCTTGATCATGATTAAGAGTATTTGAAGAAACCCTGTGAGTGTTGATTCTTTTTCCCTGTGTTATATTTGATTGTGTGTCTCATCATCATTTTCTTCATCTTCTGTTTCTTTTTCTTCTTCTCTTTTCATCATCATCATCATCATCTCTCTCTCTCTCTCTCTTGTGTGTGTGCGTGAAAGTTAATGAGTATTTATACATTATGATGGTTAACATTAACTCACTTTAATCACTCGACTCACTCAATTTATCTTCATGTTCTCTTCCTCACTTCTCTCTCTCTCTCTCTCACTGTGTTTCTCTATCTTCCAGTGTCTAGTTTCATCTGTATCATTATAATCATCCAACTTTAAATGTAATCGTCATAATCATAATATGATGTTGACGTTCTGTTCCAAGTAGGCGACATCTCAACATTTTGCTCTCTCTCTCTCTTTTTTTCTCTCTCTTCTCTCTCATTCTTTTCTATTATCATCATTTATTAACACCATCATCTACAGTGAACATCAAATATTACATCTTCCACTTTAATCCTCATACACCAGCGACAACAAAATCAATTCATCCTTGGCATAATCTCAATCTTCATCATCATAATCAATTTTTTGTTCTCTCTTTCCCTCTCACAAATTCTTATAATTGTTTTCATTTTCTTCTTCTTTTCTTTTTCTGACATTTGTGACACTTTTTTGTTTCTCTTTTTTGTTTTTTTTTCTGCTTGGAGAGCAAAAATTTTACTTTTCAACCTTAAATTGAGCCTGAATTTAATCATGATCAGCTCACGTTAAATTCAACAACAAAAAGAATTTAAAAAAAGACCAACTGATAATCTACCTAAGCTTTTACCTTCAATTGACTCATTCTCAATACCTTTTGTGATCAAATTAATTGTTTTTGGATTTTTACCTAATACAAATTGAGTCTAAATCCAATTTAGTGAATATCAATTCAATCACAATTGTGCCTTTTCTCATCTCAAATTATCTCAAATCTTTTGTGATCTATTTTATGCTTACCTTTGCATGAAATTAAGTTCAATTGTAACTACTGTTGATTGTCCTTTAGTTTTCTCCACAATTAACTACAACAGTTTAAACGTTCAGTATTTTGATACTTAAATTGTGCTAAATTACAAGGTAATTATTGGTCATAAATGAACGTGTTAATTTGACAAATTTATTGGTTTACTTTCACATCTAATTTGTTTCCTTTATTAATCATACTGATTATCTACTACAATATACTAATTGTGTCGACTTTTTTTATCTTCCTTTTATTATCTATCTTCATAAACTGTGCTTCTGTTAACTCTTATTCCAACAATTAAGCTGATTTAATTGTAACCTGATTGATTATGGTGATGAAAATGAAAACAAACCTTATCGATTCACAATTAATAAATCACTTGGCCTCGTGTTAAATTACATCTAATAGGATTGATCCAATTCATTGACATCATTTATCCAATCAAATTGTAAACAAATCATTATTCAGGAACCAGTGATTAATAAGCAAATCAATTATTATAAATATTAATCATCATAATCATTCAACAATTAACATAACATCAACAACAACAACAACAACCTTTAAATGAAATACATTGGAATCAAATTCTGGTTTGTTGATTCTTTTAATTCATAATTTACCTTGATTAACATCATCACCATCGTCATCATAATCGTCATCAACCCTGATTATTATTTATTATCATGATATGATCAAACAATTAACATCACCTTTTCTCCCATTTCCACATAACTTAATTATTTTACAATAATTAAGGATTTTCTATGTACGTGTAATTGTTTTAATTTTGTTTACTGAAAAAGCCACTCTGATTAAGTGACTCAGTAAATGATAATTTATCCCAATTCTAAATTACCCTTATAAACAATTTTAATTAATTTGTTACACTGATTATGTTAATTGTTGATAAATATCATAATCATTTAAGTGTTAGACCAAAAAGAAACCCAGCAACAGTTAACAACGATTATGATTACCAATGATGATAGATTTTAATTAAACAATAATGACATTGACAATGATTTTCTCAGCTTGGTAACGATAAACATCATGATTTTTATCACTAATTATTTCCTACTTTTTTACTTCTTCCTTTTCTTAATTAACTTCTTCCTCGCAATTTAGGCGATCTGATCGCAAATTGAAAAAAGATGAGGCTCTCAACGTTAAAAGGATGCCCCGTGTTGATCTGCAACCAGAGGACCGACGACGTCGATCAAAATCAGTTGATAAGGATGACAACATGAAGGTAAGTAAATACTCATCTCTATCATTTAATAATCGATTATCAATCATTCAATCAATTGTTAATGAAACTTATCTGTGAGTTGTAACAATTAAACTTTTCCTTACAATGTAAACAAATGAAAAAAAAATATACATTAACCATAATTACATGTATTGATTAATCTTTGCTGAGAGGTTGATTATTTACCCTTTTCTGTTATAATGTTAAACATGATTTAATGAGAAAACAATATTACCTAGAATTGAAATGATTATAATGAGATTGAATTTCGAAACTGAATTAACCATTTTTTTTTATTGTTTGTTTGTTAGGTAATTTGATTGTAATTCTTACTGATTGTTCTCATTTTATTTTTCCACAGACTCATCAACGTGAAAAACGCAAAGTTCGTATATTAAAGGCAGCAACCATGGATCATATAATTGAATATATTTTACTATTAACTCCACACCAACGGGAATTAAATTTATCATCAACAATTCATCAATGTACTTCCTTAATGGAAGAAGGTCGAAGCGATGTAACCCATATAATGCATGTTATTTTTTGTACTTATCGTAAATACTGTTCACCCCAAGAAGTTTTTACAATTCTGGTAAAACATTCACGAAAAGCATCACCTCAACAATTACGATTCGTACTTCATTATTGGTTAAGATATTATCCGGAAGATTTTCTTTCTCCATTGGAAATGGATTCACCTGATATAATAACAGAAGCAAATGATAATATTGATTTAATTACTGTTAGTTTGCCCATTGATGATTCTTTATCATCTCCTTCCGCAAATTCTACAATTAATGGAAATACTTCCTCCTTAGAAGGTAATTGTATTTTAACAGCAATTAACAACAAAAACAATTACAACAGCAAAAACATTAACAATGAAATTGATGGTAAAGTCAACGATGAAATAACGAAACATGAAACATGCCCATCAACTAATAACCAAAGTAAATCCCCGAGAAGTTCATCAATCTCTCAATTAAAACCAACGCCAGTATTTAACTCAACAACATCATCAACAACTCAATTGTCAAACCAAAAAACTTTATTTGATCTTTTATTACTTCTTCCTTGTATTGATGATACTCTTTACCGAAAGGCTCATTTATTTGTTGAACAAAGTAAATTTGATCAGACTGATCAAACTTCAAATTCTCGTCATAATGTAAGTTTACTTTTACCTTTCAAATTTATACACAATTTCACAATTAACTAATTGTTGTTTATTATTCTTTCATTTTTATTTCCATTTCTATTATAGTCTATCAACAAATCTCCTGCTTATTGCATCATTGATTTGGACACTAAATTTGTCGCTCAACAATTGACCGCTATTGATCTGGTAAATTTAATCAGCCACTTGATGATTATGATGATTAACAAAATTAGAGATGATAATTAATCATTATTATTATTATTATTATTATTATTATTTCTTTTAGGAAAACTTTTTATCTTTAAAACCTTACACTCTATTGAATGGCCATCGACAAAATCCTCGAGTTCAAAATATGATTAAAAATTTCAATCTATTATCTAAACATGTTGTTATTACAATTCTAAAAGCACATTCGTAAGTATAATATTATTATTATTATTAGTAATTAGTAATAATTAATAGTTGATATTAATTTTCTTGTTTTAATTGTTAATTGTTAATTGTTTGATATTTGTTTGTCTTTTTTATTAGTCCTGATCTAGTCACAACTCATTGGATTAACATTGCCCAACAATTGAGGAAAATGAAAAATTTTAATTCACTTAAAGCCGTAATTGCTGGATTAAGTAATGAATCAATATTCCGTTTAAAACAAACAGTTTGGTCTAAAATTAATAAAACAATTGAATCAACATTTAAACAATTATCAACAATTGTTGATGATGTTGACAATCAAACTTTATTGAGACAAACACAACTGGAAATTGAAGGAACTGCTAAAGTTAGGTAATTAATCAGTAATTAATTATTCATTCATCGCCCATATCAACAATCACGAATCATATCTTAATTTAATTCATTTCACCAATTTGTTTTAATAGCTTCGAGGAAGAGTCATTTGGTACAATACCTTATCTGGGAACTTTCCTCACTGATTTAACCTTCATCGACACAAAATTAACTAATTACATCGAGGTATTCCATCTTTACCATATGATTGCTTAAACTCATCTGATTACCATTTCATTTTACTAATTTGATTAACTTTTGCATTTATCCTTATTAGAATCCCAAAGAAGGAGGCAAAAGACTAATTAATCTGGAAAAATGTTGCAAACAATTTGAAATACTTACCCAAATCCGATTACTCCAGCAAAACATCAAGGCCTCATTATTTGCTCTCTATCAATCTCAACAATTAAGTGGCTTCACTGAATTACCTCCTTTCTACAGTAATACTAATGTACCTCGAATTGTTGTTGCTCGATTATTTCGATCATGGTTCAATGACTCATTAATTTCAAGTATGTCAGATAACGATTGGTGAGTATAATTAACTTTCATTCATAACTAACTCAATTCTAATTGGAACAAAACTCTGATTTCTTTCAATCTAAACTTTTTTCCTTCTTCATCTTTTCTAGTTACAAATTATCTTTGGCCATAGAAGCTCCAATAAATCAACGAAAGTGAATCAACTAATTTTTCCTTCGAATCAACTCAATCTAAATTCGAAATTGAATCTTCTCAAAGTATCTAAATTAACCAAAAACCATCAATTCTTTCCGTCTCCATCATCAACCACCTTCATCTTATCAATCATCACAATTAACTCGAAAAATTATCCAACAAAATCAATCATAACTCATCATTTTCATCTGTATCATAATTTATATCAAGACAATTTCAATTGTTGGTTGAAAAATCGTATCATCTATTTTGAATCAATGAAACTTGATAATAGTTTCCGAGAGTCTTTCAAATTATATAATTTATTTATTTAGTTAATCAATTAATCAGTGAACAAAAAGATACACACCTTAACAATTAATCCAACAAACTTTTGATGGATATAAACTGTTATTTTTTTTTTGCTTCAGAAAGAAAAATCAATAACAATGATAATTAAAAAGTGATTTAATTTTTAATCACCAATGATTTAAATTACAATATGATATTCTAATTGTCATATTTATCAAAGGAATCACCATATGAGAAGACTAATTAACAATATGTAAATTGCTTAATCATCATCATCGTCACCAATCTTGATATCACGAGAAAAACACTGTTAATCAGTTAAACAGTAGGAAAACCTTGAACAATTAATTAATCATACATTGAACAGACTAATTTACTTGATTACATACAATTAAAAGAGAAAGTAATAGGAATGGAAATCAAACATTATCAATAAATTAATTTGTAACAATTTAATCAACAGTCAAAAAGGGAGAAACCATTGGAAATTAATTATCTCCATTAACATAAATTGACGTAATAATTATCATTGACCTCGTGGCTGAATTAATTGTCGTCAAACGAAAGTAACAATTGTTACAATTATTCATCTATTTTTTGAATTTTTCTTTGAATTTTGTTAACTTATTTTTCATAAGATGTTTTTGGATCAAACCTCGAACGGTCATGAATGGAACACCGAAACCCGTCGATTCAAGATTCCGCTTCTCCTCATGCGATAAAAGTACAAATCTCCACACGGAAAATGTAACAAAAAGGATAAAACCACAGATGAAAACGAACAGAATTTCGAGTAAATATTTAGAGATCGAAAATGGTAAACCAGTGTTCGCTTTACCCGTTCCAAGAGGGAACTCATGCCGATCCATTACAATTGAACAGTTCAAAGTTTTCTTATATATTTGATTAAGATCAAATTGGAATGTTAAATGGTCGAGCAAACGATTTACATTTGAAACCATTCTTTCCCCACTTTCATCACTCAAATCGACACAAAATACTTTTGGCCTTAGATAAAAATCTCCGTTCGATTGGATGAAAAACTTATTATACTCTGAATTCCAAGTGAATCCATTGAATGTTGGAACTTGATAAACTAACAATCGCTTATTGATAATTGATTGTGGTAAATTGTGAGAATACAAAGTGAAATCAGCAGCCCAACGACCAAATTCACTTGGTACTTTAGGTAAACACTCATCTCGAAATGAAGGTTTAGAACAGTTCAAACTACTCGAATCTACAATGGTACAATTAATAATAAGTGAACAGTTTAACCTCAATTCTTCATCAACCAATTTGGATCGATTAAAGTAAACTAAAACATAAGGTTGATATAAAGCGTTAAAATTAGTACCAGTAAAACTGATTCCGTGTTCAATTGAATCGTACACCGATAACGACGGTCGAGTTACTACAAATGTCGGAGTCTCGAACATAGTTATGTTCGTTGTGAGGTTTCGATTTGAACATATTGATTGATCCTCGCAAATTCTAGTCACTAATCGGAGTAAATTGTCTTGGGAATAATCGTAGTCCCGCCATGGACATTGTAAATAATCTGGACGTTCAATTGAATTACGATCGTGACACGATTCCTCCGATGGATAACCAGATAAGGGACCACATTGGATGTCACAAAGTCTCAAAGAATTGGGTTGATACCTAAATTGACAAAAACCGTACTTGAAACAATAATTAGGAGTCATAACTAATTGTTGACAATCAACTGTTTGAAAATAGTTGATCATGATTAGAATCAAATTAGTAATCAGACCGATTGCTTGTAGAAACATTGGATAGTTTAAAAATACTACAATTAAACTTGTCAACATAATCAGAATATATCAATTGCTTAAAAGGATTACAATTCAAATTAAGAGTGTTGGGATTATTTTGACTAAAGGATAACACTGAGATTGATAATCAACTGTAATGAAAATCTACTTGCAAATTTATCGTCCACTTTGTGCACATAATTGTAATCGTAATCAAACTAATTGTCATGTTAATTAAACGTCAATCAACTAAACAAGATTGACAATAAAAATCGAGTCATAAATTGTTAGAATAACGATCTTGTTATGATTCAACTCTCATCATGAATTTATCACAATCAAATTGTAATGAAAAAGTTTAAATTCTATGATTAATTTATCATGTTAATGAACAATTTATTTTACGCTTTTAATAGGAAACTAAATTACAATTGATAGTTGGCAATGATTAGAATCAATGATTCTGCTTAATTATTTACCATTTGATTTAAAATCAGTCGCTGATTTTAACCTTAATTCATGATTTTTTTGGCTTTTGATCACAACAAATGCAACAACAAGGGTCAATATTAAAAGGGAACAAGTTATCACAATTAAAATGGTCACAGTTAAATAATCGATTGGTTTTTGTTCGGGTTCCGGTTCCCTTTCTCGAAGGGTCACCAATCCAAGTGGGTAAACCATTCTATCGTCCATGATTAAAGTACAATTAAGCGTTTTGTTAGCCAACAAGAGATGGTCAAGTTCAAAGGCCACAATTCCATCGGAAGTATAAACAAGAGACGAATACACAGTTTCATCATCTTCATCAATTACGACACATGAGGCTTGAGCCTTCAACAGAATATGACCCGTCAAATTGATGATAAACTTTACCTGCCTCGAATCCCAAGTAACTGAATCAAATGTCGGCAATTGGTGGACATGAGCGATAAATGAATAAATCGGTTGATGATAACCATGAGATCTGAAAAGAACTGAGGTATCATACCAAGAGCCGAACTCCTCTGGTGATTGGGGTAAACAATCGTTTCTTGCTTCTGGTTTGATACAATTTAAATTATTCTCATCGATAATTGTACAATTGATCTCATAAGTGCAGTTTCCTCTAACACCAATGGGCAAGTGAGATCGTGTAAATCTAACAATCAATTTGGGTGAATAAAAGGCATTAAAAAGTTGACCCTGTAGATTGAAGTCATGTTCAATTGAATCGTAAATCGAGAATCTTGTTGAATTAAATCTCGGTGTTTTATAAATGGTTATCTCATTTTCAAACTCAGTAGAGTTCTGACAATCTCTGCCAAGTTGATCACAAAAACCTATTCTCAAGGTGATCTGACCGAAACCATTTGGTTCAGTGATAATACTCGGGTCGAATGGCGCACAATAGACTTGATGTCTTAACAGATCAGAATTTTGACAAAACTGATCGGGGGCAAATCCTTGATCCTCACCACAAAAAACGAAACAAGCATTTCGATCTGGTTCTGAACCGTTCACTGACAACCAATAATGACAATTGCCATCAACGAAACCATGAGAAGGTGTTAAATCATAATTGCTGACGATTTTATGATTAAACAGGAAAAAGGTAAAAAAAAGGATTAACATTTTCACTTCACATTTAGTTAATTGTATATTATTATTGTCAAGAAAAACATTTAATTTTCATCCTTAACAACTTTAATTGGGATTATTACAATTGTAGGATCAACACCAAACAATTAATCAATAACCTTTTCCATGATCAACTTTAGTTGGATTAAAAACTAATCTTTAGTCAATAATAAGAATTAGTTGATTATATAATAACAGAAATTCATCTCAATACTTTCAATCGGATTATGATTCAATGAATATCATGTTTACGATCAAGATGATTGAGTTTTCTTTTGGTTTGTTTTGTAGTAATTAACTTTTTACAATCAATTGTACTTGTTGATTAAGTTGAAGATAGTTGGTCAAGTCTTTTTGTTACGGTGATTATTTTTGTGTCAGTGGATTGAAAAGTCGTTGCAACGATATTGATGCAAAAGGATTCAAAGCTGACTGTTCACGAAGTTCATTATTCCGTCGGGCGTTATTAATAACGACCAGGGCTAAACAGGAGATTAATAAGATGAAACCAAAGGCCGTGATTAAAATCATCTCATTAATATACTTCTCTGGTGAAAGGAAAGGTAGCAGAATGGTATTCGCTTTACCCGTTCCAAGAGGGAACTCATGCCGATCCATTACAATTGAACAGTTCAAAGTTTTCTTATATATTTGATTAAGATCAAATTGGAATGTTAAATGGTCGAGAAAACGATTTACATCGGAAACCATTCTTTCCCCACTTTCATCACTCAAATCGACACAAAACACTTTTGGCCTTAGATAAAAATCTCCGTTCGATTGGATGAAAAACTTATTATACTCTGAATTCCAAGTGAATCCATTGAATGTTGGAACTTGATAAACTAACAATCGCTTATTGATAATTGATTGTGGTAAATTGTGAGAATACAAAGTGAAATCAGCAGCCCAACGACCAAATTCACTTGGTACTTTAGGTAAACACTCATCTCGAAATGAAGGTTTAGAACAGTTCAAACTACTCGAATCTACAATGGTACAATTAATAATAAGTGAACAGTTTAACCTCAATTCTTCATCAACCAATTTGGATCGATTAAAGTAAACTAAAACATAAGGTTGATATAAAGCGTTAAAATTAGTACCAGTAAAACTGATTCCGTGTTCAATTGAATCGTACACCGATAATGACGGTCGAGTTACTACAAATGTCGGAGTCTCGAAGTAAGTTATGTTCGTTGTGAGGTTTCGATTTGAACATATTGATTGATCCTCGCAAATTCTAGTCACTAATCGGAGTAAATTGTCTTGGGAATAATCGTAGTCCCGCCATGGACATTGTAAATAATCTGGACGTTCAATTGAATTACGATCGTGACACGATTCCTCCGATGGATAACCAGATAAGGGACCACATTGGATGTCACAAAGTCTCAAAGAATTGGGTTGATACCTGAATTGACAAAAACCGTACTTGAAACAATAATTAGGAGTCATAACTAATTGTTGACAATCAACTGTTTGAAAATAGTTGATCATGATTAGAATCAAATTAGTTATCATTGTTCAAGATGATTTAATTGATTGATCTTTAAGGAGGAATAAATAAAATTGTTACAATAAGGATTAGATTATAATTGGGATAATTTTTGCAAATCATAAACGTTAATTGTAGTTGTGTTTTAATGACCATTTGATGATGAGTTGAATGAACAATTAAATAAATGTTTACACCGATTGATAGATTACTAATGAAAGTCACTCTGTTTACTGTTAGGTACAACTGAAGATGTTGCATCGGATTTTACGGTTAGTTTGTTGATTAATGATCGAGCGGAAGAGTCCAAGACTATTGGGGCTCGAGTTTTACTTAAACTTTGTCTTCGTGGTTTTGCTAAAATGGTTAAAACGACGGCAAGTAGACAAAGTAGTCCAAATCCCGCTCCCCATAGAATTGCATACCCAATAGATGACGTTCGGCTCGTTGATTCTTGCAAGTTAGACGAAAGGTACATTTGTCCGATGAGAAAATGATAGTCACCCAATTGTATGGAACAGTTAAGAGTTGCGCCTCTTAAAAGGTCAACCGGCAATTCGAACATGTAATTCTTATCGCCTAAAGGGTCAAGATTGGCGACCAGTTGATCCATGTTCGGTTCTCCGAGGATAATACAGAAAACTTTGGCCAAAAGTAAAAGTGTCTCATTGGAAAGAATGAAAAACTTTTTCTGTACCTGGTCCCAGGTAAATGAATAAAATATCGGCGGTCGATAGACTCGTAATGATCTGTGGTTGAGAATAAACTTGGGTTGTGCTTTTCCATGTGAATAAAAGTCAATATCTGTTGTAAGTATATGATGTTCGGATGGAGGTAAACAGTCAACGGGAAATTTGGGCTTATTACACTTTAAATAAGTCGAGTCAATAGCTGAACAATTGGCTCGAACTTGACAAATGCTCGAATCAGGGTGTCTCAAGTGAATTATGAGATATGGATTAAAGAAAGCATCAAATCCTGAGCCATAAAAGTTCATCTCATGTTCAATAATATCATAGACTGAAAAGGTTAAATCTTCTTCGGTGATTTTTGGTGTTTCGTAAATTCTGACCTTCACATGGTCAATTTCATTTCCACATATTGTATTGTTACATAAGGTTAAATAAATGTCCATCTCGTCACCCGATATCCATTCAGATCCAAAGCTAATTACAAAACAATCAACCGAAGCGGCAAATGAAATTTCATCATGGTAACATGATGGATCGGGTGAAAATCCAAGTTCATCACCGCACGAAACCCGACAAACACCAGGATTATCTCGAGGTGAAACAACTGAATATGAACATTCACCTTTATCGAAACAATAATCAGGTGACAATTGAAGACAATTAATCGTTATACCATTTAAACTAATCAAGACAATCAACACACCAACGAAAAAGTTTAACATTTTAACCCAAAACTGAACAATTAACCGATTAGACTGCGAAAAATTAAAACAATAATTAAGATCAATCAATCAGATTACTCATTTTCATTAAGATTTAATTGTTCATTTTTAATCGTTTAATAAATGAAAAACTTTAAATTTAATCGAATCCCAATTTCTACCACAATTAACCATTTAGGATATTTAATTAACAAGCTAAAAATGATTGTGATGGTTAATTTTTAACCAGGTAAACATTATGATATCATTAACTGTAGACAATCAAAAGTAATTTAAATTGATCATCGAAACATTATTTATTATTTGATTATGGATTTAAATCAATAACATTATGATGTAAAGCTTGAATATCTCCTGACTGATTTGTTAATTGATTTTTTAGTTTTATTTTGTTTGTTAGTTGGTTTGACTTTGGGCTTGGAATCAGTTACGTTTAAGTCAATTTTAGATGAGGATTTTAATTTAATTGTACCAATGATAGTGGCCATTAGAAAAGCGGTTCCGGAAATGATGAGCAAAATACTTGGACGGATAAAGGACAAGATTGACCATATTGATTGGCTAGGCAACGATGAGATGGTCACTAATCCCAATGGGTAGGAAAGTTTGGCCATTTGAATTGTACAATTTAACGTTTTCAGGAACAAAGGTCTAGGATCAAGTTCAAAATATGAGAAAGTTTCCCGTGAAATAGTAACTTGAGCAATTAAAGGTTCGATATCGTCCGAATTTTGGACAATACAAGTAACTTGAGAGTTTAAGATGATTGGAGTTGTTGAATTGATAATGAATCGATTTTGAGTCGGTTCCCAGATGACTGAGATAAAATTCGGAGTTCGATATAATATAAATGAAACATTGAATTGATCTTGACTCAGGTCATGGGAAAAGACCAAGATTTCAACGTTCTTTTCATTTTCGTCAAGTAAACACTCGTCAGTTAATTGGTGTTTTAAACAATTTAAATTGTTATCATCGACAGTGGTACAATTAAAATCAAATTCGCAAAGAATGTAAGATGAATCTCCATCTTTCTGATGGTATTGTATGTTGATTCGAGGAAAATAAAGTCCATCGAAATGATCTCCGCGAATGTCAAGTTCGTGTTCAATTGAATCGTAAGCGACAATTGTTTCATCAAATTCCGGTGAAGATAATATGTGAATAGATGAATTGAAACCGTAAGGTAGGCAACCAGAATCACCACAAATTCCTAAACTGATCGGCAGGAGATCATGGTCTTCAGGTGATAGATCGGCGGTGTAATCTCGAGGCCAACAGTAAAATGGACGGGAAAGCGCATCTGAATCGCTGATGCAAAGTTGATCGGGTGCAACTCCGTTTGATGAGCCACACTTAACGGTACAAATGCTCGCGAACTTTGAGGCCAAACGGAATGAGCAAAAACCATGTTGAAAACAGAAATTAGGAATTAGATCATCATCACAATTATCCAATTTAATATTCACAAAGATTATTATGATAACTATCAGTTGCAAGTTAATTAACATCATGTCCAAATTTGTCGACCAGTCGATTCACAATTTGACAGAATCATCATCAACATATATTATTGTTATTCTGTTATCATTATTATCATTCAGTTAAATTTGATTAATTAATTCAACTAAATTTAAGTACTGACAACAATGGATTATAAATTGTGTTTAAATCTCTCGGTCTCTTTTTTGTATGTGGATACAATTAATTGATAATCGGGATTATTATTGATTAAGGATCAACACAGTTGATCAATTTTATGTAATTTTTAAATTGTAACACCATTAGTTTCAATTAATTAGAGTAAATTGTTGACAAAGGTTTGATTTTTCAATTGAAACTTTTATTAACTCCAATTGAGATAATTGAATTCAGGTAAAGATGATTAAATGATTAATGTTACCTGAAGGTAAACATAAACATAAACTTGGTCACTTGTGGTCAAGTCTATTTGTCCATTGAGAATCTGACACTTTTCCGCTTTTTTCCTTTCGATATCGAGCCGGAAGATTTGATTCCACTCGAAAAATGTCTCGATGATATCGTTCTGAGTGAATTTACATGTAATTCTGGAATTTTCTTCATATCATCAACATGAACAGGTCGACGTTTCCATTTTCTAATAATAATCAGTATGATTACAATTGTGAGAATAGCGATGAAAATTGAAACTCCAATTACGATTAATATTAAATTGTCCTGAGCAAAGGACAAAATTGACCTTAAACTGTTATCAATTACTGAACTATTGCCTTTATTGCTCTGTAATAATCCTAAAGGATAAATATCATTTTCCATTTTGACAAAAATATCACAATTTAAACAACAATTAAGGCGTAATAATAATAATAATAATAGTAAGGATTATATTCAAATAATTAACATGATCTTCAATTGATTTTCAATTATCTAGTTAATCAATTGGAAAGATAATTGAACGTAATCATCATATTGGAAATTAAATTCAAACTTAAACTGTCATTTAATTGCATTTGATGCAAACGGATTATATTAGTTGATCATATTGGGATTATTATCATTGATGATTGTGGATTAACAGTCTTGAATTGAATCAAATTTATTGATTCTAACTAATGGGAAATTTTGGATTCTATCGATAACAAAAATAATTTAGTTCAATTATTTGATAACTTTTGAAGGATCAACACCCAGAGTTATGATTGTTTGATATCCTGATCCTAATTCAGCTAATGAAAGTGTAGTTTCAGCTCCTTGATGATTCGTATTGTAAACTAAATCATCCTGATTGGTGATGAAATTGATTTTTTTCAAATGAAGTGAATAAGGAAACGAAACCTTTACAAGCTCGAGAAACTTTTCCTCGAAAAACAATTGACCATTGTAAATGGCCGACTCGCTGGTCGAATCTAAAGTCACTCGAACATAAATATGATTGGTTCGTTTAGAAATCCAGCCCGGTATTATGGTCTTAAAAGAGACATCACCTTGAGGGTCAGTAATCTGATGACCACGAAGAAACAGTTCATATTCATTGAGTTTCATTGAGTTGATTGTTCGTCCAGTTGAAAATTGACCGAAAGCATTTGCGTGCCAAACATGAACATAAACTCCTTGTAACGGTGAACATGTATTGGAATTAATTAATCGGATGATTAAATGTAACGGTAAACCTTCTTGTCCATCAACGATGTTTGACCTTTCAATGTCGTAGATAAATTCAGAAGAATCATAAATTGTTGATAATTCACAAGCATAATTGTAATAGTCTCTTTTGAATTGATTGATACTTGTTAAATTAGAAATGGCTAAAGATGAAATCAACTTAATTGTAGTACTGATTAAAAAGATAGTCAACAAATTGGATATAATTAACATTTCCTTTGATTTAAGTGTCATAATTAAAGTTAATTTGCTTATAAAATCAACACTTTGAAATCATTATACCGATTGTAATATTAATATAACAATTTTGATTGATTATTAGTGAGAAAATTATCAAATTGTGTTAATTTACTGATTAGTTATCTCGGTTAATTTTGTTAAAATATTATCATTGTTTATGTGATATTTGATTGACATAAATGGATGAATATAAGTTAATCGTTATAATTTAATCAATGGTAACCATTTATTGATCTTGATAATATGATAAAAATAAATATCATAATCAAAATTAATGGAAATCATAAACAGATTTGATTAAACAAATGAAACAAAATCTTCAAGTGTTAATTAGTTTCTCTTGGTTGACTTGATTCGTTTCATTTTTCAGGATTATGATTAAGGTGATTAAATGTATCAATAATTAACCATCAATATCATTTTGATGAATTGAGAGAGAGAGAGAGAGAGAGAGAGAGAGAGAAAAGTTGTTTAGAAAATGACAATTGTCCAAATGTCAAATTTAAATTAAGTAATTAAATCATGTTGATTAATTAGAATCAATAAATTCTTGGCTAGAGAGATAGGCTGTGATCCAATAGCCATTATTAACCATGAGAAGGTTATTGATTAGATAGAAATAAGTAAATTGTAATTAATATTTCGAGAAGAAAAAATTGAGATTCCAATATTAATATTAATTCATCAGGATCGTTACTTTGTATGAATGAAAAGGATTTGACTAAGTTATGATCTCAAGGAGAAAATAAGATGATGATGATTGCGATTACTGCGATGGCGGTGGGTTGATTTTGGTGGTAATTAAAGAGCCACAAGTGATGGAGTATCATCATCGGTGGTAGTTGATTGATTATTATCAGAATGATTGTCGTTATTTAGATTACTCGACGGTTTAGATGGGATACTTTCAGCGTTTTCATCAATTAAATGAGTAGTATCATGAATTTTTACCACTTCAGCTTTCACTTTACCACCGGGAAGAGTTGATATATTGAAAACATTGACTCCGGTGTTTGGTGTAACAACCATTATCTCAGCTTTCATGAAATCGCACCTACATTCATCACGAAAATATCTCATATACTCCCGAATGACACCTCCATGAGTAACAATAACAACTTTGGGTTTATCAGCTAATTGTAAGCTTGTTAAATGTTCAACTAATTCGGTGAAAAATCCCTTAACCCGTTGATAAACTTGTTGTAGTGTTTCACCTCCTTCTGGGGTAAAATAACTCAACTCTTTCTCCTTGAAACCAGCAGCCCGAGCAGCGGCTCGATAATATTCAATTGATTTACCCTCTACCACACCGAATGCCCTTTCTCTAAGTCGCTTATCCGTGATGATTGATTTCTGATCACCAACAACCAGTTCAGCGGTTTCAAAAGCACGAGATAAATCACTAGCGTAAACATGAGTAAAAGTGGTTCCATTTTGCTTGAAGAGAGCACCAAGTTTCCTTGCTTGACCTCTACCAACATCCGACAAAGGTACATCAGCGTTTCCTTGGATAATTTGAGCTTTATTGGCTGCTGTTTGTCCACTAATAAAGAGAGATAATAGTAGATTGGATTAAAGAAAGATTAACATTAATATCAACAGTTTGAAAAGGAAAACAAAAGGGATTTAAAAGGAGAGAAAAATAATCTTGGTGATTGAATTTTTGTTGGTCTCATTTAACATTAGAAAGACACATCAAAATTCAAGGTGAATACTTTGTTTCCATTTCATGGTAGATGAATCATGAGATAGCAAAAATAAAGAAAATGAGAGAGAAAGAAAAATAGAGACACAATTGTGTAGAAAATTGAACATCCAGAGAAATGAGATTAGGGCGTAAGGATTAAATTGATTAGATTGACCATTAGAATTAACTTACTGACGAATAAGAGTAATTTGGAAATTAGAAGACATTTTGGAATTTATATCAAGGATGAGAATAAGATGACAAATGGTTGACAACAGAGAGATAATTTGGAGAAAGGAAGAAGAAGATGTTATTGTATTGTTGTTGTTGTTGTTCGTTGTTGATGATGAGAGAAATTAAGTTAACACAGAAAAAGAGTTTGAAATGGTTCAGCTTTTGGCGAAAAAGAGACAAATGGATCAAGAGAATAATATGAGAAGAGAGAGTCGAATATTAATTGACAATTTAGAAGAATAAATTAAATTAAGTGTAATTAGAATTGCGAAAAATATGAGACACACAATCGACTTGCAATTGTGATGAAAGAATAAAAGTGAAGAAAAAGAAAGAGAACATTTTTCTCTTACTTTTTCTCCATAGAAAAGGTAAACAAAGTGGCGACTCTCTACTTCGAGTTTGATTTGGAAAACATTTTAAACTTATTCTTTTTTCTTATTCTATTGACAGTTACGAGTGAATTAGGAGTTAATGGATTTGAATGCGAAGGAAAAAGTGACTTTTTATTGATTATTGAAGGGAAGAAAATCTAATTAATAAATTAATCCATGAGATGAACTTTTTACATTAGAATTTTCTTGTTATTTGTTGAATTAGTTTTTGATTGTTTGGTTATTTTATCCGAATAACTTGAAACCACTGGCGATACCTTTAAGTCCATTTTCAGCGACTGATCCAATAGATTTGGAAGCATCACCGGCCATACCAAGACCGAATTCACCGAGTTTTCCTTTACCTCCCAAGACTGTTGCAGCGGCATCTCCAGCGGATTTTATTGCGTTTCCTTTCATGGCGAAACCTTGTTTAGCGGCATCGGCCAAATTACCGGAAAGATTTTCAGCTAAATTACCGGTAGAATCGATTCCAGAGGCGACAGCATTGGCACCAGAAGTTGCGAGATCACCTAAACCCTTGAAAGAGTTGTCGATCAATTTACCAGATCCATCCGCGAGATTGGCCACCGATGAGGCACCATCGTTGACAAGACCTCCTAAAGCACCTAAACCGATAGATGAAAGCATCGAGTTGGCGTTTTGTCCGAAATTCTTGGTTACATCAGAGACTAAACCAGTACCAGTTGATGCAAGACCGCCGAGAAGACCAAGTTTAGTGGCTTCCAAATCACCTAAAGCTTTAACGATTCCAGAACCAAATTTTGAACCAGTCGAGGCCAATGATCCGACACCCTTGATGGCATTACTTGTAGCATCGCCAAGTTTATTTTCGGCCTCTGCAGCCATACCAGCACCACTTTGGACTAAAGCACCAGCACCACCACCGAGGGCAGAGCTAAGTGAACCAGCAGCCTTAAGGCCACTTGAAGCACCGTTAGCAACATTGCCAGCAGCAGAAGCGGCAGCTGAAATACCGCTTGAGGCCATTGAGAGCGGGTTGAACATAGAAAAATGTCTCCCATGAACATTTCCTCCAGTTAATTGTTGAAGTTGTTCATCACAAATGGCTGATGAAATTATTAACAACAAGCAAAGAGTTGAGACTCCAATTGATTGCATGATTACGGCGATGATTAGATCAATTAAATTGAACGTCAAATAATATTAAATATTAATATTAGTAATTAATAATGATAATAAATCAATTCGATTTTCGATCGTTTTTATATTCATTCATCCAGTGCTTCCTTTTCTCATCAACGCTAATTTGTCTCACTTTTGTCTCACTTTTTGTCTTATTCTAGTCAATTAATTTCATATTTACTTCATAATTAACCATCAAAATCAGATGGCCATCATCATTATTATTTAATTGTGATCACTTTTCTTCATTTTATTTTCATTCACTTTAATTAACTTACGAACCTAATACAATACAATAGTTATTGTATCAAGTTGTATCTGTACTTAGATGTGTATATTTTTAGATTATTAGGAATTAATATTGGAGTAAATTGATTATTACTCATAAGGTATTTGAAGGTTAACCCACAATTAATAGCAACTGATATGGTATATGATATGATATGGTACCTCATCGGTGGCCAATCTCGCTGATGGATCTGGTAAATTGATCGACAACTCTTTCAAGGGTTTAGGTGATCTCGCAACTTCTGGTGCCAATGCTGTCGCCTCTGGAATCGATTCTACCGGTAATTTAGCTGAAAATCTTTCCGGTAATTTGGCCGATGCCGCTAAACAAGGTTTCGCCATGAAAGGAAACGCAATAAAATCAGCTGGAGATGCCGCTGCAACAGTTTTGGGAGGCAAAGGAAAACTCGGTGAATTCGGTCTTGGTATGGCCGGTGATGTTTCCAAATCTATTGGATCAGTCGCTGAAAATGGACTTAAAGGTATCGCCAGTGGTTTCAAGTTATTTGGATAAAATAACCAAACAATCAAAAACTAATTCAACAAATAACAAGAAAATTCTAATGTAAAAAGTTCATCTCATGGATTAATTTATTAATTAGATATTCTTCCCTTCAATAATCAATAAAAAGTAACGGTTGATCAACGGGTTTACCGGAATGAGAGAGTGGCCGTTGATCTTCGAGGGCTAATATCTCCTAAACACCCAACACCTAGAGATGACTGAACAAGACTAATCATCGTCATTCAACAATAACTATAGAGAATCACAATGAGCGCCAATTGTTAAGGTTAAAAATTGATCACTTTCTATTTCTTTTCTTTACTTTGTTTCCCATTTCATGGGAGATAAATCATGAGAAAGAAGAAGAAAAAGAGACATAATAGCGTAGAAAATTGAACATTCAGAGGAAAGAGATTAGGGAGTAAGGATTAGATTAGATTGATCATTAGAATTAACTTACTGACGAACTTGAGTAATCAGATTAGTTTTAATTGTTACTCTTTGACAATTTCGAAAATGTAAAACAATAGAAATGTCAATGTTATTAATGACTCGTCATGTTAATTAATTTACTCCAAGACATCACAAGACTTAAATGTATCAATTGAAACCGAAAATCGTTCGTGTTGAGCTGATAAAACTACCGAGAGTTCTGAGTTGCGTTTTCGGCAACTGAGTTTTTAGATCAATTTTGATTTGGGAGTTTTTATTGCTTCATATTCGTGTGTTGATTAAGAACTAGAAATTTGTGAATTTGCATTCGAAAGAAAAGTTACTGTTTATTAACAATTAACGAAAATTCATTTTATTAAAAGTTAATTTTTTAATTGCTTGACTATTTTAACCGAAAACATTTAAGGCACTGGCGATACTGTTTGCACTTGAGTTGGTGAATCCACCGAGAGTCTTGAGTCCATTGTCGGCAACTGAACCCATTGAGTTGGAAGCGTTAGCAGCGATACCGAAACCTACTTCTCCAATATTACCTAAGCCTGCGGCAGCTGCTGCGGCAGCGTCTCCAGTAGCGTTCATCAAATTGGATCCAACGGAAATACCAAGTGAAGTGGCACCGGCGATATCGTCGGAAAGATTTTCAGCAAAGTTACCGGTAGAGTTGATTCCAGAGGCGATAACATTGGCACCAGAACTTGCAAGACCACCTAAACCCTTGAAAGAGTTGTCGATCAATGAACCAGTTCCATTGGCAAGATTGGAAACGAACGAGGCACCATTGTTGACAAAACCTCCTAAAGCACCTAAACCAGCGCCTGAAAGCATTGAGTTTGCCATTTGTCCGAAACTGTTGGTTACACCGGAGAATAGACCAGCGCCAGTTGATGCAAGACCACCGAGAAGACCAAGTTTAGCGGCTTCCAAATTACCAGCAGCTTGAGCGATTCGAGAACCAAATCGTGAACCAGCTGAGGCCATTGATCCGACACCCTTGATGGCATTACTGGAAGCATCGGCAAGTTTATTAGTAGCATTTGCGGCCATACCAGCACCAGTTTGAGCTAAAGCACCAAAACCATTAGCGATGGCAGAGTTAAGTGAACCAACAGCTTTAAGGCCACTTGAAGCAGCGTTAGCACCATTGGTGGCAGCAGAAGCAGCGGCTGAACTAGCACTTGAGCCCATGTCTCCCATTGCTTTCACGGCACTTGAGGCCATTGAGAATGGGTTGAACATTGAGAACAAACCTTTTCCATGAACATTTCCTCCGGTTAATTGTTGTTCACAAATTGCTGATGAAATTACCAACAAGAAGCAAACGGCTGATACTCCAATTGATTGCATGATGATTAGAATGATTAACGTTGAAATAATCAATCACTTTAACTTTCCGATCGTTTTTATATTCTTTCATCGATTGATTTGTCTCGAGACATTTGCCACATTCACTTTTTGCGTCATTATAATCAATTGATTCTACATTTAGATGATGATTTCCAATCACAATCAGATGGTAATTGTCTTTAACTGTCAAACATTTTGTACATTTCTGTATTTAATTTAACCAACTCATGACCAGGCCGATGATCATCATGTAAATTGAAGGTTAAATCACAATCAAGATTAATAACAATTGAATCATTGGAGTCAATTTAACTTAGAAATAAGTTAATTGGTGACAATCAAAAAAGGTAAAACAATATGATCATTAAAAACAATAGAAATGTCAACGTTTGAATAACAGAGTTCCGATAAATTCATTGAGAACACAATCAGAACAAATCAACTCTAATTAAATTAATAATATCAAGCAATTTGTTTCATTCAACACAAAGGAGAGTTTTTGATCAAAAGTAAAAGTAAATTATATTCAACTAATTTACCTTAACATTCATCAAGATTTATGCATTTCAATTAACAGTTAGAGCTCACAAAACATTAGATTGATGCTAATCATAGACTAATCATGAAAATTCATTAATTGTACAAATTATATTTGAGGAGAAAATGGTCTCAAAACAATTTGATCACTAATCTGATCAGTGATTTGTTTTCAAACGATTAATTTGAATTGTAGTTCTCTTTTGACCGTTAGGATTTAGATTTGTATTACAACGGATAATTACAATAGAGATTTTCTTTATGTTATCATTTTTGAATCTTTTTTTTTTTACTTTTGTAAAATTTATCAAAATTTTGAAAGAATTTTAATTTTTACACCTTTTATCGTTTACTACCAAAATAAACAATTTTCTTGATCATTCAAACTCGTGACTATTATCTCGTTTGGTTAATAGCGAATGCCGATCCTCTGAAGTTTCGTTATCCTTTTCCTTGATTCGTTTCTTGGTCGAACTGGCAATGTATACGTTAGGTGTCACATTGAACAAGCTTTATAAAGAAAATCAAAAAAGATATAATAATTAGCGATCAAGGAAAAGAATACATATTGAAATTTTTCATCGAATGTTGAATTTAACTTAAAATTAGTCACTTACACTTCTTCCATTTCAAGATCTTCTTGTGATAATTGGAAATATGGATTACTATGAGTTGGCTGGAAATGATATCCAGTTGATATGAAAAACAATAAGGTGGCAACGTGTTGGAAGAAGACATCAAGCCATTCAAACTGAAATGGAACAATTAATCTGAGGATGAAAACGATAATTCTGGTAAAATAGATATAGCAAACAATCATAACATAGAATCGACGGAAAAGTTTCAATTTTCTGAGATTTATGGCCGCCTTTCCATCCGTTTGAGATGCTTCTTGTAGATGTCTGATGGACCAAACAATTGGGAATAAAATTGCTCCACAACAGATTAAATCTACAAGAAGAAAAACTGTTCTCCAAATATTATGCATAAATTGTCCTTCCTCACTTTCCTCAGTGATAATCTCAGCTACATTAGCTAAAACCTTGATTGAGAGAAAAAGAAAATGAATCAGATTAATTAGAGTAAGTCTACATTAGTTAACACTTAGTTGATAGCAATTAATCAGTGCATAACAAGGCAGCTGTTAATTGTTGAATCAACAAAATTTACCTGTAATGGAATAACAATCATGAATATCTTTTATCTTTATCACTTAGTATGTGTTTAACAAAGGCCCATCCAGTTCCTATCAAGGCAATGGTGATAAAAAGAAGAGCTCCTTTAAAAAAGTGCGTAGTGTAATAGAGAATGGCCCAGGTTTCATTTTGTGATCCAAATTGATCAATGAAATGATAATCAATCTGGAGATGTAAAAAAAATATACATTAGAAAATTAGATGTAGACAAAATTCATATGATGAGAGAGAGAGAGAGAGAGAGAGAGAAAATACAAATTGTTCACTTACAGAGTGGAAAAGTAAGGCTAAAGCTTTGACGAAAACAAGAGCTCCCATAAGATAGTGTATTTTAAAGGCATCGTCTTTTCGAGTTCGAATAACTTGGAACCAAATTATACCGAGAATGAAGAAAACAACGGACAGAGTAAAGTATAGTTGTGGTAAGGGAATTTCACCGGCAGAGAGATAATTGTCATAATTTTTCTCTTCAATGACCATGGAAAGGTTGATGAAAGTTGCTTCACGAAAATTTCTTTGGTGAGATCGATAATTTGGACAACTATGAAAGTATAAACTGTACAATCCAACCAGAGAATCATCGGTAATAAAGGTATGGAACTAGATAAAGAAGAAGAAGAAAAAAAATAGATAAGGTAAATAATAATTCTTGTAATCAGTAATTAATGATTAATTTACCTCAAAAGAATATGTTAAAACTCCTTCGATTGGTTTTTCAATTAGATCGATTTCAGATTGTTCTTGGCAATAATTTTCCAAATCTTTTGTTTCATCGACATTGACATCGTTATTATTATTATTATTGTTGTTGTTGTTGTTGATGATGTTATTATCGACATTGACATTGCTTTCGACAAGATTATTATTGTTATCAAGGGCAACCGATGGGTCAACATCGGGAGAGTTATTAACATGCAAATCTTTAGAGGCAACTTTCTCTGTTAGAATAGGTTTTGATGTGATCAGAGCTCGTTCATTAATTCTCTCTAGTATAGTTTTAGAATCTAATTTACCTGCGACTGGAGAGTCAAGCATAGCAATGGAATCATTTTTATCAGCGATTACTGCTCGTCTCTTTCGATCAGATTGGTAATTATTGTAACCTTTAACGATTCTCAGTTGCTTCATCAATGGATTACAACGGAATATTGCCCTGTAAAGGTAGATGTAAATAGAAGAGAAGAGAAGAGAAAAGAGAAAATTAACAAAATTTTGTTCTTTTCATGTTGTAGAAACAAAACAATTAATGATTTGTTGAGGGTTTAGGTTTACTTTTTCTTTTTCAAATCAAATGTAATCGAAACCAAGCCAACGCTATCATCGAATCTATTGATACCATTTTCCTGGTCCAGGATACAAACGTCTTTCTCTTTCTATAAGATACATTAAGGAAAATAAAAGAAAATCAGTAAATAATAGTAATATATTTTTATAGATAATCATTAAATCAACGTGTAACCAATAATCAAGAGAAAAGCCTGAGATGGAATTAACTTACAGCAAAAGGATGTAATCCGTCGTTGATTGTTTTCAACAATGTGAAACCAAACTGGATTAGAAGGATAAATAATGGTTAGATTAGAATTTATCAGAATAATCAAATTAACGATTGGTGATCAATTTTAACGCTGAGTCACAGAAATGGAAACAATTAAAATTGGAATAAATGACTGATTTTTAGATTGGAAAATCAGATGACACACTCACAGTGGATCCCTTGTCGTATGGTGAAAAAGAAAACTGATCAACATTGACTCTTAATGTTCCTCCATAAAGATAGCCAAATGTAGAAACTTTAAAATATTGCCTTGAATCTTCCTAAAGAATAAAAGAAAAAAAAGAATAAAAGAAAAAGAAAATATTAAATATTCTATTTAGAGAACATCAATAGAAAATATCAAATTTTATATCATCGAAATTAACAAACCTTTAAGGTTAAATGATGTAATCTGGCATTAACATGTAACATAAGCCAAAGTAACACAGTTAATTGTGAGAATAAATTATTAATAGAAAACATTTTCTCTCCGTTAATTTGTTAATTAGACCAAAAATTTATCCCGAGAGAGAAACACAAACAAATAACCGAACAATTTTTCTTCACCGATGAGAGAAATTTAATTTTCCACAAGTGAACAGTTCCAATCAATGATGATAGAATATATATTTAAGATGATATATAGTCCAACTAATTTGATGACAATCAATAGAATAATAAATAAAATAATAACCTAGAAATGTGAAAAAATCTCATCACCAAGAATAAATTTTCACACTGAGAAGAAGAGAAAAAGCCAAAAGCAAAATAGAAAAAAAAAGACAAAGAAAAACAATCAATTAATTAACGAGCAATATTTTCAAATATTCTTAAATTAACTAATCACTTCACTTACCTACATGATTAGAGTTGATTTGAGAACAGTAAATTTAGAAAGTGATCACAATTAAAGACGATGACAATTAACAAATATTCAGAGAGTTTGGTAAACAACAAATGAAAAAGAAACTGAAAATCAACTGTTTTCTATTCTCTGTCTATTTGTCTGTCTAATTTTTTCTCTTTCTTTCTTTTTCTCTATTTTTTTTTCTTCATTTGGTTTTCCAACGCGCAACCGAAAAGGCGTTCACCTCAATCACATGTTAGTAATCAACCTAATCAACAATCAGTGAATTAAATTGTCAACTAAGGTAAGAATCAATTTCCATTTTCACCCAATTTAGTCTTAATTGTGACCAACAATTGATTTCCTTTGAAAATGGTTAACTTTTTACTCTGTTGCTTTTTCTTTGACTGTTGATGTTTTCACTTTGTTATTGTTTTTTTTTCCATTGAATTTGGTTACCTGTTAATTATTTTCTTTTTTTTGTTGTTAATTTTATTGGTTTTTTTTTATTTATAGAAATGGAATTTACTGATCTAATTAAGACACATAAGCTTGAAAATGTGATCCTTCATCGACCCTTTTGGGAGCCTATTGAATGTGCTCTATGTATAACTAGTCATCAATTGTTGGTCTCATCAAGAAAAATTGATGGTGATGAATTATGGGTAAGTCATTTAATTGATTAGATTATCAGTTGTTGAAGGGAGAAAATTTGATTCAATCATATTCTCTATCTCTCTTTCTCCAATATTCTCATCATTCTAATGAGTTTTGTTTACATGAGAAAAGTTCTCATTCTGTTAACTTTCCATATTGACGCTAATTCTAATTTTTGGCTTTTTTTCTTTTTTTATTCTATTCTATTCTATTTTGATTTTGATTTTTCTTTTTCATATTCCATCTTTTTATCAGCTTCTCCATTCGATTGTTGATGTTGTTGAAAGAAAGGCTACTCCAACTGGTGGAAGTATAACTTTAAAGTGTAAAGATTTTCGTATCATTCAACTGGATATTCGTGGTAACGAGGAGTTTAACAATGTTGCCAATTCCATTGATTGCCTATCAAATATCGATGACCCTCGACTGTTATTCCCTTTCTATTATCCATGTAACTTCGAGATAGTTGAAGATGGTTGGGATGCATTCCAAATTGAGAAAGAATTCTCAAAAATCATGATGTACTCAGATGCCTGGAGAATCAGTTATGTAAACAAAAATTTCACGGTTAGTTTGATATTTTTCATTTACAAATTGATCCAGAAAATTGATAGAATAATTTTCCGAGTACTTTTTTCTATTCATATTTAGGTATGTCCATCTTATCCTGAAGCTGTAATTGTTCCTAAATCAATTAACGATGAAACAATCATTGGAATCGCTTCTTTCCGATGCCTTGGTAGATTCCCTGTTCTCAGTTATCTTCACAAAAGTAACAAGGTAAACGTAAAATAGTTTTCCATTAGACCTTTTTTTTAAAAAAAATTCTATTTCTTTTCTAAAAACTTTCAGGCAGTAATTTTACGAAGTGGTCAACCAATGGTTGGAACAAGTTCGAAAAGGTGTAAAGAAGATGAAAAGTTGATCAACACTGTATTAGGATCTCAAAAGAGAGGATATATTATCGAAACAAGAACACAAAATTTAGCTCAACTTGCAAGAAGCAAAGGTAAATTTGTATATCGACTTGACTGTTAATCGAATCTAATGTCTCATTCTAATTCCAAGGTGGAGGCTTTGAACCGGAAGTACATTACCCTCTCTGGAGAAGAGTTCATAAACCGATTGATCGACATTCATCTCTATTGGATTCACTGAGTAAACTTGTCGAATGTAAATTGAAATCTATTGGCTTTTTCGCGTTTACTTTGAAATTTACTAATATATTTTCTTAATCGATTCGATAATTTTATCTTTCAGTATGTAATGAAACTTCATGTTCGATGGATAAATTTTTATCTCGCCTTGAATCTTGTGGATGGTTAAGTCACATTAAAGATGTCCTAATGTGTGCCTGCCTTGTAGCTCAATGTATTGACCAAGAAGGTGATTACTAAATTTGTGTTTTGTTTGTCTTATTTCTAATTGTTAATTGTTGTAGTAACTAAAAAAAAATACTGACCAATACAAATTTGTGTTTATTTATAAGAAGCGTCGGTTCTAGTCCATGGAGCTGAGGGAATGGATTCAACGTTACAAGTTTGTTCATTGGCACAAGTTATTCTTGATCCTGATTGTCGTACAGTCCATGGATTTGAAGCACTAATTGAACGTGAATGGATTCAAAGTGGTCATCCATTTGCAACCCGATGTAAACATGGTGCATATACTATTCCCTCTTCTCGAACCCGTGAACAAAGTCCAATATTTTTGGTCTTTCTTGATTGTGTCTATCAAATTTATCACCAATTTCCCTGTTCATTTGAGTTTAATGAGAAATTTTTAATTATGCTCTTCGAACATGCCTATGCATCACCTTTTGGTACTTTTCTGGAAAATTGTCTTAAACAACGAAAGGCACTTGAAATTTCAAAGAAAACCGTTTCTCTCTGGTCTTACATTAATCGGCCTGATAAAATTTGCGATTATCTTAATCCAGCATACGAACCAAATAATTCAGTCATCTGGCCCTCAGTTGCTCCTCAAAGTATTGTAAGTCAACTATATTTACCTCTTTGTAATCTAATTGTTAATCTAATTGTTGAAATTATTTTCCAGGTTCTTTGGGAAGCAATGTACCTCCGATGGTCAATCCCTCAAGGCTATCGTGATGAAATGTACACTGCAATCTCACAACTCAAAGATTACGAGAAAGAAATGAAAACCAAAGCTGCCAAACTCAGAACGTAATTACAATCAAATTAAAAAATTCAATCTCAATTTATTAATCTAATTTTATATTTGTTTTTTCCACCGCTTCCTTTTAATTACAGACAATTGTTACAACTTGCGATTGCAAATCGTTAAACCTATCGAAACCACTTCTTCTTTTTTTATATAATATGGGGATAAAAATTTGAACAATTTATTAATCCAATTAACTCAATATTAATTACGTTTGCTCTGTTTATCAACAAAAATCAATTTTTCTTTACTCTTAAGTTATTATTATCATTGATTGTTTACTAACCTCCCTCCTTAAAAAAAGTATTGTTACTTATATAATATTTCAAACGAAAACTAATTTTGTAATCTCAATCACAGATAAATTAGTTTGAATTTGAAACTCAGAAAAATCAATTCTGATTTTGTAAACAATCAACTTGGAAATTAATCAATTTTCCCAATTGTTAATCAATTAAAAATTTTATCTGTCAAAATGTTTGAAAAACGCGGTCACTTCCTTTTCCATCCCTATTGGTGTTTGTGTTTGGTTGTCATGGTAACTTTGATGACATCAGTTACTTGAGATTTTGTTTCATTATTATTTTGTCATCAACAATTTACACGTCAACTTGCCCTTAATTGTTTTTAGGCTTTTAGGTTTTTAATTAATTTTGATAAACCAAAAATGGTGCTAATGACGATGATAGCCCGAGTCTCTGATGGTCTACCATTGGCAGCATCAGTTCAAGATGATCGACAGGTAAGTTTCTTTTTTTTTTGCTAGAATCAAATTCTAATTTTTATGTTTCTCTGTCTCTTTTGCTCTTCCCTTTTCTCTAATTTCTTAATTCTTTTTCCTTGTTAATTTTATTGTTTTGTCTTCTACATACATGTATAATTGTTACTTTAATCTATCACAATCCTTATTGTATACTTTTTGTTACATCGTATTCTAATTCTAATCGTGGAACCTTTTTTTTTTCTTTTTTGCCGACAATTAGATGGGAAGAAATGTCGTTGACTATCAAAATCAGGCTAAAATGTTATTCAGAAAATTAAATTTTGAGTCACCTAAACAAATGTCCATTGAAACCGGTAATTACCTATTCCAGTAAGTTAATCATCTTATTCAACGTTAGATAATAAACAATTAAAATGTTTAATTTTCTCTGTAATTTATTTGTAAAGGTTAAATGTTGTACTAATTGTTTTTCTTTTCTCTCCTTGTTTCTTTGTTATTTGTAGCTATTCTATTGAGAATGGAGTCTGTTACCTAGTCTTATGTGAGAAATCTTTCTCCAAGAGACTTGCTTTCAGTTATCTGGAAGATCTTCAAAATGAATTTATTAACCAATATGGTCCAAGGATCGCCAGTGCTACTCGACCTTATTGTTTCATTGAATTTGACACATACATTCAAAAAGCGAAAAGATCATTTATGGATGCCCGAGCTAGAAGAAATTTATCACAATTAAACAATGAATTACAAGATGTTCAAAAGATTATGGTTCAGAATATTGAAGATGTTCTTCATCGAGGTGTAGCTATATCAGGTAGGTTCCTTATTGAATTCAGTTCAGGCCTCATATTCAAACAATTAATTATTATCTGTCAAACCTTTGTTAATAGTATACAAAAGATCAATCTTAAATGGTGATGTTTTTTTCCTTTACAAATCAACTTATTGTTAATCAATAAGCATGAAATGATTTTTAGATTTCTTTTTCATGATCCTTCAATGATCAGCTTATTACTTTTAAAAGTTTCCTCATCACACCAGCAATCGATTCCCTTTTTTTTTTACTTACTGTATATTTCTTGATTGTTAAATTTGAAACAATCTGACATTATTTCAAATTGAACCGATTTAATTCAAAGTATGATTTTAACTTTATCTCTTTTTTTTTACTCCTCAGATTTGGATAACAAAGCAAGTAGCCTTTCATTGATGTCAGCAAAGTATAAAAAAGATGCCCATCAATTAAATCTAAGGTCAAAATATGCCAAAGCCGCTGCCGTTGGAGTCATTTTTACCGTAGTCATATTATACTTTTGGGTTTTATGAGCTAATTGTCACACAAAATACATTAAAAAAAATATTTTTCTTGTGACATATTGAAATATTTTTTTTTTAATATTTCTTGATCATCTCCTTTCCAAGCAATATACTATTGTGTAAATGATCATAATCAATTAATTGAATTGTACATATATTAAAGTTTTCCATTGAAAACTAGAAATCGGTGCTTCGTATTGGTTAAAGTGTTGATACTTTCAAGATCAAATCTGCAAGTCCCTCTTCATCCAGCGACGATTCCAGGCCGATAGCAGATTCTGATTATTTTGAAATATCAATCATTTGATCCAAATTGGCACTTTTTTCTTCACATGGTTCACAAAGATCAATTCAAATGAAACTCTTGGCCTCATATCGTAACCATGGACATGAGAAGTGCATTTGTTAACATACTCACACCACAAAATACACGATGAAATTTGTGTATCTCTATTCTCGTCTCGGTTATAAGTGTAACAGAATTGGAATCAATCAATATAAAGTTTTCGCATCAGAATGATAATAGTTGAGTGTTTGTTTTGATATGAAATTGGATTTGGATTTTCAATGAGCCAAGAAATAAAAATAAGGTTAAAGGAATGAGCGAGAAAAAAAAGTTTACAACTAATCAATTGTGATTTAAATGGATTGTAACTAATTGGCATTTGGATAAAAGTGGATTTCATCTGATTGGATTGAGAAAATAATCAAGAATGGTCTCTTGCAATGTAAACACCTCTAAACAAATTATGATGATGATGATGATGAGATGATCCATTTGTGGTCATTGATGGGAAACTTGGACTTAATCTAATGTGACTGTTTGCCAATGAAGTGATACTTGGATGGTGATTAACGTTAAGAAGCGAATAATTTGCATTAAAAAGACCACTAACTGGATTACAATCAGTGAAAATATTCTCTCCCGTTTCAACCGATAATCTTTCCTTGTCGATAATAAGTTTACCATCTGATTGAGTTTTGTGTCTGTATTCATCTAATCGAGAATTGGTTTGTCTTTTCCATTTGGTTCGTCGATTTTGGAACCAAGTTTTCACTTGGGTCTCGGAGAGTTTCAATTCTTTGGCAACCCTGTTCCTTTCAGCGACACTCAGATACTTTTGAAGGTTGAAAAGTCTCTCAAGATAAATCAGTTGATCCTGTAATTGAGGAAAAAAAAATATCAATCGGGAAACAGATAAAATATGAGCTCAATTTTAATGGAATATCTGAGTTGTTTTCTCACTGGAAAATGAGACCAATTATCAAATGAAAAAGAATCTATTTTATTTCCTCTTCTTAATTGGTGATAAATTAATTTCTCTACAAAGTTGCCAAGGCTCGAACTGAACACTTCGGAATAAAATATCAATGGTTAGCTCATTACACTCGCTGGCGATGCTCAGAATTTCAAATAATGTGCTCGGTTGTTTTTCTGCAAAATTTTCTCGATAAAATGTTCATCTGAACTTTGGCAACCCTGTATTTCCAGTGACTATTATACAGAGTGGTACAATCTAACATCTACTCTTTTGACTTGTTATTACTGGGCTGCCAAGAGGGTAGAGCGTAAATGTAATTGGAGATAATTTTGTTGATCGAAATAAAAATGATCTGATTTTTCAAAGGTTATATTCAGATACACATCATATCTGCGTATAGTCTCTGAAAAAGGTTATATTCAGATACACATCATATCTGCGTATAGTCTCTGAAAAAAAAATCAGATCATTTTTATTTCGATCATCAAATTATCGCTAAATACACTGTACACATACGCACCACCTTATTGATAGCTCTGTAATTTTAGGCCATTTTTTTTAGATGAGATTGTCTATTTGTTACATTCGACTATCAATTTGGCCTGATTGGTGTTTTCTTTTCGCAACCATAATTCTGTAATTGTTATCATTTAATTTACCTGAGTAAATTGTGTTCGTCTTCGTCGAGCTCTTTTACTTCGATCTCTATTATTATCTTCTTCACCTTCGAGAGAATCTTTTTTATCATCTTCAATAAGATCATCTTCATCATCGTCATCATATTCTTCGTCTTTAGGTTCACCTTTTATATGGTCCATATAATGATCGTCATCTCTTGTATCGGGTCTACCGAAATCTGGAAAACAATCAACGGAGAAACAAATTAGAATTGAAATTTCACCTTCTCAACTTTAATTACCTAATAACTTTTATTTCAATCAATTTTTGTCACCTTTTTCTCAAAAACTATCACCAAACAAACAGACAAACAAACAAATATTACAAAAATTAATCTTAAAAAAACAACTAATCAACAATAAGTTAATTGAATTGCCTTTTCTTCCGGTTTGACCAATTCTTAAATGACCAATGGTCATTTTTTTTTCTCGTCAATTTATTATCTCAATTTAAGTTTAACCAACACCAACATCTCAAGACTAACAAGAAGAATGAAAAAAGTAAACAATCAACAATCAACAAGAATAAAAAATCAATGAAAGCTATTAGTTAATCACAATCAAAATAAGTGGTAAAAATTGTTTAACCAAATCAATCAAGCAACTTGAAGATTTTATCATTGCAAGGAAAAAGTTTAACAAACGACAAACGGGTTGATGAAAATAAAGGAAGACAACTCATCTCCTATCTCTCACTATTGTGACCTTTACCTGGACTTTATTATGACCATTATATAGTTGGAAAGGTAAAGAACTGACCACTTTACCTGTCCAGCCAAATAGGTCAACTTGGAGACTCATTTTAACAACTCAAAAGACTTTAGTCAAAGAGGTGAAAGTTGAAGGTAAAATTTGGGACAAACAAACAGGAGAGAGACCAAGAAATTAAAAGTTTTTACATTAACATGTTGTAAGTCAATTAAAAGGATCATTTTAATTATCATCCTCATCTTTTCATCTTTACTTTTAACATCCTCATCCCAAAAATTGCCACAAATTGATAACAATCAAAGCTTAAAACAAAACAAAAATACCTTAACTTACAAGGGCCTAAAGTTAAATTGTCAAGACTAATCGTAAATTGCTGATCCATATCATAACTGTAAAAAACTATTTTAACACTTCTAATTAGCAATAAGTATAATCAACGTACCCATAAAAGAAAGTATCAATCATCATCATCATTTCCGTTTCCTTTACAATTTCAATTGTTAAACAATCAAACAGACAAAAATTGAAAACCTCTTAACCTTTCCTGTTTGTATTGATTGTTATCAATATATTATTATTATTAATAATCAAGGGTCAATTTCTCATGATTAAATTGTAACCTATTATCATTGATTGTTGTCGTTAGTTAATCATAACAATAAATTTATTGTCAAGTATCAATAATCATAATTTAACAACGATAACAATCAAAAATCACTTCACCTTTTTTTTCATCAATCAAAATATGAAAATTTAAACTCGATCATGTTGATAATTGTAAATCCATATTGATTACAATTAGTGTTTTTATAACAATCAGTAACCTTATTAGATGTTAACTAACCTTTGATTGTGATATTATCATTAGTTAGTTGATTGTTAACAATGAAATAATATCAATGATTCATCTTAATACATGTAAACGATATGTAAGTTGTTTAAATTTAATCATCATCATTATGATTATGATTAAAAGTGAGAAATGAAATGAAAATTGTAACTTCTCATGAATCTCTCATTGTAATTTACAATTTGTTACAACACACAATTAACTGATTGTGTTGATTACAAGTGATGATTAGATGTTTGAATAATAACATGTATCTTTTTTCATTCAATTGACACACTCACTTTACTCACTTAACAATATATTGATTGTGATTAAAATGACAATATAGAGACCTCATGTTGTTATTACATTTTAAAGGTTTACAACAATCAACTAATCATTGATAATAAGTAACATAAATATACAATAAAAAAAATAGTAACAATCAAAATTCATTGATAACAAAGCAAAAAAAAAATCTGAATGAAAATTACAAAGATTTATAATCTTTTACTCCTACTGGATAAAAGTGGGAGTGATGTTGATTACTGGGAGTGAAAATTAAATACAATTGAATAACAATCAACGACAATTGATTGTATCAAGTTGATTGTGATTAACAATAAACATTAACAATTGTCCAATGTTGATTATCATTACCTTTTCCGTTTGCCCTTAGCTTTTCAACTTGCAATTTAAATTAACAGCTACAATTAAGCGATTAGGTGATTTACCACCATCATGATTAGGATTAGGTATTAGATTTAGATTTAGATTGTTAATCTGATGGATTAATTATTCACAAATTATGTTGAAATAAAAATAAATTTCAATTAGTTTATCAAAAAGGAGGATTAGTAGTAAAATTTTCACCATTAGTGTTAATCTAATTTGATTGTTGATCTACAATTCAACTCATCTAATGGATTCGAGTGATTTAAATAAATTTACTTTAAACTGTCATACTGATTACAATTTATTGATAGTTAACAGTTGATCAAATTATTAATTATTTCGGTTAATCTCAATTCTAGGTTAGGTTTTTTTTTTTACTTCTTGTTCATCATTAAGATTTTTTTTATCCAACCAATTAGTTGATTGTTAGTTAGTAAATTGTGGTCATTATGTTACTTGATCAATGGAGAAACTTGAATAACTAATCAATTAGATTGATTAACTGAGACACTTTTGTAATCGTTCAACTGGATCAGAGTTTTTTTCCCTTATTCATTGACAATCAATATTTTATATTCTTGATTGTAATTTATATTTAATCAAGCAAAATGTTGATGTTAATCACTGAATTAGATGGACAATGATATCTTTCAATTAACTAATAACACTCAACAATTTAATCAACCAAAGAAAATCATTTTTTTCAGATCAATTGTAAGTCAATTTCAAGATGAAGTTAATCACAATCATAATAAGCAATTGAATTAATCATTGATTAGATTGATGAGAAAACTAAATATCTGATCATTGATTACAATCAATAATTGATTGTAATTTGGAAACGATTAATCAATTTAACCGATATTGGTGATAATTGAACTGAATTGAAATCTCAATATTTGATCATTTTAATTGTAATCTAATACTATCACAGTCGTTAATCAAATTAACTATTTCAATTACTTTTCCCAATCTGATTGATACAAACAATTAGAGCTTCATCTTGTAATTAGTTAACTTACCTTTTAATTTAGTTGTTGGTGATAAATGAAATGATTTAGTTGATGATGGTGAGGATGATGATAGAGTTGCCGTTGAACAATTAAGTAAATTGTGATCACTGATAATCAAGGGAAATGACGATGATTTAGTTGACTTTTTCTGAAGGATATTGTCAATTGAAAAAGGTAATGAGTTAATTGTTGACATTTTAAACATTAATGATAATAATTTAGTAGTAATTGGTAATGAAGATGATGATGATGATTGATTGGTTAATTGAGAAATCATTTAATTAGAAACAAAAGTAAATTAAATCACCACAATTGAGATCAATTTAAAAGTAAATGTAATAACAAGTCCAAGTCTTTATATGTGATAAATTTTTCACTCTTATTGGTTGGATAATCTGTTGAACGATTAACTAATTGTAATGTTGACCTTGGGTCAAGATGATCCTCTGACCTTTGACAAGTAAATGTTTAAGTTGAGGAAAACAATTTCTATTTTGTTACTTTGTTCAAGGTTATGTTTATATATATAGAGAAGACGAAAAAAAGTTCGAGGTTTCCAATGGTTCGAAACCCTGTTCTAAAAGGTTAGAACCGCCTTCGAAAGTTTCTCATTGGTTAACCAAACTTCCTATACAAATTGTGAATTAACTTAATCATCACAATAAGAAAAACAAACTGATTGTGATCATTAAGTTAATCATTAAACTTGATCCTCTCTAATCATGGTTACAATTATTAGGTGAGAGAGAAAAAATTAAACCAAGGATTAGGATTAAGGAGATTAACCCTTGGGATTATTGTTAATTTTCAATCATTTGATTGGTCAAAGTATGGAAATTAATTGTCCATTAAGTGTAGTAATTAGTTAATTGTTATAATCATCGTGTGTGTGTGTTGTGGTTAAAACAATTAATCAAACAGAGTTTGAGTTTGAGTTAAACAATTTAATGAGTTTCGGTGATAATTGAGATTATTATTTTGTTATTATTGAATCAAATGAACACCAGCAAATTAATTAAATAACAATCAACAAATTAGTAGTAGTTGTGAAAAAAAAAGTTCATTAATTAAACAAATTGTTTGATACCCTGAAGATGAAACAATTAACACGTTTAAACAATCAACTAATCAATTTGCTATGAAAAGTTTTGTACATGATAAATATTAACATAATTTATATTCATCATCATCATCATCATCATCACAATCAAGTTAATCATTACAATTAGATGTAAATATAAGTGATTATGAAAAACATAACAGTTAATCAGGAAATGTAAGTAAATGTATATGAAAAAGAAAGGGTTGAAAGTTAATTGTATTTTGAATGAATACTAATCATTAATTGTAATCATCATAGGAAATAATCAGGAAATGAACTGAATTTACAGATCGTACAGTTAAATTGTTACTCTTTCTTGGAGTGTTAATTTACTTTCACTTTCAAGATAAATTAACTACAATCATTTACTACAAATGTACATGAATGAAACTGGATTAAGAGTAACAATCAACCATTAAAAACAAAATCCCCTAAAGGAAATGAAAACATGATGTTTTTTTTATTGATATTATCATTTATATAAATTGTGATTATGTAAAGATGATCATCAAATCATCAGAATAAATCAACACCAAATCATTAATGTTAATTGTTACAACTCTCGGGAGATTGATTATAATCATCATATGTAAATTAACCTTTAAAATTACAATTGCTCAGTTAATCATTACTATTCAAGCTATTCAATTACATGAGAATTGACAATAATAGTTATTAATTGTTTCCATAAAGTAAATGTATTATTTTCCTTTAAATTGTTACAATTTAAGAGCTGATAGTTTGTCATAATCATTATAATATAATACATAATTTGATGATCATTAAGATGAATAACAATTAATAAACTTTAATGTTAAAAGTATTGATCAGTTAATCAAAATCTAGCCAATTGATTACTAATAATGATAATACAATTGGATCGTAGTTTTTGAAACTGAATCAATTGTAAATATTAATTGATTGGTGATAAATTATCAAATGGATTATCGGGTTTGTATTATTGAAAGTCTTATGGTATGTAATTTATTGATTTCGTTGGTTAATCATCAAATGGTGTTAATAGTTAATCAAGAGGATATTTGTTATCCTTTTGGTTAATTGGATTTGTTGGTGAAACTTTTCATTTCCATTGATTAGCATTAGGGTTTATTGTTATTATGAGAAGGAGGATTCGGGAAAGTTGTTCAATTTGATTTTAATCCATGGACCACTCAACAAATTAACTCAATGGAAATGGTTAATTTACCTTTAATCATAATCGGAAATGGATTTGAACACATCAACATCAACATCATCATCATCATCACTTAATTTTGTTGGTATAAAGATGAAACTTTTATAACCTGGAATCAATTTGATGGTTTGATTGATCAGTAAACTGGCTTATAGCACTAAATTGTTGATTATCCTTTTCCAATTGTGGTTGATTAGATTGATCATCATCTTCATCTGATCATCAAAAATCATTTAATTTTACCATCAAAAGTGGTAAAAGATAATCAAATTTACCTGCTTATTATTATGGAGCAAAAACTAATGAAACTTTAACAATTTGATTCTTTCCTTTACTTACCTTTCATATTTTTCCTTTTATAAACTTCAATATATCAATTGTATCAATTTCCTTATTCTTACCAGACAATTTACCATGTAAATTAATCACCCATTAACTTTAATCATGATATAGAGAGATAATTACTCAGAGGATAGAAAAAATAAATTTCTATCAAAATAAAATTTCCCCAATCAAATGATATTCAATATTAAATATAAATATAAATGATCGGTGGTCAATCAATAGTCGAACTGGTCAATCTCATCAATTCAATTTCAATTGATTATCACCTTAATTATTTTCCCATTGGACAAACAATTAAATTACTCTGATTCCAATTGGTTTGTCAATTGTTTCAACCAGAATCTTGAAGAGTAACTATTTTCACCATTTTAACAGTTTCTTGTTAACACTAAAATCGGTGAGTATGTTTTCATTTGCCTTGTTGATAATCTAGTTTATTATCAATAATCAAATTTATTGTAATAATATAGTAACAATTTAGGTAGGTAAAGGTAAAGGTAATATGGTTATCTTTTAGTATAATCGGTTTAAGTCCATGAAAACCATAAGTCGCCATTATCCTTTTTTCAATTATCTATTTTCCTATTCCTTTCCTCCAATATATCGGCTCGATTTTAGTATCTTCCGTTTTTTACCAAGGCCTAAATAACCCTTTACTCTGTCTCTAACTCTTTACCTTTCTGTCTCTTCATCTAGAATGTGTTACTATTGCTTTAGGGTTAATTGTTGTCCGAGAGTAATTACTAATCATCATCATTATCTTAACTTTGGCCACACTTATCAGAATACAATAATATCGAGCTGCGATTAATGAACAGGAGAAAAGGACAGAAAAAGATGAAGTAAAAGATTCGAGATGTTGACAAACTCGATGAGAAGAAGAAAAAAAAAGTTTTTCCTTTTCCTTTTTATCGGCCATTTTGTTCATCTCTCATTTAACCTCTAACCCTTTAAGGTCTAACCTTTTAACTCGATATTATATTTACCAATCAATTAGTAAATCAGTTAATCAATAATCGTTTAAATTTCTTTATTAGATATTAATCAAGTTTCTGTTTCGTTCACAACCTTTTGAGTTTATACCTGAATTTGTCTTTGATTGTTGTTGTCCATTTGTTGGTCAATTCACTCAGTTATTAAATTAACTAATCTCAGAATTATGTTGATTAAGTGTCATCACAATTGATTATTTTCAATTGATTAAAACAAAGATTAAATTAAAACCCTAAGAAGGGGCAAAAAAGTTACTCCGTGTAAACAATACGTTTGTTGTTATACAAATGTAAATATCAGGGTTGTTACAATTTAGATAATAGTTAACAATTAGAGTACAATTTTACTGATTCACAATTTAAATTGTAAATCAATTTGGATTAACACAACAATATTATTATTTTTTTAAATACATAACGATAATTAAGATAACCCTGATAATATTATATGAAACATTTAACATTATTTTTAAACAGAAAATGTTATCAACTAAGACAATCAAGTTGATTGTTTATAATACCAATTAATTTGTTAATTGTTATCACCATCATTCTCACAACCTTAAGTTTTTAATTGTTATTATTATTTAGTAATCAAAAATGAGATCGTTGGTAATGTTTTTTATGACGATCACTTTTTTTTTCATTATTAGTTAATTGTTATTATTATTTTCTAGTAATAAATAGGTTTCTTTGTGGGCGAAAAGCAAAACAAACAAATTATAATCAACAGTTAATCAAAAACTTAATTGTTTGGACATAATATTATTGCTATTATAGCACCTAGAACACTCTGAGCAATTAATAGGTTTACAATTAACGCTGTCAACAATTAATATCTCAACAATTATCTTCATTTCTAGTTTGCTTGTTATATTTTTGTCCAAATCAGTTGCTAATTTGATTACTTTTAAAATTGATTTGATTGAATTGAAAATCCATTCATATAAATATTAGTTAATTAGAAGCGTTTTTTTTTTCAATCAAAAACAATTTGTATTCAGTTGAAATTTGAAATTAAACTAAACTTTTCTTGTTAATTGATATTAACAATTAAACAAACAAAAAACTTTCCTCTAGAACTCACAAAATTAATTTAAATAAAAACGATCAGCTGATTATTTATCAAAAAAAAAAAGTTTACAGTTAATTTTTTTGTTTAACTGAAAAACTTTCAAGTTCACAACCATTATAATCTTAGTTTGTTTCTTAATTGTAGTTAGTTAATTGTGGAAATTAACAAATGATATTTTGAAGATTTCTCTTCAATCACAACCTTTGATTTTCCTTAAATTTTTTTTTTCTTTAAATTGTTTCACTAATCCATTGATTATTTCACTTGGAATTGTTTGGATTAACTTTTGGTTTTTCACTTTAGGATTTGGCTTCCATTCACAACCATTGATGATTATTGATGAATAAATAAATAGTAATGATTATTTACTTTACTAGACTATCAAAGGTTAATCAATTGATCCTTTGATCTGTTGAAGATTGAGAAATGCAGAGATGTCATCATGTCGATATTATCGGTGTTTAGATTGCATTTTTCCGTCCAATTGTTGACCTAAAATTTAAAGCTTCGAAACTTGTGTAGTCAGATCTTGTTCGGGTCCATTGATTGGTGAAGGCCTGTCAACAAGTCGTTTGTAACTATCCGTCGTATCGGCGGCTTATCATCGTTATAAGAACTAAACTTTTCCTCTAATGTACTTGCTCGAGCCAATAAGTTTTTAGCTGTTACCCCATAGCTTTTGGGTCGCTGGGAGGAGGAAGTCGATGAGGAAGGATGAGAATCAACAACGGCACTTGATGAGACAATTGTTGTGGTATTATTATTGTTAACATCATCGTCGTCCGTTGCCAGGCCTGGATTGATTCTTCCATTGATCTCTGATTGTTGATAACTTTTGGCAATCGATAAGTTAAGAACGGACAGTTCACCTTCTTGAGGGTCACCAACAACAACCGCATCATCGGGTATATTTATTACACAATGGAAAAAGTCATATTTAGCTGGTAGAATATTATTCTCGAAAATGTGCTTGGTGAAAGTTGATACACCCAAAAGTGTACCGAATGAGGTCAACATGGCAAAAGTACGAAATGGGAACAATTGACCTTGTTCCTCAGAGTAAAAGGGATATTTAATTATCGGCGGAAGACCAAGTATATCTTCACCACCAAGGGCTCGAAGCATGAAACCGATAATATAAGCTGCTAGGGAACCATAGGTGTTACAATGGCGTTTAAAGTAGACAACACAAACTAATTGCGGGAAAAGTATAACATAGACAAGGTCCGAAGATAAATACCAAAGGCCGTAAATTGATTTAACGGAAAGAGCCATTGCCGTTGCGATAGCGCCAACAACAACGATTGAAATTCTCATAACCCAAACAACTTCGTGTTCAGATGCCTGAATGCAAATCAGAAAAGTATTAATATTAATAAAACTTTGAAATTAGAAAATCGGAAATAATACTTGAAATGATTAACCTTACAGGTTCTTTGATTTTTGTCGCTACTTACATTTGATCTGATCATTAATTTATACACATTATGGGCAAACATTGACGATGCACTGAGCAGTGAGGAATCGGAAGAAGACATAACAGCAGCACTTACAGCTCCAAGGCCGACAAATTGTACAAACGGAGGAGTTAGATATTGAAGAACCATCGGTAAGACCAATGATTGATGTTCCTTATCCAAGGGAAGACTTCCTGGGAAATCAGTTTCTTCCCATGCTGTTGGAAAGATTAACGAATTCATGGAGAAAGGAAAAGAATCAGTATTTTATCAATTGATCATTTTGTCTCTTAATTTGGTTTACCTGTAGTTCGGGCAACGGCGCCGATAATCATTGAAGGAATGGCCATAATTATACAGCCAAAGGCTGCAACATATGAAAGTATTTTCGCCTTGAAAGCTGACCTTGATGATAGAACCCGTTGAAAGTAGACCTGCCATGGAACACCACCAAGTACCAATAGAAGACCATAATCAAGATATTGGCCAAATTGACTGGCCGGAAGTTTACCAAACCAATCATGTATCTCAGGGGAGAAACTTTTAACCGCTGGATGAGCGAGGCTAAATGGAATACACAACCAGAGGCCAATAAAGATACAGAAAAGTTGGACAACATCGGTATATGCAACGGAATACAGGCCACCGAAAAGTGTATAAATTAGTGCAATGACGGATGATAAGATGATGGATGTATCGTTGTCCAAGTCAATGATAACAGAAACGGTTGCCCCAAGGGCAGCTAAAATGGCTGCGGACCAGAAAACCTCACCACAGAGAGCGGGTAAAAATAAAAGGCCACCCATTCGTCCACCAAGAATCTCCTGGAAAGGATCTAACATTGTAACGTATCCTTGTTCACGCATCTTGGTGGCAAAAAAGAATCCCCCTGAAAACAAACACCAAACCAAACAACCGATAAACAATCAATATTTACCAAGAATAACAAAAATCTTATTCCAATCATACCAACAACTAAACTCGCCGAGTAACCAAACGGAGCCTGGCACCAGATCAGTCCATGGGCATACATCGCTTCAGCGGTTCCATTAATATAACCTCCTCCAACCCAAGTAGCTGAAAAATATCAAATAATTGATGAGAAGGTGAAAAAAAAACGATAATTAAAGATTTCGATGAAAAATGCAAATCGATTTGGGTAAAAAAAAATCAATAAACACTAACATGTTACACTCTGAAAGTATTATCATATTATTATATTGATGATAAAAAAAACTCCAAGATCATTATTGTGATAATATAAGAAGAGTAAAAATAAAAAGGTCAAGAGTCATAAAAGGTTAATTGTAGTGAATGTTTCTGCTGATGAAATGTTTAACTAATCGAGTTGTTTACTTGATTTTCTGGTCAATTTATTATCCTTGATGATCATTAGATTGACAGAATTATTTTATCGCATTAATTTACTGAATATTTAATTGGAGACTGAAAAAAAACTTATATGAGTTATCATGTTACTGATTAATCAGAATTTCCTATTGTTATTATGTGCGCACAAGAATTGAAATTAGTTTTTCAATCTGTGAATCTATTACATGTAATGGTGACAATTTATTACTATTATTTGAAATAATCAATATTCTGATTGATTCTAATTGATTTCAAGTCAAAATTATATCGATAGTTAGTTAGTTTGAAATCTAATTGCAAGGTATTGGATTATTGTTAGTTTTTGCTTGGAATTACCTGTCATGGTGAATATACCGACGAATAGGCCAATGTTCCGACCTTAACCTCTTCCGTTTCCGTTTCGACGCCATCAGGTGATTTCTTCCTTCCAGCCCAAATACCAACAGCTAAGATTAGAATGTAAAATATCACAACGGAAAAAACTCCGGCCAAATTAACCGTCATTTGTCACAACCTTTGGTTTCGAATTGATTTGTTGATATTGATTGATTATCGATGATATAAAATGAATTTCAGCTTGATAACAATTTGGACCAGCAATTGATTAATTAGATGATATGATGAGTAGTAACATTTGGGAACAATTAAAGTGGAAAATATTTTAAATCAGTGGACTATTAATGTGATTCCCTTTGGAAGATTTGAAATGATAATGTAATTTTCGGATCAAATTGTATCAAACGGAATTACACTTAAATTAAATTGACTCTTGTTCAACTACAGATTATTATTAGTAGGTGAACAATTAAATCTAATAATTAACTGGGAGCAATTTATATTATTAGGATGATCGCTGTTGGTAAAAGGTTGGTTAAGGTAATCACTGGGTTGAAGGTTATGTTGGGGTTAATTGTTATTAATTATCCATTGGTCTCTTGGTTAATTCATTGTTAAACAACAGCTCAGAGTCCACCTAAATTAGATAATCACAACAATTAACAATTAAAGTAAAGTACACAATCAAAATTGGAGGGAATGACCAACAAGAAAAAAAGTAATAGAAAATATTAGAAAATAAAAATTGTAAATATCAACATTAACTTTCAATTAGAATCACAGTTTATATTAACTAATCTTTTCATCGATAATTAAACAGGTTAATTAACATGAAATGTAACAATTTAAATTGTTCTTACCTTTGAGGAAAATAATATTTCTCATCAACAGAAACAAAACAAAACAAAAAGATGAATTTTATTGAATAACAAATGGAATCAATTTATTTTTTTTTCTCCGCGAAGAAAACGTAAAGGTCCAATTCGATTGTCGATTAATTTGAATCAATGAAAATTTGCCAATCGAAAATTTAATTAATCATCTAATTTAATTGATTTAACATTTAGAAATTCTATCTTGATTCTGGTACAGGTCAGTTAAGTACAATCAATCGTTGGTCATTCTTTGGTCAACTTTCAGTTGAAAGTTTCCCTTTTCTTTTAATTGAACATCAACAAAGTTAATTGTTGACAATTAGAAACAAAGAGGGAAAAAAATTAACTAATTACAATCAAGATTGACGATAAAAAATACTCGGACAATTGAATAGATATTACATTAAATTCAGGTTAAACTTTATCAAACTAAATTGTTGAAAATTAAATTTCTTGCTAATTTATATTGTCGGATAACAATTAACAATTGTAATGACTAATATATTTACTAAATTGCAAATTGGTGAATAAAAAAATTTTCATCTATTGATGGTTAATCAAATCACTTTGATTTATGCTTAAATCGTTTGCGTTAATTGTGTGTGGCTGTTGATCGTTTCTCCTTTTGTTTTTGTTGATCAACAATTAACGTTCAATTGTCAATGAAAAGGGGAAATGAGATCAATGGATGACAATTTAAATGATGACAATAATGATGATGATGATGATGATGATTAATTCAAAACAATGAATTCTTGGATTGATATGATTCATTTTTTTGCTTCTTCAGGAATCTAATTGTGTTTTCGTAAGTTAATAATGTAATTGATGTTTGAGGAACCACTCTGATTAAGCTTGGTGTTAATCCTTTATAAAAGGCTCGATATCCTTCATTCCTGTAATTAAAAAATAAACAATTAGAATTCATTGTCAAATAGATTATCATTAAGGTTAATTAACAACTCGATTGTAATGTTTTTTTTTGTGATATTCTTATTAAACTAAACATCATAGTTACATTTTCAGATCTAATCAATTGTTTGACTAAAAATATACATCATTTTTTTTGGCTATTGAACTTTAACTTAATTGTGAATTGAAACTATAATTTGATTTAACATTGTTAACGAATAACAATTTACATGGGTTCAAATCTTACAACTAAATTACTTTGAATTGATGAATTCAAGGTAATTCTTGACTTTGATTTAAGTTAATTTAAAGTTAACAGTAATTTGGACCAATTTTTGAATATTAAACAAAATTTGGTGATTTTTTTTGGGTTTGGACAACAAAAAGTGAGAAAATTATTAGATAATCAAGAAAAGGATTAAAGGTTTACAAACAATAGATAGAACGGATTAAACTGTTTCGTGGTTTTTTTCCCCACAATTAACTTGACTAATATTCCTATTAAACTGACAGAGGGGTTTGTTAATTAGGTACAGTCATGATAAAGAAATTAAGGAATCGATGAATAGATAAACTTGGGTCATGGTTAGAGTAGGAAAAATTATAACAATTAATATTGATTTGAAAGAGTGAATAACAATGCAGATCAGGTGATGGATGGATTAATATCCTTGCTGATGGGGTGATGAACATGATGATGATGATGATGATGATGGTGATTGATAAAGATGGTTCAGATGATTGGGAGATGATGGTGAGTGTTGATCTGTACGTTATCCCCTCAGTCAGTTAATCATTTTTTTTCCTAATTTTTTCTAATTCGTGATTTATCCTCAAATAGATTTGTAATTGTCTCGTAGCACCAAAATACGATAACTATATTTGGAGTTACATGAATAACGTAAGCCGGGAAGCCTCTGTAAAATCCTCTAAAGCCTGACCTAAAATCAATTTGTACACCAAATTACCACGAATCGTGATACATAGAGTTAGTAATATATAAAGAAGAAACAAAAGGGAAGAGAGAGAGAGAGAGAGAGAGAGAGAGAGAGAGAGAGAGTTGATAGAAAACAAATAAAATCTCTCGGTGGAAACAAATTAAATCTTTCTCTTCCTGATGTATCTTTTCATGTCATTATCTTTTCCTCTAGTTGTCTCAACAAAAGAAACAAGATGATAATTGTAACGATCAAAGCAAAAAATATCAAAAGATAAATAAAACAGAGAAATTCTCATGATAAAATATCAGAATCAGACTGATTAGTGGTAAAAGATTTAGATTTGTGATAAACCGAGAGATTGAAGATTCCGAAATTGTGAAATACTAACCTCCAAGTTCTAACTATCACATCTCGAACACCTTTAAAATCGGTATGTTGATCTTGTAAACGAGCTCGAACCACTTGATAAGGAAATGTAATCGAAGCAGCAATTAATTTACTTATAGCTGCACAGGCAATATACTGATGATTATCCAATTTAGTCTCAGTTGGTAAATTTCGTCGTTTGTTTATATTTTTTTTCAATTCCTCATAAACCATAAATTGCAACGATCCATGGGTGACCCCAAATAATCCTGGAATTACTCCTTTATACATTCCTCTGATTCCTTCATGTTTATAAATCTTATAAAAAGCATCTCGAGTTCCCGAATAGACTTTATGATTAGGAAGAGAGTTTAATAATTGCTGTTGATTACCATATTGAAGGCATAGTCGTGTTTTAACAACCCAAAAAGGATTAGTCAAGGTAACAGTAAGAACACCCGCTTCACCTGCGGCTAATAAATGTAACCAAGGTGTTAACTCAGTTCTTTCCATCATCAAATAATCTTTGATACAATTGTAACTAAAAGAAAAGAAAACGATAGAATCAAGTCATTAGAACGTTCAAGGTCAATAGTTACGAGAAGAATAAGAAGAAGAGAAGGAAAAAAAAAGAATTCTCCTTACAAAAGAAAATAAAGTCCCCATGATACACCGGCGCCCATGAGATTGGGAATTGTTCCTCGGTAGAATCCAGCGATTCCTTCTTGCTTGAAAATGGTTTTAATTCCTTCTCGAAGATTTTGGTAATGAGGTCTAATAGATAAACGCCCATCATTTACTAAATAAAGAAGCAAAAATAAAAAAGAATAGAACATTTAAAAGAAAAATCAAACAATTGGTGGAAGAGAAAACAAAAAAATACTAACCAGCAAATCTAATCTTCAAAAGATCCAATGGATGAAGGACCAGTGTTGATAAAACACCTCCGGTTACACCAGCGACCAGTGATTCAAATTTAAGGTTACTAAGAACTGCGTACACATTTGATTGCCATTTATTAACAAAAATATATTTATCTGATGTAGAAAATGGTATTACATTAATAGGTTTACTATTTGAAGGTGATTCATTTATATGATTAGTTAAAGAAGATGGTGAGGTTTCAGTTAAAGCAGAAGATGGGGAAGATAATCCGGTTGCAATTGCTTCCGCTTTTAGAATACATAAATGTCTCCAAAATTCACCAGGATTCATGATTAGATAATAATGAATTAATCACAATCCATTGAGAAATAAACATAACTAATAACAATTAAATGAAAAGATAAACAGTTAACACGCTGTTACCTTGGTTACCATAAGAACGAAAAATTGACCGCCAATTTTAAAAAGTAAATTCTCTTGGAAGGAAAAGTTATTTCTCTCAACAATTAAGATAATTAACATTAAACTAGAATTTCTAACTTAACAATATAATCAGTTTATGTTATCAACATCTTTGAAGATCAAATTCGAAAAGATCGAATCAAATTTCTCTAAGCTCAACCGATTCTTTCCAAGTCTCTCTACCATTCGATTATCAATTTGCTCGAAATTTGCCCGAGGCTAATTGAGAAGAAAATTCGCTCTGATAAAGAAAAATCTTCATCATCATCTTCATCATCATTCTCTGATTCTAATTAAAAGCACAAATCGAATATTCTGTATTCCTATGAGTTCATTGATAGATTATTCCAACTAACAACCGAATTGATTTCTCTTTCGATCAATTTGAAATGAATAATCAGAATTGAACAATAATTCAACTGTTATTAGTTGATTATCACAATTAATTTGATTATTCGATTACCGTTTAGAAAATAAAATGGATCACAAAATTATCTTTACTAAAGCTGATTGATTATAATTAAGTTGCAACGGAGGATTTTGTAAACGTGTTGATCTTGTTAAATTGTTGGTGGAAATTAATGAAACGAATTGATTTTTTTTCAAAAGCTTTAATTGCTTTATTTTGACCTTTGTTTGATGTAGAGTTCACATAAATCTCATTGATAATATCTTATACGATGGAAACAATCGTGTTAATTTAACGTTGATTATTTACTTGAGTTTTCGGTTTTTTTTTTGATTTAAATTGTTTAAATTTCAATTATGATTTGATTGTAGATTCAATCAAATTCATGGTTTCGTTTTCAGTTCTCAACATTTTGTGTGTTTGTTTTTCTGCTTTCAATCAATTAAAACGATTTGGACATTGGTGTTTTGTTTTTCTTTGAGAAAAGAAGATAGAAGAAAGAAAGAAAAAGAGAAAGAAAAAGAGAGAAAGAGACTGACTCAGAGAAAGAAAGAAGGATGAGGAAAGAAAGAAAGAAAAGAAAGAAAAGAAAGAGAAAGAGAAAGTAAGAAAGGGAAATTAATGATAGATTATTGAGCAGCAGCAGCTTCCTCTGGGTAAGGTCCTGCTAATACGTTCTTGACGAATGCTACGAATTGGAAAGAAAAAGGTTCAATTAGAACAAAAAGTGAATAAAAAAAAATTCGAAAATTCGAAAATTCGAAAGATGAAAAATTAGCTAATTACTTTCATATTTAATGAAACCATCTTCGTCAACAGTTCCACCACAAGCCTTCATTAACTCTTCGACTTCAGCGTTTTCCATTTTTTCACCTGAGAGCAAGTTAAGAGTAAAGAAGGTAAAGTTAGTAAAGGGAAGAAAAATCGGTTCCATTATTTAAATTCTAAAGGTTAATTAAAGGTTAATCGTGATTAGAATAAAAGAGAAAAGGAAAATATTACCAAGGGAGAGAAGAGTATGAGCCATTTCAGCTTCCATCATGAGTCCATTTTCATTCTTATCGTAGACTTTAAGACCTTCGGCCAAATCTTCGTAGGCACCACAATCCTTATTCTTTTTCAACTCACTGTAGATTGGTAAGAATTCCTCGAGAGATAAAACTTTTTCTCCCTTCTTCTTGGTTCCTCCCGCTTTCTCAATCGCGGCATTGGTGGGTCGCAGGTCAAGAGAACGGATAAGATCACCTAGTCTTACGGCATCTACTTTACCGGTACCTTCAAAATCATAGATTCCAAAATGTAATTTTGCTTCTGTTTGGTTAAAGTTTGGGAGAGAAAAAAAAGCAAAGAGTTAAAAATGTAAATCGAGAAAAGAAAATAATCAATTGTGATTATTATCGTAATTCTAAATGATAATATCTTTCGAGTTTTCAAATTAATTAACAAACTGTTAAAGAAAAAATCTAATTTATGTGAGTGTTTCTTTCGTGTCTCTGATCACCTAATAAGGTTCATTGAGGATCGAGTAAAATATGCAGAGGTAAAGCCAAGTTGCCACGAATTTTTTGGACCTTTGCCAGAGAAACATTGAAAAAGGACAAGTTCTAAAGCTCGAACTTTTTTTTTGCAATCAAAACCTAAGCAAAAATTAACATTAGAAAATTTAAACTTTAAAGTAAAACAAAAATAATGCGAATTACAGTTAATGTAAATTAACCAACTTGTTGCACAATTAACATTGAATCTAAACAAATGAATGAATTTGTTATTCGAACGGTTTTGTTTTTATTACTAATTAGATTCGTTCAAATTAGATCGAGAATTGAATTGAATTGTAGAATATTAATTGTTTCGTTGATTATGTTTGTCTTGATTTTAGATCATTTTGGAGATTTTGAATAATATGATGGAGATTTGGAAAAGGAAAATTAGGATAGAGATAGACTTGAAATGATGATTGATTTAATTGTAGAATTGAATGAAAAATTAACTTACTTTCAACTTCGGCAGGTTTAAGGTCAGCCTGAGGTTATCGAGATCGTGGAAAGACGGTTTGAAGAGTTGATATGATGACCAATTGGATAAGATGATGGACATGTAATTATATGGAAAAGAATAAATCACAATAATGTTTAGTTAATTTAATCCATAATTGATTGAAGAATTTTCTTATTTAATTGAAAAAAAAACTCACCATTTTATTTGATTACAAATTAAACTTGAAGACAATGTAAACTAAAGGAAACAATGAGAGAAGAATAAGAAAGATGAGGATGGAAGATGATGAACAATTTGGACTGAATGAGAAATGCTGATCGACTGAGGCTTCAGATGAAGAGATGGAAAAAAATGTCAAGAAGACAGAAGATGAAGACAAAGAGAGAGAGAGAGAGAGAGAGAGAAGAGCTTTGAGAGAGAAAGGCGAAAATGGTGCGCGTTGTTATTTGGATTAAGTAGAATAATTAAATCTAAGAGGGAATTGATTAGAAGACATAAAAATAGTTTAACTTTCCACTGCGGGGATAACTCGGTGGCAAGAGGAAGAAGTAGGTTGATGATGAGGATGAAGATGCAGATGAGGATGAGGATGTAGCTACGATTGGGCGAGGTTTAAAAATACACTGAATTTTATGGTGGAAGGAGGTTAAAGACAAAGTGGGAATGGTGATGGAAAGGAAGTTTGGATGAAAAGCAACAGAGTGTGTGAGAGAGAGAGAGAGAGAGAGAGAGAGAGAGAGAGAGAGATAATTCTGTAAACGATAAAGATGATCCATCCTTGGAGGTTGGATGAAAGATTCCAACGCTATTTCTGGTGATGTTGAACAATCAAGGAAGAGGAGAAGAGGAAACTCTTTTTGGGATAAGAATTAAGAGATTGAATTTTCATTCTTTTTGGATTCTTTTTTTTTCCTTCACCAGTTGTTAAATCCATTGTTGTAAATTATGATGATGATGATGATGGAGATAACAAAGTAACAGTTGATTAAGATAAATGTTGAGAAATAAAATTAAATCTGCTGGGGAAGAATAGAGGTAAAAATATACAGAGAGAGGAAAAGAGATTAAGACAAAGAGAGTATAAGAGAAAGCGAAAGTGGCAATTACCTTGAGATTTATCCGCAAACAGATCTTTGGATTAAGAGGTGAGATAAACAATCTAATTAATGTTTTCGACAATTAAAACGGTTCATAATTAACCCACTTACCTGAAAGTAAATTTAAATTGTAACAAAAAGAATTGCAATCAGTTTGAAGTTTGAACAATTGACAGAAAATTATTTCGATTAGTAGACAAATCGACAAATAATCAAGTTGATCATCTTGGAAATTAGATCAACTTTGATCTTCGTTAGCCTTAAATTGGTTAAGCATATTGATTGAAGAATTGATTAATTGTGATTATATGAATGAATGATTTATTGAGAGATAATTAATCATGTAAAAGATGAATTATTGTAATGGAATTGTTTCAATTGGAGCAATTTGGTCAGGGTAAATTGGTTAATTTGTGAATGAGAATACAATTAAGATTTACTTCTGATCTTCATCAAATTTAGCTAAGATTCCCAATAGACATTCAATTAGATTTTTAAATTGTTTCGATTGTAAAATATAATCTTTGAGAAATGATTGTTCCCATGATTGTAATCCAAAGCAATTCCTTTTGATATTAGATTTATTATCGGCATTAAATTGTTTTGAATGTTTATCAAGTACGATTTTAATTAGATCCTTGAGACTTTGAGATTTAATCATATCTTGGATTTGGGGGTTTTCGGTTATCATCCTTTTCAAGATGACAGAATCATCTTCTAATTCACCTTCCTCCATCTCGGAATCATCGCTGCCATAATTTAATTGTATCGGTAAAAGTCCGGACATTTTAATTGTAAACAATTAACAGAGAAACACAATCTATAATATCAACATTGGGAAAAATCAACAAACATCAACAATTAGAGAGGGAAAAGTAAATGATCTTGATTTTTCAAATTCGAGAAAAAAATTATTACCTCGATTGGAAATCCTTTAATTATAATATTGATTATCAATTGATTGTCACAATTAAAGATATTTAATTAATTTAATGGTTAATAATAACACTAAGAGCCAAATGAAAATTACTCACGTGGTTGTGGCTTGAATCAGCTGATTGAGTGATCAGGAAACGAGAAAATTATTTGTGTGAGATTCAAATTGTAAATTGTAAACAATTAACTTGATCCGCTAGTTGATTAAGACAATTGTGAACAATTTTCTTGTTTAATTAACTCCTTGTTCATGGTTTAATTGAGTGAAATCAATCAATGTTCATCTTTGTTTAAGGTAAATATAAATTCATTTTGTTTTTCCTCAAAATCTCTTGTGTCCTAATTATCAATTAGTTAACAAGCTGATTCACTATGGAAATTAATTAATTAATTGTGGTTAGGATAAATTGGAATATAAATTTGATGATTGATTTGTTTTGGTTTTTGTTGTAGATGATTTAATATTTTCAGGTTGATTTCAGTGGTTGTCTCATTTTTCATTTTGTTATTCAAAGGGATTGAAGTTATTCTGGTTTGGCGTTAATTGGACTCTTAATTGTTGATTGTTAATGGCGATTTTTAACAGAATTATTCCTCTAATTAACTCGGTTCGTCAATGTTCAACAATTGAAATTAAAGTTGGATCAGAAGCGATTGAAAACGTATTTTCACCCGAGAAGATGTGATGAAATTTTGTCAAATTGTTGGTGACACTAATCCACTTCATTTTGATGATAAATCAGCTCAATTAGTTAATTTCTCAGGTATAATTGTTCCAGGATTACAATTAAATGGGTGAGATATCCAATAAAATTAGAATGATAATCAAATACTAATTGTCTTCATCTTAAAGAACCGTTTCCTCAATCATTGGAACCAAATTACCAGGACCAGGATCCATTTTGGTTAAACAATTTCTTGATTTTGTTGCTCCTTGTAAGTTGATTAAGACTTTTAATTGTTGTCATATTACCAAACAATAAGTTGGAGAGAGAGAGAGAGAGAGAGAGAGAGAGAGAGAGAGAGAGAGAGATAGAAATGACAATTTAGTGACAAACGAATAAATCAAAAGGATTCTAATTGTTGAGTGAAGTAAATTGAAAGAATCAAGTGAAAATCCAAGATGGATATTGATTCTGACACCGGATCAAATGGATTTGCTCATGTTGGATTAACGATCACATTAATTGGCGGAGTTTGTTACACCTTTTATAAATTTCTATCTATCATGTTTACTACGCCATCGAATGATAGGGTTGAAGGGTCATTATCAACAACATCGACCCAACATGAGTCATCTGATAGGGCGACACTTTTATCAGGTGAAAAGTCAACTTCTAGTAAATTTGCTCGAGCCATGAAAGCCGTTGATGAGAAAATCAAAGGTACTAGTTGGTTCATATCACCACTTAATCGTTGGAAAACTTCATCGTCATCATCGATCAAAAGTGAACGTTCAAAGAAAAAGTCCAAATTATCATCGGTCACCAGTTCTGGGACAAATTCGACTGGTTCCAAGAAATCAGACTCTTCCAAAGATTCAAGAAATTATTCGTTTTTCTCACCAAATGTTAAATAGGAGAGAGAAAGAGAAATATTTATGTTCCAATTGTTTACATTGACGATTCTTCTTTAAATTTGATTAATTGATTGTTAACTCGAATTATTCAGGTTACATTGGTGAACAAGTGATGACTCGTGTTTGGATCGCTTCGATTAAGAAGACATTCATTGATTGTCACTACGAATGTATCATAATTGGAAACGGAAAGATTGTAATGAAAGGCGATGCTTTGATTTATAAACCTGTAGAAATAAAAATTTGATTAATTTTGCAAAGGTGACACGATTCAGTTAATTTTATAGACAAATGCCCGATGCATTCTTTTGTTGATGTTAGTTTTGATAAAGTTGAAGGGATGATGATGATCACCTTCAACTTCATTTATTGGATTTTTAAATTTATAGTTGTAATTATTGTTGATGTTAACAAAATTTTTATCGGTATCGGCGTAATTGTAAAGTGTTTCTTCGTTTCCAAGATGCTGAAACAGAGCCACCAATTGTCTTAGCGAAACCATGACCGCGTCCTCTTAATCCACGATGTTTCTTACCAGCGCTTGTCAAACCTCGGCATTCTCTGTGCTTATGAACAGGATCACAGATCCAGTTAACCTTAGGATCACGTCGAATGGCTTTATGATGAGGATCAATACAGATAACCTCATAAAATTTGAATGTTGAATCTTGGCCAACCCAATAAGAACCAAGAATTCTCAAAGCTTTAGCCACACGTTTACCAATACGGGTCTCAGCGATAGCTTGAAGATTTCGCTTGTGTTTCAATTGGTTGATACCAATATTCTTGGGTTTACCAAAAACGGCACCTAATTAAAAGAAACATTTAAGAAAAAAAATAAATTTAAGAAAACAAATTAGTAAAAGTAAAAGAAAAAGAATAGAAAATTTAAAAGTGAACACGTTTAACACTAATCAATTTTATAGACATTGAGACAAAAGACTTACCCTTTGGTACTTGTCGTTTTCTACAACCTCGTCGGACTCTAACTCTGTAGATAACAAAACCTTGTTTACATTTATAACCTAATCGTCGAGCTTTTTCAGGTCGTGATGGTCGTGGGCATCTAACAATTACACGTTGTTGACGGAATTCCCATGTTCTCAATCGGAGTAAGAAAAGCATCACATCTGATTGCTTCTTTTTCCATAATTCTTGGGTATACTTATAATAACCCATGATTAATTTAATATCCTAAACAAGAAGGAGAACAAATTGTAACACAAATTAGATAATTACAAATGGTGATAACAATTTAAATTAAAAAAAAACCAATTAAACAAAGAAAATAAAATTCCAATTACCTTTATAATGAAAACTCAAAAGACAAAATGTTGAGACCAGAAAAAGGAAACGGAAATTCAATCAACACACTACAACTTTTTCGGTTCACGATAGATGGAGTTACTTTCGCATTCGTCGCTTTATTTGAGTTTTTATCTTTTCTTTTTTCTGTTAAATTTAAATTGTTTCGTTTTTTAATTAACTTTTAACTAGACAATTTATTGATTGTCTTTAATTAAATTTCTCTATGCAGTTGATTGGTTTAACATTGAATAACAATAAATCTTTTTCCATTTTTTATTCCAAGTGTCCCTAAGGTGATGTATTTGTTTTTCCCTCTAATAATTTTCGATGTTAATTTTTTTCTCTAAAATTTAAATCTAATGTCCAATGAGTAATAATCTTTTTAATTGGCCACCATTTTAATTTAATTTTTTCCATTTCTTTTTCTTCATTTAATTTAGGAATTTTTGTCCAATCTTTAGGTTAATTGGAAGGAAATTTCAATGAACATCTTGAAATGAACGATAGTAATTGTAGAACGTTTTCTTTCCACAAAGAGAATAAGGTATTTAATTATTGTTTCTTTTTTTCTTTTTATCGGTTTACTTGGTTTTTCTTTATAGAAATAATTCTGTTTATTATGGTAAGAGTTGAGATTTTGATTCCAAGAAATCATCATTTTTCTGGGGTTAAAATGTTATTACCAAAACAAAAACTGCTTCTTCTTTTTCCAAAAAGACATTAGATTGTTGATCGTTGATAAGTCTCTTTTTTCTCTTTTCTCTGCAACAATTAAGATGGTCTCTATACTCTCTCCGTGTTATTTGGTTCGAAAGGAGCAAAAAAGGAACGAGTTGTAATGTGTATTCCAGTTAGAAAGTCATTATCGAACCGCAAATCATTTCTTCTTAAACCATTTGACTAATAATCAACTAACAAATAAAAGATGGAGGAAAAAAAAGGAAGGAGAAAAAAGATAAATAACAAGAGAGATACAGATTTATTTACATACAGCGATACATCTAAATAAATCAGTTCACTGTTGCTGTTGTAACCTCTCAAGTTCAACTCTCATCAATTATACATGGACATACTTTCTCAGTTAATTTATCTCTTTCACTTTCCATCTTTAACACTCAAACAACAGTCTTTGTACACTTGATATAATTGATTAGTATCAATTAATTGGTCTTCTATTGGTACTGGAAAAAGAGAAAGGATTGAGTCTCCATCAACTGTTACCAAGAGAATATTTTTGATATTTTAAAATTTTTCTCCATCAATTTTTATTACACATCATGTGTATATTTTACCGGCTCATTTTGTCAACAATCAACAATCTCCCATATCAATTGCCTAAATCGTTAATTACTCTTATTAAGGTTGTGCATGTTTCTTTACCCTTTTCTATTTACATCTTATTCAATCAAACAATTAACTCTTTCTCTGTTTTTTTTACTTGCTCTTCTGTTTTTCTTCACTCTTCCAGGAAGATGCTGATTAATTAATTAACTGGTATGGTTGATGATTCCAATTTGTTATTAACTCAACAGAAATAAACTCGTAAGGTAATCAATACATTTTATGCATGTACTCATATATTCATTTTGGTAACAAATTAATAGTAAACTAACTCTTCATTTCTCTTTCTCTCTTTTTATTCTATTCTATTTTATCCCTTTTCTTTCTCTTTCCATCCTCCTGTTTAGGTCCTTTTCCATTGGGATATAACATGGTAGATGTAAAACCCAAAATCATCTCAAGCAAGATTCATCTGGGATAATTAATACATGGTGTAAATTAATAAAGCCATTGGAATAAATAACAAGCCTGTAAGGTATCACACTCTTCTCGTACACTTTCAACCAGAAATTGTGGTTTTTCTGCTGAGAGGTGAACTCATACCATGGCTAACACCCTCATCATTACTATTACTTATAATAGCGTTCAGATTTTTGGATTGTTGATTAAAGTGATCAAATAATGAGGAAATAGAGAGAGAGAGAGAGAGAAAAAGGAGAAGAGAAAAACTTACAGTGCAATTAATTTCTCTTAGGAATCAAGTTTCTTCTTACCTGATGACAAAAGTTTCGTTGGATACAAAAGAAAAGATGAGTGAGAACAAAAAAGCAAAAAGGAAAATGAGAAGATGATAATAATCAGAAATGAACAAATCCTACAAAATAATCATAAACAATCACTAGAAACATTTATACACATAAATTCATACAAAGTCCTGAAATATAAATGAAAAGAAGCAAAAAAAGCCTACCAACAACAATCTCCCATGGAGCTGTCAATGATACAACGTTTTTTAGCTTCTTCATCAGCCACCATCGTATAACTCACTCATCATCTGATCGTGTAACCTTTTCCAATGCAAATAACTTGCAACAAATTTAATTTCTATCTCATCAATCAACAGAACTCTTTTTTTTCTATTCTCTCTCTCTTCTTAAATTGATAAAAAACCCCAATGAACATGAAGTTACACTGAGAGAAACATAAATTCTGTAAAGAATCTGATTGATTGTTATAGTATTTTACTTCTCTATTTGTAATTAGATTCCCTGTGTTCTCAAATTCAAATGTTGCTCTCTCATCTCATCTCTCTCTCTCTCTCTCTCCATGTGTATGCTAATTATCAACCCCGGACGTAAACACTTTTACCTCTACCACCATCAGAACCACTTCCAAAAAAATAATCTATTTACATGTTAACTCAACTAGCCCCAAGAGCTTAGTAATTTTTTTCCTTCATCATCTGTCTCTTGCTCTTCTTACAGTCTTCAGCTCATTTTCATGTAATAGTATATGCATAACAAATATCCACAGAAAGTTGACTTATATTTGCCCAAAGATATTAACTGAACATGATTGCTGACAAGTAACTGAGAACATGAAGAAGAAGAAGAAAAAAAATGAGTTAGAAAATAGAATTTAAAATAGTTTTCGAATATAGTTTTTCTCTTTTTCTTTCTGACAGTTGATGTAAGCAATACCTCTTGTTAGATAATAACAAATACAGAGAGAAAAAGAGTAAAAAGTAAATTCGAAACTAAAACCATCAAAATTAACTCTAAAGAGACTCTAATTCATTTGCTAGAGAAAAAACAACAACACCTTAGATATTAATTACCTTTGAAGAGAACAGAAAAATTAGAGATATGAATCTGAATTTCTGTCGAAAGTGTGAGACAAGAGAGATTAGATAATTTCCTCTTAAATGATGAAATATGGTGTTGAAATAGATCATATCTCCTTCATCATCACCTCAAAGTTTAATTTCGCCAAGTTAATTGACAATTTAGTTACCGAATACCAAGTAAAATGTTAATTTGCTCACCTCAGGTTTAACATGGATACTAATCAGTCCAAGTTGATGTTACCTTGATTTTGAAAGTATCTCAATGCCATGGCCATGATGTTTGATTATCGCTGATGATAATTGTTTACACAAATTGATTGTTCACAGTTTCATTTACTATCTGGATTTTTTCAAAGTATCTTATGGAAAACTATTCAACCTGTTGAACGATTTTCTTCAGGTAAAACCATTCATCTTCTATGTAAACTCTTAGCATAACTTTTTGATCCAAATCTTTGTTGAATAATAATCAACAGAGAGCGTAAAGAAAGAAAGAAAGAAGAGAAGAGAGAGAGAGAGAGAGATACATTATCATTAAATTGTGTTCTCTTTTCTTCTTCATCTTCTTTGTGAACTTGTTCTAAATCAGAAGTTGATATGGAACAGAAATTCGTATACACTCATTGATAATCATGGAGATTATATGTTGATATAGATTCTGTATGAATACTCTGCTGAATACCTCCTATATTCATGACTGGATATCATGAATTTTATCAACTTGAACAGCAACTTGTGGCTTTTTCCTTCTTTGGTTAACTGTTGTTGGTTTACTATTCCAATCAATCTGTTTACCTCAACCAAATACAATCTCATCCATCCATTGATCCATTTCTAAATCCTCATAACAACCAAGGATAATACATGGTAATCATTTTAATCTAATCACGAAGATGAAATTAATAACGGATTTCCCTCTCCACCAATTGATCAGCTGATTTAAACTGATATTATTTCCCTCCAATTGAATCCAGATCATCACAAATCAACATGATAATCTCAACACAATTCATTGACACACATTCTCAATGAATCATCATCATAACCATGAATATTATTACATCATGTATTCATTTGAATCTTTTTTAATTCAATTGTATGAATACATATCAATAGATTCATTCCTATACTAAAATTTAACTTTAATCTAAATGATTTAGTTTAACATTCAAATTGTTTACTAAAACAGGAAAAAAAAATTACCCAACATAATTACTCCCGATACTAATTCCCTGCAAAGTTAATTGTAAAACTCATTACGATGAAGTAGAAAAAAAAAATCAAAGTTAAATCAGTGAGAAAAAAATAGTTTTCAATGATTAACTTTGTCTCTCTTAAACTCTCACTCCCATTAACCAATGTAACTCTCAATTGAATTAATTTTAATTAGAGAAAACATTGTCAATCATTTTAATCACCTTTAAAAATAACTAACCAATTAACTTTTCTCGGTTATCATCATCTTGTTACCCTAATTAAATGATGACAACATCTTAACAACAAATCAATTGCAATAGTAAACCTAATTACCACTAAATCCTAATGACAGAGGGAAGGAAAAGTTTTCAAATTGTGTTAATCAAAACAGTTCAATCAGTTAATTACTTTCAATTGGTAATAACAGTTTTTATTTAACTATAAAAATTGATTCAAATGAATTAAAAGTAATCAACTTGGTAATCATATGCAAACAAACAAACAATCAGTGATGATTTTGATCACTTGATCGGTGGGAAGGAAAACTTTTTCCTCCTCTTCCTGACTCCAATTTACTATTAATACCATGAAAATGGCTCCCACTTGATGATAATGAATGAAGATTAACTATAAAAAAAAATTTACTAGGATAATTTTCACTGAAATAATTGAATAAAATTATGCAAATATAATGTCCAATGATTTACTAAGGATAACTGGATTTCCAGTGATATTTATGAGACATTGAGGACTCATTCACGTTGATATTTATTATTATGAGTACAACAATTTACTCCCACTCATATTTTATCAACATCCTCATCATCATCTAATGTATTTTCATTCAAACATTTTCATCTTATAATATTTTATATTCACATGAATATATTTACTCAAAATGATCAATTGAAAAACTGGACTTTGTTATGATTATGATTTTAATCATTGTTGTTAAAAGTTGTCATCATTTTTAAACTTAATTATGATTATATGAATTTTAGAAAGCAAATCAATTATGTTAATTAACAATTAACTTAATCACAATTTGGGTTTAACTTTTATTAATATCAAATCAATTGAGAATCAAATTGATTTGGTGATGAAACATTCACTTGAAATTGATTCACCTAAAAAGTTTTACAAACAATTTACATTTGAAAACTTTTTTTTTTTACTCTCAATGATTAATGAATGAATAGTAAAAAGAAATAGCTTCAAGTGATTAACTAATTAAGTTAAACTATTAAATACTTTAAATACAATAATCTCATGGGAAGATTATAATACAAAAAACTAACAACATTTCCAATTGAAATTGACCCAATCTAATTTACTTGGAATAATTTAATTCCATGTTTAATTGTGTCCACTGATGATTGTTATCAATTCTCCCTTGTTTTTCATTAACAATCTAATTGATTTGATTCAATTCCAATTGAAATTAACTAACAAAACAAGAATTATATTATCTTGAGCTATGGAAATCGAATTAATTTATTCTCTCTTTTTTTTTATATTCTTTTCTAATAGTAATCTACCTTTCTAATCATCATCATCATCGGAATAAGGATACATCTTAATACAAGGAAAAGCTTAATTGTAATAATCGTAAAAATTGTCTGTCACATTAATAAAATAACCATTAACCTCAATGGTCCAAGATCAAATTGCTTACGATTGTAAGTTAATAGGAAATTAAATTATCCATTGATAACAATAATAATCTAAATCCTCTTAAGACAGCTGATGATGATCCTTTAAAGTGTCTTGAACATGTTTACCATCAATTATCATCCTTTTGTTATGTTACATCACCTTAAATTGTTTACCATCAATGATAATTAACATTGTATTATAAGGAAAATGATGAGATGCTAATCAAAAGTAACTCATTTTATCCGAAACATTTTCTTGTACAACTAATTAGAGTAAATCTAACAGGTAATAGATTCTAATTGATAACTCGTTAACCCTTTGGTAACCGGACCAAATTAACTTGAATTTTACAGATTAAGTTGACCTTTTAGGTGATGGTCAAGTCGCTGAACAGAATTACCGTTTTCTATTAGTTGGTCACTAATTTCAATTCAACTACGAAAAGATTATTACTTGTAAGAATATAATTCGATGGCCTTTCTTGATATTGTTCTCAGAGAACTGTCCAATTCCTCTCGTTGAACATATGAAATGTCACCAAATGAGCTTCGAGTTATTCTTGCACTGGAACTTTCAGTTCTCGTTTCAGTTTTTTTTCCGCAAACAGAATCTACATGATAATCTATTAGAAATATTTTTCTGTTCCAAATTCTTTAATCAACTGTACAGAGAGAGAAAAATACTAGTGAATAATGTCAGAATTCTGGACAGATATTTACAGAATTTGGAAACAGACAGTTTTCACCAAACGATTGAAGTTCATTTCTATCTTGTCAAAGTTTCGATCAAAATTCTGTTAATGTGAATATATTATATACATATAGGGATAGAAAAAGCGTGAAAAAATTTCGCCTAATTGATTATGTGAATAAACTGCTAACCGATATGCTAACCAATGATTAATCAACAATCAACGTAAATATGAAATTAATATTATCACCATGGTATGAATGGAATTGAATATCTCTCGGTAAACTTGAGTGGAACAATTTGATAACAATTAACTCATTGATTATTAACAACATTCCAGATTCAATTGGGATGAAAACTTCATATACATTTTGATGGTAAAAAGGGTGAAAATTGATTCATTGATAATCAACAATACAAAAAGTGAATGAATGGAAAATGAGAAGCAAGAATGTTGGATACAAATTACTATGATAAATTAATTTTCCAATAAATAAAATACACAATAAACTGTTAGTAAATTGAGTTAATATAAGAATACACCTTCCACCCACCACTGAGAGATGAGGATGAGTATTAACAATAGATAATAATGAAAATACCAATAGAGTTACTATTAGAAGAGAAATAATTTCAAAGGTAAATCTCATGGGAACAAAATATGGAATATAAATTTTAATCTATTCCCATGTATCATATTATCATCACCAATCGACTACGTGACTTAGTCATCGTCATCATCATCTTGGGCCTTTTTATCATCATCATCATCACCTTTCACCTTTTTATGGGTCAGTCCCTTTTCCCTTTGCAAGTATTTCCATGTACATGATGATGATGATGATAACCTAACTCTCCAAACCTGAGCCATTAGGGTCTAGGTTGCAATCGACATGCAAGGTTAAGGGTCCACCTTGTAAGTATTTTCTCAAGGCCAATGGAGCAAATTATTACTTCCGCTTTGTTGTTGCATCCATCGGAACCGGAAAAGAGTATTATTTCAAATGGTAATCCTAACAAACCTTTACCTTCATTTTGTTCATCAATGAAATTACCTTTAGGTTTTGTATTATTAATAATAATATTTGTCTTATTTGTTATTATACCTTTTGAATGATTGATTGATTGTTAACTATTAGATTTGGTTGATTAGTTTCAAGTGTAAATGAGAAACAATTTGATTGTTAGTTTAGGTTAAATTAGGTTAACAATATGGATCATTTATTTTCCTTCATTTATTTTTTTTTTTCATTTGATTTTACAATTTATGTTGATCAACTTTTATTATTTTCTTGCTTCGGGAAAAATGATTCTCGTTGATTTGATTTGATTGTTTGGTTTTGTTTACATTTAAATCAAACTCTCAATGTTCAATCATATTTACTAATATTAACTTCAATCAATCAATAGTTTTACCTTTGATTAGTTGATTAGGTTAACCCAATTGTATATATTGTATGATTAAAATGAACAATCAACCAAAGTGAAAATTATATCCTTGTAAATTTGTTTGATTCCCTCTCGAACTGGAAACTTACTCAACAATTAAATTATTACTGAAAGATAATTTCTATCACCATTAAACTTAATTGTAACGGTTATTGTTAATCATGATAATGATTATAATCAACAGATTATTATTATTATTAACATTATTTTATTCAAGTTACATGAAATTGTAATAATAACAAAACTTATTTAGATTGTAACTCCCAGCAATTTATTATAATTCCCTGTGAATCAGTTAATTGTAAATCAGTATTAAGCTTGAAAACAAAGAGACACAGTTGAGAAATTGATTGTTATCATAATGATGAAGATGATAATAAACAATGATAATCACAGTTAAGAGCAATTAAGAGTTTGAATGAGTGAGAAAAACTTTTAATGTTCAACTTGAAGATGAGGAAGAAAAAAAAATCTCATTGAAACACTTTCACTCCAATCATCATTTTTATCTCCATCCTCATCTTCATCATCAACCTTTTGATTATGATGAAGATGATAATGATTATCATCATTCAATTAACATGAAAAAAGGATCAACAAGATAAAGATGAAGATGCAAAGAGATGATTATAAAAAAAAGGTAATAATCATTTCTATGTAAATTTATTACTCAATTACGATCAAATTTTTGAGAAGAAAAAAATTATTTGATCAGTTAATTTAATTCCGTTTCCTTCCTTAATTACCTAATATAAATTTTCACCTTGAGATCATCTTAATCATCATAATTATCTTAATTGTAATCATAATTATCATAAATCTTAATAAAACAAAGTTTCTTGATCATATAATCATTGTAAGTTTTTTAATATTAACCTTTCAGATTTAAATTAAACTACTACTATTGGATAATTAATTGTTTCACTCAATTAATATGTTTACCTTGATTAAATTAAATTCAGCATATTGATTGTTGATTAATTTCTGATAATTGATACTCATTGAAAACTTTTCAAGTGTAACAATCAAACTAATCATAAAACTTTTGATTACACTCAAAAAGTTTGACAAAATTTAATCCATTTCAATTTCAATATTTATTATTACATTTCTATGAGTAAATTGTAATACTAAATTGTTATTATCAAGTTAATTAATATCCAAAGGTAATTAAAAGATAATCACTCCATTGATAATAATTGCAACCCTTTAATTGGAAACCTTTTCTCAATTAGATCCACTTTTAACTTGAGTTAATTGAAATATAATATATGTTACAATTAAGCCTTTTTTTTATTTACTTTGCCATTAAATTATCAAAATAATATTTGTAATCAAATTAAAAGTTGATTATGATGATGTTGAATTAATTAATTGAATGAAATTGATTAATTCCAGCAACTAAATTGTTTGCTTTTGTATCCAAAATCATCACAATTTGTATAATATAAACAAGATAGAAAGTGAATCTTGAATTGAAATTGAAAATTGATACAACAATTATTGTTAATTGTTCATAAATTGTTATGTCATGAAAGTTATTACAGTAATCATTGAAAATCCCATGAAAGTGATAATAACTTTTTATTTGTACACATAAAAAGCTTGGACATTGGTCAGTTTCATATTAATATGAGTCCTTCCCAGTTGATTGTTGTATTTAAATGTTAATATTGTTATTAAGACACATTTGTTTATCTCAAGTGGTCCCAAGATGATGAGGATGAAGATGAAGATGAGGATGATAACTAACCTATTAAATGGATAACATTGAAGGTGTCTAATGTTTGAATTAATAGCATCTAATAACAATCAAATTAAGGTTACAATCAGTTTCGTTTTTTTTGATTATCCAACACCAATGGAAATTTATTCCTGTGGAAATTTTTTCTTTTTATTATCATTTCTCTTTCAGTCTCAAATAATTTATTACACTCTCATTGTAGGTTAATTGTTCACCTAAATTGCTGTTAAATTGTTTTCTCTGCGCCTTATAAAATGGATTAACAATTAGTAATATATTTGAGATTAGCTGAAAGTTAATAAATCTTTTCATTTCAATTTATCAATGAAAAGGTTTACACTTTGATTTATATATATTTCAACTTTTTGTTGTGACATTAAAAATTGTCCAACAATTTGTTTACCAATTTTCATTGATTGCTGTTCACATTTATCTCTGTTTCTTAATTGTTACAATTTCTTACCATTGATTATCATACAATTGTTTGTATACTCGCTTAGTTGGTTAATAATGTGATGATAATCATTTGACAAGCTAAATAATGTTTCAAATCACTAGTGTTGTGGGTTAGTGTTTTTCCATGAGAAGCAAAAGTTTAGTAAGAAAATAGAAAGAGATTTTTCATCATTATCATCTCTTCATTATAATCATCCTCATCATCATCATCATCATCATCTTGTGGATCATTGTTAACACGATCAGGATGATGATGTTGATAAAAAAAAGAAAGAGAAAGAAAGAAGACTAAATTTACTTCTAAAACGATTTCTAAGGCAAAATGATCTTTTTCCAAGAAACACTCTCTCAAAATCTCCTCCCTTCATCATCATCATCATCATCTTCTTCTTCCTCCTCCTTCTCTTCACCTCTCCCACCTTAGTGAAGCCAAAGTCGAATTGGAGAAAGAGATGAAAAGATGAGAACTCATTTATCTAACTTTTCTCTTTCTCTGCTCTTTAACATCCCATTTTCACTCTTGTAAATACAATGATGATGTACAATTGCACATCATCATCATCTTCTTCTTCCTCATCATCATGATACTAGATTCCAGGAATCGGTTAACCAGAATATAGTTTGCAAAAGGCCTTAATGTAAGATCGACCCTTGTACAGGTCGCAACAAATTAGCTTGTATCCTTTTTCCAGAATACAATCATTTCTTTTCATCTTCCATTCAAAATGCTCCTTGATTATGATAATAATGATGAAGATAATGATGATAAAGGAGAGAGAGAGACGGCAAAGCAATAAGAAACAGAAGATAACTTTCTTTTTCCAGTTCATTATCTCTCTCTCTCTCTCTCTCTCTCTCTCTAGTAAATGAAGGTTAGAAGCTCAAAGTTCACCAACAAACTTTTCTCTCTATCGCCCAAAAGTGACCTGAAGACCCGAGAATGGGATTGGTAAGCAAAGAGAGTCTAAAAAA